TGACTGACTCAGTAGACTCCAAACCAATAATGTTATTGTTCTGGTTCTGTCCCGCTTTTGCACAAGCAACTTATTTCGACCCATAACTTCCGGTAGCAATGCTCTCTGGTCTTTTCGGTCAACTTGACAGCCTTACTGGAATTGAAGGCACCTTTGGTGTAAGTTTTCTGCCATATGAGTTCATGGCTTTTGACTTTTACGCTAACTCAATTTCTGCTTCTCCATGTTGTTTGACAGTATATCGTTGTTATTATTGTAACGGTGCTTGGACATAACTACATGAATCCACCACACCCGCCAATGCCTGCCGCTGAAGAAGAAAAGGACGAGCCGGAACCTCCTCGCAACTTCACTGAGAAGCAATTGTCATACTTCGACGGCAAGAATGACGAAAAGACTGACGAACCGAAACCTGTGTACTTGTCAGTCCACGGAATAGTCTTTGATGTTTCGGACGGAAGGAACTTTTACGGGCCCGATGGTCCTTATGAAGCATTTGCTGGTCACGAGTGTGGAGTTGCTCTTGCAAAGATGTCATTCGATAAAGAACATTTGGACAACCTTGATGGCTGCGACAAACTAAACCATGGAGAAAAGACAGAACTGGAGGGTTGGATTGAAAAGTTCAAGTACTACAGAAATTACCCAGAGAAAGGTCGTTTGGTACCAGACAGCAAACTAGAGACTTTGAAAGATAGAGTTATTGATCCTAAAGATTTGTCGAAACACAAAGGAGAAGATGGGGAAGAAGTCCCAGAGGGATATGCCACAGCTCCCATCTATGTTGCTCTTGGTACAAAGGTCTTCGACGCTTCCTTCGGCGGTGTAGAACACTATGGAGCAAAGGGTGGCTACAACAAATTCGCTGGCCGTGATGTGTCTAGAGCCCTGGCAAAAATGAGTTTTGATCCCGCGGATCTGGAAAATACAAGTACAGATGACTTGGAGGAAAAGCAATTAAAAGTATTGGCCGATTGGATCAAGACTTTCGAAGAGAAGAAAGCCTATCCTATCGTTGGAAAATTAGAAAAGTAGACATGGAATCTCAGTCTTAAAATATACATTTAGCTAGCTAGAGTAGTCGAAAGTAGAACCTCACTAATGTTCATAAGGGCATCAAAAGTTCCTTGTTCGGTGCGTTAGTCTTGAACACTCGAATTTATCAGCAAAAGGCCGGCAAACGACGACGAAGATCTGTCATCCCAAATATATCTTGTAACATTCGGAATAACAATATCTGCCCCGCATTTGTATCGACAAAAGTTTCGATCTGCTGTTCCAGAAAGATCCTCTTCCTCCATTTGCATCATCTTCACTTTCCACAAAGCCATCTCAACAATCGATGTGATTTCCGCCTTCAAATGGGACGTAAAAGACTTGCTGACTTCATCGACGCTGTCTCGTCTAGTCTTACTGGCTCCTTCACCACATATGGAGTCTACAATCATGGACAAACCGCGTCTCTGGCTTTCTGAAACCCAGCCAGCAGTACATACTGCAAGTAAATGGTTCAACACCACTTTGATCAATGGGATGGTTTTTGTCGATTTATGCATCAATAGGTAGTCCATCATAGTTCTGCCGTGTCTATCTTTGCATGAAGCAATTGCCCAAGGATATCGGTTGAGGAGTAGCTTCATGAAATCCGATCGCAGCTTCGCTGAGGTTACAGCAATGTGGAAAGGTGTCATGCCATATGTGTCATTGACATCTTGAAGACTGCTAGAATCTAATTCTCGGGCCAAGTCGTCGACGGTTGCAGTAGATGCATTGTAGCATGTCTCGTGCACTGGACGATTTGAAAACCTATTCATGATTCCATCTGGAAAACCATCGTCACCTCTGTCTTGTTTTAGCAAGTGACATCCACTAAAGACGTCATCGTCCATGCCCCGTTCCATGGAAGATGGAATGGACACATTCACTAGACTGGCACATCCGAGAAAGCAACTAGCAGCAACCTCTGCATTGATACCATTTGGAAATTCGACGCCGAGAAGACTTTCGCAGCTGATGAATGCGTCCTCCTCAATGCAGCTAAGAGATCTCGGAAGGGCTACAGCGCAGAGTAATTCGCATTCAAAGAAAGCCTCGCCCCCAATAAATTCTAGACCTTCTGCAAACTCCACGTCCACCAGCGATTCACATCCGGAAAAGGCCGCAGCTCCTATTCTCGTCAAAGTTGTAGGGAAGGAGACTGTTCTCAGCACTGGACACTCCATGAACGCACATTCGTCGATCATCACTAGACCTTCATGAAAACCAATTTGAACCAGCGAGCGGCAGCCTTCAAAAGCACATTCCTCAATCGTTTCCACTGTCGTTGGTACGTCTAGAGATCGTAGGGATTCACACTGACTAAAAGCTTGCCGCGGAATCAAAAACAGACCTTCTCGCAGTTTCACATTCGAAAGCGACGTGCAATAAAGGAAAACTGCAAAGCCAAGGGTTACCCTATTTGGAGTGATAGCAGCTTCTCCCTGCGATCTGTAGCTGTCTTGAAATTTGATTTCCACCAAACCAACGCAACTATCAAAGGCCCGGTCGTCAATCGTGGTCACAGTGGATGGTATAGAAATAGAGACCAAAGATTTGCATATAAAGAAGGCTTGCTCACCAATGAATAAAAGGCCTTCTGGAAGGTTGATATCCACTAAAGATTCACACCAAGCAAATGCTTTGAACATGATGCTTGTTACCGTGGGAGAGATAGAGATTGATTTCAGAGATGTGCATCTTTGGAATGATTCGAAACCAATCTTCAGCAAGCCTTCATGGCACTGAACTTGTAGCAGGGATGTACAACCTTCAAATGCAGATGAAGGGATTTCCTCTACAGAGGGATGGATTTCAAGGTGCGTGATATCTTTCGGGATTTCTGCTAGGGGTTGTCCGGTGTAGATAAATGGGATAGCATGCTGGGTGAGTGCATTTTCCGTTGCGCTCTGGGATGTGTTCATCGGTTCGTTGGACTTGTCTCGTCACAGCATTGCCATCGAAAAGACACCAACAGATTTGTTTCGTGATTGATGTTTGTTTGCTGAATTTCACTTGCTATAATATTGTCTTATTTCCCTGACGCTGTTGCTATCGTTAACCGAGCGGGAGAAGATGTCAGTGGAGTTCATCCAATCCCGCCAGATATTAATAGTCATTCCCGCTTCCTGCTACAATGAGCTTCATCGTAAGAGTTTTCATCCGCCGATTTATTTGTTTCCTACTTGTACCATACCTGCAGCAGCAGAACCTCGGGTTATGCCATGAAGTGGAGAGTCAAGAGAGCTTTTATCAAGACAATATTCATATCGCTCATAGCTGTGGCATTCATAGCTGCTGCATCCTTTACCCGGCCTTCTCTCAAACCACCACAAGCACCCGAAGTAACCCAAGCACCCCAGGCAGACAAGAACTCACCTAAAACCATGTAAGTCATACTATCTGACAGCCAGGCAATCGGTAACGATTCATTTCTGACAGTCTATCGCATGGTAGGAAGCTTTCTCTTTGGCTTATGCCGCCACCTCATGTTGCTACCGCCCTGGAACAACGAATCTCCTTCTATTCAAAGACCTCGGGTGGTCCTTACTTTGATCCCCATGTGACTGTTCTGGGTGACATAACATGCGAATCTAGGGATCATGCTACGAAGATTGTCAGTGTCCTACAACAGGATCTTTCTGGATTTGGAGAAATAGACGCAGTTTTCCATCCTAAAGCTCAGAACCTAGACGCATGGAACCAAGCATTGGTGGTGGAAATGGTTGCGACTCCAAAATTTGTAGAACTATGCGAGCGCGTCCGAGAACTACTGCAGATGGATTCGACGACAGGCTTATTTCCACCCCCTTTGAGGGCACCGCACATGTCATTGTTTTATGGCGTCGACAACGTGCCAAAGGCAGAGGGAGTGGAGGCGATACCCAACTTCAATTCCGATACACTTGCTCTGTGGATAACAGAGCCGACATATGCTGATGGGGTACATCAATGGGAGTTTCTTGATAACGTCTTTCTTGTATAGTGATTGGAAAATCGCGTCAGAGACAATTGGAAGTTGCGCCAATAAAACAGCATGCCACAGCAGTATGATTCAAAACTAAAAAGGTAACAGATGTGTCTGACTTTAAGTGCGCTCTTCCTTTGAAAATCTCCAACCAAAACCCCCCGCAGTTTTGTTGAAACCGCGGTCATTGCAACAGTTGCTAATTCTGCGATTCTTCGACACTCCAACAGCTTTGGCAGCAGCCGAAATGGTATCAAATGTGGCTATCACTCGCCCGGTCTTTAGACAGAGCTGGTCGATCTTTCGGTGACCTTTCTTGTTTTCTTGGCAGACGACGGCCTCCGCCTCTTTATTGCTTTGCAGCTGTGCTTGACGCCTGCACGTTTTGCAAGGGCGCTCTAAATCTTCAAGCTCTTCTTTGCGCTTCTTTTCATCCCATTCCACTGGCATATTCAAGAATGAGTGAACATGTAAATTCAGCCACTCCTCGCCTCTGCCTTCCTTATCATACTTGACTTTATGTGGCTTCGCTCGCTCTGGCTCGATCTTGACCACAGTTGCATGATCATTTTTCTTTCTAATTCTATTGCAGATAGCAACTCGAGATCCCACCTTGAGCAGACCAGACTTTTTTGTAATTAGTTTGAATTTGCGTTGTCGAAGGTCAGTCAATTCTTCGTCGCCGTCGTCATAGTTGATACGATGAGGACTGCTGCATTTAGGGGTAACCTTTATCTCTGTTATGGTCCCAGCGTAATATTCCTCTTCATGCGGAAAGTAGACAGCAATTCTTGATCCCAGTTCAAGTTTATCAATGCGAGCTTGCTTGCTCCGTTCCATTCTTCCATCATTCGCTTTTATTTCTTCTTCCTCTGGATGGTTCGATGTTTTCCACTTGTCCTTCTTGATGTTTATTTCTTCCTCATCACCATCATCATATTTTATCCAGAATCGATCACCATCCAGCTGTTTTGCCACTGTTCCCTTGTACCACTGTTCATCGTCAGGCCAGAAACAAGATATTCGTGTCCCAATCTCGAGGATAGTGTTTGTGGTTCCGCCTCCACAGGAGCTCATCTGCTTTGTCAGATAAAATTTCAAGAGGATACAGGGTTCTAATGGCTAGACTAGGAGCGCTTTGGAGTGCATCGAAGAAGACTCCCTCCATGGCAGAATGGTCCAACCACACCCATATTGTCGACCACTCCGAAGAACATGAAATTTCCATCCAACTTGAAACTCCCTTCTCCCGCTTGGGTGCCCGCCGACGCCAAGCGGAGTTCGAATAGAGCGACCAGTTGAAGTTGAAGTGACATCGATGATTGACAACTAACTGACGACTCACCATTCCCGAGTTGAATTCACACAAAATGCAAATTGACGTGGTTGACGTGTCATGATCAGTTGAATGAATCTCTGCGCGTCATGTCAATGAATCTATCACGTCATGTCATTGAATCTACCCGTACCACTGCTCACAATTCACCATGACTGCCCAGCATCTTGGACAATTCCAGGACGTGGAGGCAAACAACGGTCATCACTTTCAAGAAAATTCAAGACTTCTTCCTATTGGCGATGGCATCAACTATCAAGAAAATTCGCACCCTCTTGTTCACAGAGGCGTTATAATTCTAGTCTGCCTCGTAGTAGTGGGATTTCTTTCTCGAGGTTTGATCAAACAACATCAACAACAGCGCACAAACACCAATTCAAGCCAAACGATGTAAGTCAGGCTGTCTCTACAGGCTAAGAATGACGTGAAGATTAACCACTCACCATTTCTTGGAACGCAGAAAATTCTCCTTGTGGATGATCCCTCCGCCATCGGTTTCGGACGTCTTGGAAGAACAAATATCCTTCTATTCAAAGACCTCGGGTGGTCCTTACTTTGATCCTCATGTTACTGTCACGGGTGGCATAGAATGCGATTCCTTCGATGATGCCAAGAAGATTGTCAGCCTCCTGCAACAGGAGCTTTCTGGATTTGGAAAAGTCGACGCAGTTTTTCAAACGAAAGCCCGAAACTTTGACACATGGAACCAGGCATTGCTAGTTGAAATGGACGCTTCTCCAAAATTTGTAAAACTATGTCAGCGTGTCAGAGAACTACTGAAAATGGATACAACGAATCTGTTTTCACCACCAGTGAATGCCCCGCATTTGTCATTATTTTATGGTGTCAACAACGTACCAAACGCAAATGACGTGGAGACGATACCCAACTTTACTTCCAATACACTTGCCCTGTATATAACAGATCCTGCAACTGCCGAAGGGGTACCTGAATGGGAGTTTTTCGCTGAAATTTCTCTCGCATAGAAATTCAATGAAACAGAGATATTGACGACACAATATCACTAGAACTCTAGATATTAAAAACTAGAAAATAAAAGATTTGCATTAGAAACAGTGGCATTATCTAGCTGCAAGGCGCTTAAAGTGGAACCATTCCTCCCCCAGGAATAGTTCAACGATCGAGAGACGCATGTCGTTCTCGTTTCCAGAAGCAAGATTTCAAACCCAATTTAGGAGGACTCTTCTTCGGTGATTGCAGTTCGGCAGTATGGACAGCAATCTTTGCTTTGAAGCCATTGGTCTACACATTCAGTGTGGAAACAGTGACTGCATCGCATCTTACGGAGGTCCTCTCCCTTTTCGTAGGAAAACTGACAAACGAGGCACTTGACCCGACAGTCGTTTTCATCTAGACCATGTACCTTGGCTGGGTCAAACTTGAAGGTAGGAAGCTGATTGATCTTCCCCTGAGCCACTTGTTGCCACCGTTCAGTCTTGACATCGCCAAGAGTGTCTCCGAGACGGAGCATCAAATCATAAGAAAGAGTCCCATCGTCTTGCTCAACGACACCATGCGCCTCGTGTGCCTCAATTTCGTCCTCCTCCATTGCAGCTTGAAGGGCGGCCAAGTCTTCTTCGGAAAACTGATCGCGATTGTTGCGAAGGTAATCGTTGGACATCTGAAAAGAAACCGCCATGGCTTCTTCTGCCATGAGTGCACGAGCAAGTTCAATGGATTCTTCCTCCTCTCTTCGACGACGTTCCTCATCAGATTCCTCCTCCACTCGATCGTTGGTAGTAGCAGAAACTGGAGAAGCATAGTCGTCGTTGATGGGCTCACGGCTCTCCTCGAAACGTTGTTCCAACGGCGTGGAAACGTTCTCGGACGACTGTTGAGATCCTAGACCAGAAGGGCCAGAAACCTTCATTGGAGCTAGTACTCTCGAATCTATGTTTTCGTTGGAGATTGGTGTAGATGCCATTGTGACTTTGAAAGTGGAATGGATTGTGCGTCTGAGCTTTTTGTTGTTTTCTGTGCATGTGGCAAGTCAAAAAGTGAAATTCGGAGTTTTGGCGATCGAAAGAATGAATCAATCAGTTTGTGAAACTCAGTGAACCCGGTTCTTCATTGGCATGCGCGTTAGTCTCCGCGACGTCACAGACACGCATCACATGATGATTCCGATTGTTCGTGCAACGTTTGTTGGAGTCATCAAAAGACCAACGACCAAAACACCTCTGGAGCTGCGAGAATAAACAGCAGAAGCGATAGCATGGCAGCAAGTGGAAGATTGAACAAAGAATTGGCCGAGGTTGGCAAGGATGATAAGACGTCTGGTGTCAAGGCAGTTGCAGTTACGCCTGGAAATCTTCGAGAATTGAAAGGAACGATATTGGGACCGGAAGGAACCTGCTACGAAGGTGGCGTGTTTGAAATTGACATTACCATTCCCAAGCAATATCCTTTTGAGCCACCGAAAATGAAATTTACAACCAAGATTTGGCATCCAAATATTTCCTCACAAACTGGCGCGATTTGTTTGGTAAGCGAATCCATTCAAAATATCGATTCTTCTGTTGATGTGAGGTCCGAAGATTCTCACCTTTTGTCGACCACAGGATATTCTGAAAGATCAATGGAGCCCGGCGTTGACAATTAAGACGGCTCTTCTATCACTTCAAGCATTGATGTGCTCTCCAGAGCCCGGTGATCCACAAGATGCTGAAGTTGCCAAGATGTATCTTTCCGATCGTAAGAAATTTGATAGCACTGCGAAATTCTGGACGGAGTCATATGCCCAACCAGTGAATGAGGACGATGCGATCACGAGAGTGTGCGAAATGGGTTTTGACCGTGATAGCGCCAAGGCGGCATTGGAGAAACATGGATGGGACGAGAGTGCTGCAGTAAATCAGCTGCTGGGAGGGTTATAATAAGAGTGAGTCCTCGTCCCCGCGTCTGGCATTGTGTTGTGGTGTCAAAGCCTAGGTATGGTACACATGCAATAATAATTTATAGATTTCAAAATCGCAAAAGCTAGATTACGTAACAAGTATTACAGCTAATACGACATTTCGTGTGTGAATGTTTCAATTGTTGGCAAATTGGAGTACCTAAAATTCAGAGAGTTAGAAAAGGGAAGAGGGAGGAAAGCATCATATACCGGTAGAATCAGGTGCAAAGGCATACCATGTTTGATGGACCAACGCGGCAACGGAGCCACCAAGGAGTGATCCCCCGACAACGTCTGCTGGGAAGTGCATATTGTCGTGAACACGACTGGCTGCAATGAAGATTGCGATCACAACGGGAAAATAACACATGATGGACATTATCCTCATATATCGAGAGTTTTGCTTGTATGCCATCATAAGCTCACCGCTTTCTTTATTCAATAGGAGCATTCTCGATGCGCTCATCCCATGGCGGTGCTCTAGATAGAAGGAAAAGATGCAAAGACCACAGAACGAAAGACTTGCATGGCCTGAAGGAAAGGAGAGTCGCATCTGTCTATCGTCTCCACTAGTGCACTTTTCATAATTTTCATCTGGGTCGCAACCTTGTAGGAAGATTGGGCGGAAATATCCGGCATAGAGTTTGACGAAATTGGTCAATGTAATGGTGATACCAACTCCCGAAAAGTAAACACACAACACCTTGTGCCGTTCGAAGACTCCGGTTTTGCTTGCCATCCATAACTGGATGAATAATGGAAGCAAAGCAGCTATGAGGATAAGTTGAAGATCTGTTTTCGATTGCAAGAAAGGAAAAATTCAGTATTATTGTTCCATCTTGTGCATAGTATGTACCATAGCTCAAACCTCAAAGCAACTTACCTGGCACAGTTTGCCCATTGTACAGCTCATTGTTCGTCAGATTGAAGAAAAATTCACCATTTTGTAGCTGCTGCGCTGGGATTGGACGCTGAATTGGTTTGATTTGCATAGCTTCCAATCCTAATCCGAACACCAAAGTGCTGATGCTGAAGAATAATTCGGCAGAACGTTGCGCTTTGCTGGATTCACTATCGTGGTCGTCAACTCGATTTTGGGAAACATAATTAATCTCGGCTTCTTCTTCATCCATCGTTCCAGCTGATTCCAAACTGGTAGGGTTATCGGTAGTGTGACGATGTGTCAAGTCTTGATCCAAGGATGATGACATGGAAGTTGATGAGGCCATGCGGGAGTATGTGCTTCGTTGTTTTACGGAAGTGGAGAACATTGAGAATTATGCACGTTTTTTCTGGATGATGATTCGATTAGAGGGAATGAATCACACATAAAAACATTTGTAAAAATATGGCGGATTTCAGTCAATTTCAAAATTCCAACAAAACTCCTTTCCCACCACGTGTGAAGAATCGAAGCAGTCAACAGTTGTGGTGTCAAAAAACAAATCACAACTATTTTATATACGAAAGTAGAAAGAGTCACCATAAAAAGACGATGGCCCTCCGGGCATTCCACGATAATCCGTGTATCGGCGGTTTCGGTGGTGAAAGTACAGTCGCTATTCGATCCTCGGAATCTGGGGATGATCATGAAGAACGCTCAAAGAGTGGGGACGCTTTGTGTCAAATCATCAAAGAACTCGTCGACAATGCTGTCGACGCTTGCAAAAGCAAAGATGGTGGGCAGCGAGTGAAGGTCGAAATCTTTCCCTACGAATATGATGCACAAATTTTGAAGATTCAGGTTTCCGATACCGGAGTGGGCATGGAGGATATTCAGAAATCTGTGGAGGCATTTGAAAGCAGCAAAGGCCGTTCCAAGAACAAGACTGCAGGAAGATATGGAGTCGGATTGACACTTTGCATGCTACACGCACAGCGACTAGTATCCAATTCTTATTGCTGTATTACTTCCGCCACAAAAGATCAAAAAGCTTACACTCGGGCGTTCTTTGTCGTGGACACGGATGGCAACTCTGTGGTGTGTAAGAAGGTCGAGAAATTGGAAAAGCCCTCATCCGACGAAAGTGGAACCTGTGTCAGCGTGCTTGTACCAGTAAGTCCAACGCATTCCTTTGTAATTGCATTTAAATTATTATGTGCTCAATCTCCTTTTTTCATCTTCGCCAATAGGGTGGTGCCACCGCTGAAACGGCTTGGCCAAGAGTTGAGAACTATTTTACTCGGTTTCATCTTCGTCCAATGACAACAAATGCTGGTCCAAATTTGGAGGTATTGGCTCCCACCCTGTCTAAACAGCCAATCTTTGTGATATCGCCTTCCAATAGAGTAGATAGCGGGGTAGATGATGACTTGGTAGGGGCGGGCGAGGAGCAATACGAAGATGATCTCGAAGACGAAGCGAACAACGATTCTTCTCAACGTCAAGGCAAACCGCTCACACCAGCTCAGCTACGACTGGAGGCTCAACGCAAGGCAGCTTTCCATGCAGCACAATCACTTTTTGGATGTAACGTAAAGCTTGAAAATGTTGCGCATGCTGTGCAGCCCATTCGAATTCCCAATAATAACAACAAGAAAGGATTGATGGAAGCTCCGCCCAAACTGGAAGTGGACATCATTGTCCGTCCAGACTGTACAGAGTCACTGGTAGGCAAAGAAGAGCCTATTGCGACACTTCGACTGATCCGTATGGTGAACTCGGTTCCCATGCTGGATAGTGCTGAAGGTTTTGGATGTGGCCTTGTCCATGGACTAGCCAACAAGCTCATTTGGGCTTCCTTTGGATTGCATGTTACACAATCCAACGAACGGAACGAACAATCCTGGACACCACTGTTCGATGTGAGAGATAGCGACCAGGTGGCATCCTTCTTTCAACAGCGACAACATCGACAGAGTGACGAAATAATTCGGTCTACAACAGATGGAAATTGCGTGGATGACGAAAAGAAGACTCCTGGAAATAATAAGCGAAAGCAACGATCCAGCGACGCGGCAAATTTGCTTCCAGCAAAAGTTCGATTAGGTGACATCACTGTCGTTGTCAGGATTCAGGCTGCGCCAACCACGATGCCACTTCCTACACTATCCAAGGTAAGACAGTTTGGCACGTGGTAGCTCACACAAGCGCCAAGGAAAGTCCTCGCTCATATCACCCGAACCGCAAATTATAGGGCCGTCTCCCGTTGAACCACTCCCACATTGACGTAGCGCTTCAGCGTTGCCTTCGAGAAAGCTTGCGAAGTCTTCAAAAGACGAATACTCAACTTTTGTTGACACCAACGCAGCTACGGTCCACTGTACGAGAAGTGCGGTATATCCCAGCACTTGCTCTTGCGGTATCACAAATTATATCTCGGGGCGCTGACTCGGAGGGTTCTCAGCAAGTTCTTGACGATATCCACCATTGGAGGAATCATCATCGAAATGATAAAGGCAAGGTTAGGCACACTGACATCTCGGATCTACATCTCGGAGAGGCTACCATTTGCACTTTCACAGAGGAAAGGTTGCGATGTATGCTGGAAGCCAAACAAGCAAGGATTCAGGAACGAAAGGTAAAGAAATCGCGTACTGCACATGTGCAGGTTGAAGAAAATGAATACAGCGATCTCGATGAATCAGATGATGGCGATGAAGAAGAGGTTGTGAATTATCCTCGGGCTGCTTCTTTGCATGATGAACCGTCTGACTTTGCGGAAATATTTCAGAATCCACCTTCTGTTTGTCCTAGCAGCCCTGAGTGTTCAAGTGCAGCAATAAATGAAACTCCAGAGAAAGCTTCCCATCGTGGCAGTAGTCCACAGCATTCCGTTGTTGATGATGATTGGTGGTAGTCACCAATGGTTATAGTGCGCTGCCAGAATAGGATAGAGCACTTAGGGTAACTCTTGGTTTCATCACAACGTTCATGCTTGCAGATCTGTCATCACCGTTGGTTCTTTCGCTTTGATACGAAATTGGCATCAAGGACTATGTCACAGGGTACATAACTATGATTGGGCTGGACCCGACTTTTCCCGTTGCCTTTGGCCCTCTTCCAGCTGAAAGCAGTAATGTAGAGCTTGGACTCGCTCCTGCCAGCGAAATTAACCTTGCGTATTCCGATATTGAAACCATTGCCGAAGCAGGAAGCCAATCTCGACTTGATGGTGTAGTACACTTCGGAGACAGCGTTCTATCAGCTCTCGAATTGTGCGCTGGTATTGGAACCTTTGGTATTGACCACATTGCCGACTTGCTTGGGGAATCTACCACATAGGCTAGCTTGTGTAATACTTGGGGATTTTAAATGACATGTTTGGATGAGTACTACAGCTGGCTACCACCGATTCATTCATCCATTCGAGCAATAGCTGGAATGCCATCATTGAAAAGTGCTGATTTTATAGCGCTGTTCTGGCAACTCCATGTGCAATAATTTAGCTGATGTTAGCAACTGTTGATGACTTTGATGTCTTGACGATTATAGTTCGTAGTTTCCTTCGGTGCAGGGTACTAATGTTTTCATCATCGTCAGCACCAGTTGCTCTGAAGTAGAACTCTTGCATATGTCGCCGCCACGATTGCAGGTTTCGTTATTCCCACGGCCAAGGCACAAGAGACCTTTGAAAAAAATTGGATCGCAACCAACAACTCACAAGATTCGTTTGGTGAGGTAATTATGTGATCTAATGCGGATCTGCATCCTTGCTTGTCGGAACTCCGATATATATCCATCATCTAGTCCCTTGCGGACGACGATCATAAATGTGCTAGACAAACAATCGTGAGTGACATATAAGGTGCGACTTGTTATCCATAAGTGCAGCTCCGTAGGGATTTAATTAAGGTGTTATGGTTTAAATCACGAATGTCACATTTTCATTCAAGACTCCGACCACAAAACTGTGGCGGAAAACATCTTGCAACATCCACCCACAATTTTCTTGGGCAAGAAAATAATCTGTTGACTAAGCATGAAGATTTCTATTCCTTCTTTCAATGCCTTGTTGGCCTTGACGGCCCTAACTGGTAACGTTTGTGACGCAGCATTCTTGAGACCAACTGCAGACGAGAATGCTGAACACAGCAACTTTAATCGCAATCTGCAAACACTTCCACCAAGTGTTGCGCAACAGATTGGCATCATTGGTGCTAGTATCGCTGCACTAGATCCTGCTCTTGCAATCTACGAAACCCCAATCCAGGCTCGATTCACTAACTACTACACGAGCATGTGGTGGAATTGCATTGCCATCTATTCTTCGGATTTCAAGGATTCGTTGACAGGGGCTAGACCAGCCATTGTTGTCCAAGATGAAAATCTCTATCTCACTCAGAACCGCGCATTGTGTGCCACACAGGCTACAGCTACCTACACCTTTTTGTCTGTTCCAGGAGCTCTTGAAGCCTACACCAACACGATGAGCGCCATTGGCGTTCCAGTCGTTGATGGAATTGATGCTGATCTTGCGGCCTGTGCTGCGAAAGATACCGCATGCTATCAATCCGTTGCAGCTGCCAAGGGTTTCACGACCGAAATCATGGGAATGGTTGTTGCCAAACAAACCTACGACTATGCCATTAACGATGGATTTAATGAGCTTGGAACAGATGATGGCTGCGTCGTCAACTGTCGTCCTTTCCGTGATAGCACTGGCTACACTCCAAAGGTCTCTCCTTACGGCAAAAGCCCTAAAGGGATCAAGTTCGCCGAAGCCTGGAAACCCCTACTGGAAGACAACGGTTCTGGATTTTTCTATTACCAGCAACACGTTACCCCTCACATTGGTGAAAAGGCCAAGTTTGCAACCGCAATGCCTGAAGAAGACCGCACTACTCGTGTAGCTCGAGCACCGACCTATTCTGGAAGTCGTCAGGCGGAAGCCATTGAAGTCATTGCGAACATGGCTGAATTGGACGACGTCAAGAAGATTCAAGTGGAAGTTTTCGACAACAAGCTTTTGGTGGCCATTGCCGTTTTGAATTCTTTTGTGGGTAAGCTTCTCTCCAATGGCTATCAAGACACAGAACTCTCGCAACCAGGTATCGTCCTCAGTTACGAGCGCTTCATCCATTTTGTCAATGGATTCACAGCTACCGAACGCGATACTGTTATCATCGCATGGAAGGAAAAGGTCAACTATGACCTTATCCGACCTACTTCCGTGATCAAGGATCTAGGGGATCAGTTGATCACTACATGGGCTCCAGGTGGAATCCAAACCTTCCCTGCCAAAGACTTTGAAGCTTACAAGCGTGTGATGCCCCACTCGGAATACGTATCTGGGTCCGCCTGTATCTTTGAAGGTATCAAGGACTATGTCACAGGGTACATGACTATGATAGGGCTGGACCCGACTTTTCCCGTTGCCTTTGACCCTATTCCAGCTGGAAGCAGTAATGTAGAGCCTGGACTCGTTCCCGCCAGCGAACTCACTCTTGTGTATCCCGATATTGAAACCATGGCCGAAGCAGGAAGCCAATCTCGACTTGATGGGGGAATGCACTTTGGAGACAGTGTTCCAGCAGCTCTCGAATTGTGCGCTGGTATTGGAACCTTTGGTGTTGACCACGTTGCCAACTTGCTTGCGGAATCTGCCGCATAGGCGAACTTGTGTAATACTTGTGGAGAATACTTGTTTGGACAGTTCTTCTGTATCAAGCAATACATCCTTAACACTATCCTGGCAACTCGCTGTGAAATAATTCAGACCATATTAGGACTAAATGCTGTCAATAACTTTTGAATACTATTTTGATTTCGTTCAAATTATTATAGTTCATGATTTCCTTCATTTGGTGCAAAATTCTGCGCTCCATTCTGTTTCAAAAACTCCACAATGGCACTGTCTTCACCATGAATTTTTATGGCCCACCAGAGAGCACTGCCTCCAGCAGCTCCTCTCCCTGCATTTTTTGTTCTCGCATTAATATCTGCGCCATGCTCCAAGAGAACGGCAATAGTCTCGATGTGCCCTTTCCGCACAGCCTCCTGTACAGTACAAAATTGAAGATGTAAGCACTGCGATTGCATGGATAAGATAAAATAGAGATCCCTCGATTTCTGCTTACATGAAGTGGCATCCATCCATTAATATCTCGATGGTTGACGTATTCTGGTTTCTCCTGTAATATTCTCTTTACTTCCTCATGCTTTCCAAGCCCAGCTGCATTGTGTGCGTCTGTAGAACCAGTGGTAAACTTCCCCTCGACTAGCCGGTAGCCATCAGGATTATTCTTGCGCCAATTCTTTTCTTCTTCTGAACCCCTGATAATGTACCCAGGCAAATCTGGGTCAAGGTACATTGGATCTCCTACAGCACCAATGGGCTCAAAGTGTACAAACACGTTGGCCATGAATCTTCCTTTCAACGGAAATTGGCGCTGTAGAGCAACGATCAAAGTTAAGATATTTCATAGGTGAGTCATATTGCGGTAGAAACAGAACGACAACTAGGTGGCAACTTACGCCATGAATGATTGAATGCGACTCATACAAGACAAGATCTCCAGGCAACATAGTAATGTTCACTGCAATACCATCGTGACCAATCACCTCCAAAGGCCAAGGCTCGTCCACATCTTGATCAACATTGATGATCGCAGAGCTGACGAGAGGCAACCGATCCACGTGAGGAGCTAAGACGGCACCTTCTTTGTAAATTCGAATGCCATAGAGACTACATTCGGCGAGTTGCTGACCCGTCCAAGCACTGATCGTATCACGAGCGGCGTTCCAAATGTGTTGTTTCAAGACGTAGCCACCGTTTTCCAAGTTCTCGTCCTCGATACTCAGCATGTGGGTTGGCACATCCCAATGGTTAGTGTATGTGTTTCCAATGCCCCATCTGTATAGATAATGGAATTGTCAGTTTGAATACATTCAGCAAGCAATGAATTGGACTGTTGCATATTATGATGCATACCTTTCCAGTTTTTCTTTTCCCTTGTTCTTGTCCCAAAATTCTTTTATTAAGCTGAAGACATTGTCCGGAGCTCGGATCTTGGTATACCCAAGTTTGGTGTAATTGTACATGCTCTTGGGCTGTCGTAGGGTCATAGCAATCCGATCCTTCTCAGTTTCAAGACATCTTTTCCCTTTCTTGCCATAATATTCATAACATCCTAGGACTAGGTATCAATTGATAATAGGTGCGCATATAAGTTTCAGGTGTCAATCATTCCACTGACACCGATAATGATTGATTTTTGGCTGACTTACTCAGATCGTCGTAGAATGACTGCTTATTTCCAAGTGGCTGTAGAGGCATTCCTTCGTATTCCTCTGGTACTGGAATGTTAGGGTCTTTATTCCATGGGAGCCATGGATAATTCTTGGAAGCTTGTTCGTGTTGCATGGGATAAGACTGCGGGTGAATGCATACAATAATAAAGTCTGATGAATGCCACGTTCATATGTGTTGGAGTTGCAAGCATTATCACAGTCGAAAACGTACCACATCTGCTCCATAAGTTATTGGCTGCTCCTCTTCTTCCGATTGAACGAATCCGGCAGACAGAGCCAGCAATACTGCTACGAGGATAGATGATGAAAAGTTCATGTCTAGAGTATGATGTTGTATGTTGTGTGATTTTATGGCAGATGTCTTTCAAGTTGAAATCGTGAAATGAAGGTTCTCTTGTTTGAAGGAATCTGGAATGCGAAAACTACTCTTTGGAATATTGAGTGGATTGGCAACTAAAATCTGATTGAAGAATAAATCCTAAATTCCTTCGACGTCTGTCCATCCCCTTCCACCTGGAATCCGAAAGAAAAACATGTAAAACATCAACTTTTGACAAGAAATCTGACAACACGACACTTTGAGGAAAACCATGATGTGGTTACGTTTCCTTCTAATTGCTTCGGCAGTCTTTACTTGCAGTGGCTTCCAAAGCCACAGGGTGCACAATCACGTTACATCACCTTTCAAGACATCACCTTTGTTCCGTACACAACAAGCTTCCGGTCGGGGAAATGTCGACCATGAATTGGAGAAAGAGAGTCGTCTTAAGAGCTTCATGAAACGCCTCGATACTACCAAGGCTGCTGGATTGGAAGACGTCAAAATGGCTGGAATTATTAGCAAGATACATGGCCCAATTACCTATCTAGCCCTTGGACTGCTTGTAGGATTGAAGAACAGATGGTGCTTCAAAAATCCCTACTATTGGTTTGCCATGGCATTTTTTGTCAAGTGGTACCGTGCTCGATATGTTTTCAAGATTCCAGTGTGGGATCGTCAACCAAACTGGAACAATATTATCACAAGCAAGGAACAAGAAAAGGATCTAAAGGCTTTTACTTGCAAGAAATGTGGATCTACAATCTTTATTGCCAAGAGTCGTGAATTCTTCTTTGAGGGTAACACAGGAATTGGTGGATTGGGTTGCTTTACATGTGGTGCCAAGGGAGCAGACAACTTTGTTATGGATCGTGATCGCATCGTGGAAGATGTTGCCGATGTGGATGACTACTTTGAGTACGAGCGACCGCTTGATTTCGTTTCGGCTGCCGAACGACGAAAAGTGCTGAAAGAGGCAGGAGGGGACGAAAACGTCGCCAACGAGCTCCTTCTTGCAAAGGCAAATGCAGAAGCAGGAGTTGAGACGCCGCCTCCTGAAGTCAAAGCTGAGGAAGCTATCGATGCCGAGGTTGAAGAAACCACGGTGAACGGTAGTAGTGAGAGCGAGGAGCCCGAAGAAGAACCCACACCCAAGCCTGTGGAAGAGCCGGAAGAAGTGACTGTTGAAATGAAGGTGGAAGAACCGAAACCACAACCAGAAACCCCAAAACCTACAGAGAAAAAAAAAGTGTCAGAGCCAAAAAAGGCTGCCTCTGATAGCGATGACGATCTTGACGATCTTGGTATGGATGACTTCTAAGTAAACAAGCTAGTAAAAGAATAAAACAGTAGTAGATATCAAAACTAGTATATGCTTTCCATGGCGATGTGTTGCATTTAGATTTTGCACCCCAGAGGATGTGAAACTACTTGAACAATTCAATGTGCTATGTTGCGCAATTTCTGGTTGGAAGCCAGACATGAAATACCCCCCCTTCAGCACCTCCGCCCGAACCATTAGCAGAGATGACTTCGATTCTAGCTCCAATATCTCTCAAGGTGCCTTAATTGGTGCGAAAGCAACTGTCAGATTCCTTAAGCATTCTCTAACATTTGTTGCCAGCTTCTCATCTTCGCATTCCACCGAAATTTCAGCATAAGATCCAGACGCGTCGTCAAAGTTGACTTTGACGGTGCACACCAATTTCTCTTCCTCGCTAACTTTGGATTCCAGCCCACAGTCGGTTGTGATTTCATAAGTACCGGTGTTTCCTTCATAGACTGCTTCAACATTTGCAAATTGATCTTTCAGAATTCCCTTGATTAGCTTTAGTCGATTTTCGGTTAGATCTTCTTCATTGGAACGTTGCTTCTTTGCAGAAGGTTCGTCATTATCAGCCTTTGGATGATGATGCGGTTGACTCGATAGTCGAATCGAAGCAGCACTGCTTTGTGCATGCATTAGTAAAGCAATGAGTGCGTCAGCAATGACGTCGGCAGCAGGACTAGCTTCCCATTCCACAACCGCAATACCCTTCCTATTTCCGACTGTAACCGACACTTTATTGTCGTGTAGGGAAAACTTGAAGGGGACAACCTCGTTGTCTCCGTCCTCGGCTTCCAGTTGAGTTTCCGTCACACCCATAAACATCTCTTTGAGAAAAAGCCTAAGTGTTTCAACAGAACCAGCGAACGGAACATGAAGCTTGGAAGTAATTGATCCAAGTCTTAGTGGGGTATAAGTCGCAAGGTCTTCCGGTTTGACAATCTTAGATTGAAAATTGTGGGTGACCAGAATGCCTGATATCTCTTCTCCTTTGACAGGCTCAGACTCACGCATTGCCAAACTTCCCATGACTTTGGCAGAGACACGCCGGGCAAATTTGAGTGAAACAGTTTGAAGATTCGGTGGCATTGTGATGGTCGGTCTTTTGTTCTGTAATTTCATGACGCAAAAGTGAGGTCCATTCATGCAATTTTATACAAGTATGAGCGAGGTCATCTTACCTCCGGCAACTGGCGGTACTGCAGCAGCAAAGCACTCTTCAGCCGTCCCATTTCATCCTTCTGGCCATGGACGAGGATAATGTGTTTTGGAGCCACTTGTGTGATGAAGGTTCTATTTTGGACAAAATCCACGTGGGCCGAAAAACTGACATAGTCCACAAGACAGTTGAGTGGCTGTCGTCTTCCTTCCATTGTGACGACCTCTTTTGGTTGGTTCATAATTTCCTTTGCAAGCGTATGTTCCACAGCATAACCGGCAATCACGACCCCATTCTTTTGATCTGTAGCCCAGCGGTCAAACAGTTGACGTGACACTCCGCTTTGAAGCATACCTGGCGACGCGAACACAACCGATGGGCCAGAATCATCGAAGCTATTGACATCAATCGATTTCAAATTCTGGATATACTTGAAGCTGAATGGATTACTGACATCCATTTGTGCTCTTATCCTGGCATTCATCATGTTCGCATAGGTTTGATACACACGAAGTGCACGGGATGCAAGCTTACTTGCATACCAAATTGGAATGTTTTGAAGGTGTGGGTTTTCTTGCCAGTATTCATCAAGAATTAGCAACAATTCCTGAATAAAAAAGGGTGAGCCAACATCTTTGTAATCATGAATACAAGACTCTAGCAACGTCGTTCGTACCTGCGCTCGACCCAGTGCGAAAACTGGGATTAAACATCGTCCGCCTCGAGAAATAATTCTTTCTACTGTACCAGTGAAACGTGCTTCTCGTTCTGCTTTACTGGCATGAACTTGCACTCCATAGGTAGACTCGCAAATCAAAACATCTGGTTTCTTCTCAGGTAATTCGGCAGCCATTAAGTGACGATCGTCCTCCATACTGTAGTCTCCAGTATACAGAACCGTCCGTCCACCAATATCCATCCAAAACATACAGGCACCCAACACGTGACCAGCGTTCAATGCATGAAAGCCGAGACCCCCCATTGTTACTGTTGTGTGATAGTCTATCAGTTCAATTTTCTGAATGCAGGACTGAAGCTCTGCCTCTGTATACAACACATCTTCTGGCTTGGCATTTTTGGATTGTAACAAACGAATGTAGTCACCAAGTAGAAGTCTCAGGACAGCCTTTGTTGGGTGCGTCATGAAGATTCTCCCTTTGAAAGATGTTCGCTCTGTCAAATATGGAAGGGAGGCAGCGTGGTCAAGATGAAAATGCGTCACCAGCAGCACATCAATTTGGTCGGGCTCCACTTGGTCCAGAAAGGGAAGACCATTCATTCCTTCATAGCCAGGATGAATTCCACAATCAAGCATGATTTTCATGCCTCGAAACTCGAGCAAATGACAGGATCTTCCAACTTCCTGTCCTGCTCCCAGGGGCGTTATTGTCATTACATCCTCCATTGTCAGTCAATATGCAGTTGATTTGTCAACTGTGAGTGTGTAGTAGTTCCAGCTTCATTCCGGTACATCCAGTCCCAATTTTTGCAAACCGAATCCTCGCGCGAAGAAATCGCGCGAACTCTACTCAAATCGTGACACTTTGACTACCAGTTATATGTTCTATGATAGGACAGTAACAATCGCTATCCTTCATGCTTCCAAGTAAAGAAACAGATTTTTATAGGTTACATTAGCTCGATTTTTACATCGTCCTCGGGAAGTTTGCCATCCACGATCTTCGGAGGTTGGGGAGGAGGAGTTACCTTCATCACACGGTATCCGTTCTCGGGAATAAAGTAGAGAGACCCATCCAAGCCAGTTGCAGCTCCTTGCCACTTGTCTTTTGATTCGGGCAAGTTCCCTAATAACTGCACCGGATTCTCTCCCTCGATATTCGGATCTGTTGCAATTCTGCATACATGAACCCCATCAGCTGGAATGCAATATATGCAATTGTCTCTAGTTGACAGTGTACCACCTTGCCACTTGTTTTTCGTAGTTCCTGCGAAGCCGAAGGTCTCACAATGGTCTGTTGTAGGATTGATTTTCAAAACTGCGGACACATCACATGCGGGGCAATATATGTTTCCATCTGCACCAACACTTCCACCGAGCCATTTGAACTTTGTTCGATCGCTTTTGTCATTTTCTCCTCTATGAATTTCCAACTCTGATATCAAGCCTCTGCTTTCTTTTTTCGTATCAATCACAAGGACTGTTTCGGCATGACTTGGATGGGCATAAATCTTCCCGTGCTTCTTGATTCCTCCATGCCAGAAGAAGTTGCCGACACCGTAATTTGGACCAATTATCTTGGCTGTATCGTTTGTCGAATCGATTCGGAGCACACCAGGAGCTGAATACATACATATTGTAAATTTTCACGTTAGTTGCTGTACTTTGCATCTGGTTCCGTGAGGATGCTCACTCTCTTTGCAACTTACCTCGATACGGGATACCATAGATAGCATTGTCATCTCCAACGATGCCGCCATACCTAAAGAAGGAAGGAAAAGTCAGTATACCTTGTACATAATGCCATGCATGAATTGCCCAGCACGATATAAATCAACCAATTACTGTCGTACCATTTGTTTGTACAGTCGAGCTCGAAGTCAGTGTACTTTTCCTTGTCGTATTCAATCTCAATGAAACAAGTCGTCTTTGTTGCAACATCGACCTTTAGGACTTGTTTGGTGTTGGAAGGAATACAGTAGATTGCAGTTTGTTCAATATTGATACCCGCGCCGTGCCATTGCCACCGCATACTCTTTGGGTGCCCCTCCGGCAATGGAATGAGATTCACATAGTCCGTTTGCCCCTCTGCCAATTCACGTCGTCCCCAGTATGCATCAATATCTACGCAGAGTAGAGAATCCGCCCAGGCTGGAATGGCCCAAAGATATCCATGTGCAATGATACCACGAAGCCATTTCATTTGACGTTTTTGAATACGCTCTGGCAAGGGAATTGCTTTCATTCGATATTCTCCATCCTCCTCATTTTTGTAAATACATAAAATCGACTTGGAATTGGCCGGAACTCCATAGATACATCCATCGGTGGGATCATAGGCACCCCCCAAATGCTTGTGAGTACCTGGCATCAGACCCGGGTGGTCTGGGTAGTCACTTGGGTACAGCAAGGATGCATTCAATGTAGATCCTCGAACAGGAAGATGGAGATAGCTTGGATCAAGAATATCCTTTGTAAATTTGTCAACCGCTTTTACCCAATCGGCTTTGACATCCTCTGGAACCTTTTCCTTTTTGGGCTGGGTGGTCGTCTCGGTTGGATTGTTCTGGAATATTGACGCAGCGATTCCCATAGTAGGAGCTTGTCGTGCTTTTGGAAACGAAAGGACGGTAAGAAGTGCTTGCGACGGCTGTAGGTAGATCTGTATCAGAAGTGCAACGATTCTGTGTTGCATTATTCTTTCCACAAGGAAGCTTTCGTTGTTTCGTCGCAGAATGCAGAATTCATCGTGGTTGGATTTGGTTCATGATTGTGATGTCTGAAAGCGAGGCGAAGGAAGGACCGATGACAATTTGATTCTTCGAGTCGGAGTTGCATTGGTTTCAGTTGATTGGTCGGGTTTTCGAAAAAAATAAAGTCGTAGAGACACTGCGTGCGACCAAAATTACAGTTCTTTATCTTGCAACATGTTGCAACGCACTTTGTTTCGAAAGCAACAACACGACTTCGTCTGTTTTGCTGGGATACAGTGAGGTATCAGTAAAAACATAACTTCTATCACCCTTCCCTATAGAAAATGGTGAAGGTATTTCGTTTTGACAACAATCCAAAGCGAGAGAGGCGAAAGCGAGACTCGCCCTCGAATGCAAGTTTCGATGGCATAATACAGGCTATTCGTCGCATGAACTCGAATGATAATGACAATTCGAGTTCAGAAGGAGAAGCTTGCGTCACTCCTTCACCCTGCAGTTCAAGTAATGATGATGATGCATCCTGCACATCCAGATTGGATGAAGAGAATGAACCAGTGAATGCTGTGATTGTCGCCGCTTCCGGTCACAGCAAGAGTAGAAACCTTCCCGATTCGTTTCAACATTGGGGTAAGTCCTATGAGGTTCTATCAGTTTTTACACCAGTCCGCAGTCAGAACGTATCTGTATCTCACGTCAGCTATTGCCTTTTTTAAGCACGCGCGGTGCAAGCCCTTGTCGCGTCCAAAGAGATGGAAATACTGTTGGATTGCAGTCGCAATGTAGCCTTTTCGGTGGCATCCACCGGACGAGATGCTGCAGTGTCGACAGGAAGCTTTGCAGTTCATGTAGTGAAGCTTCCTGTTACAGTACCCTTACATATTGCAACCACTGCTACCAGCATGGTTTGTGATGCAACAGGGAACGTCTTGGGAATGGCATTTGGATCGACCACGAGTAGTGGTGAAAGCAGCAGTTCCCAGTCACCCATTGATGCTTTGGTCCATGGTATTGTTCATTTTGTTCCATTTGTTTCTAATCAAGCTGGTAAAATCACGCAAGAAATTGGAGGTGTTATTGGTGGAGCTGTTGGAGGCTTGTTGTTTGGACAAGGGCAAGACAGTTCAAGCAATGAAAGATCCACCAGGACATCATCTAGAGGAGGGTGCGGCACCCCGTCTGGCGAGAGCTCCGCAGAGCGAAGATCTGTGTTAGATCGTCTGAGTCTCGAGATACAAATACCGTCCAACTCTACCGATGACCATCCGGTTGTTACTCCCGCTGACTTTAGCAAGTTTTTACTTCGTGTGGATGATGTTGATGTATGGCTGCCCCAATCTAAGAAATCGAAGGAAAAGAGACAGAAGGCCCAATATATCGACTTGGAGACGGAGTTCTGCAATCTAGAACTCATTGCGGATGCTCTTGGAAAGATGAAGATGAAAGCAATTGAGATGAGTGCTGTGTCAATCGATGGACAATCTTCTTCAAAAGACTCAAGTATCGTGGAATGGAAACCAGAGGGCAAGACTGGAAGGTATCTCGAACAAATGGCGCAATTGTCAGAGCAAGAATTCTACAAAGAACTCCAACATCACGTTTTGTTTTGGTGTGGAACAAGTCGAGGAGGGCAAAATTTCTATGGATCTGATGTTCCACTTTTCCTAGCTCGTGGGGTGGTTAGGAGGAGTCCTCTAGAGTTTATCAATCTCTTGTGGAATAGCGATCGAACCTCCGAATACAATGACTATAATTTGGGAAGAAGTGATGCTTTGATTGTTACAGACAATATTACCTGCGGTGGAAGCGATGGCACCAAAGTCGTCAAGAGCAAAACTAAGGTGCCGTTCACGCGCATGGCGCTCACACTCTCAACCGTCATGCACGCAAGCAAGCTGGACAGCGAAGAGGGGTATGTCGTCATCAGCCGATCGCTCAACACAGGATCGGCTGGTCATCATGCTTGTGGTGCTTCCAAGAATATCCAACCAAACAGCAAGAGTGAAGTCTTGATGGGAGTAAATATCATGCGGCCTGTTCCAGGAAACCCAAATCTAACTGATCTAACAAGCTTGTCGCAAGTCAGCTCCTCCATGGTACCCCAATTCTTGGCGGCACGCATTGGAATCATGGGAATTCAGGACTTTTTCAACAACGTCAGGTAATCGCAACTTTTATTTCTGTAGCAGACTTGCTTTGTTTACATCACCGAAGGCAAAACTCCAACCAGCCGAATAATGAAAAAGACAATGATCACGAATCCTAGCGATCCTCCAATTGTGACTGCTGTCAAGAACGTGAAGGCTGATTCATCATCTTCGAGCGGGTTCGGCACGTTCATACCAAACACGGACCCAACAAACGAAGCTCCTGCCACTGCGAGCGACAATAGACTGATCAACATATTAATGTAGAGCAATCTATTTCGAATACTGTCGGATTTCTGCACTACAAATTCTTCCGTAGTATTGACTTGGCCTTGTACAAGGTTCAGTGCGTTCGTTAGCGTGTATGCGCGCTGAAGATGAGCCTCAAGAATGAGCTCTGGTTCATCCGATTCTTCGTCAAGAGTTGCTTGTGATACTGGCTGAATGAATCGCTCGGGATGCGATAGCAGTCTGGATAAGTTCATTAATGACATTTCTTCATAGTCCTCCAGCATGTTTTCAAGCGCTCTGTGGAAACCTGTCACTCGAGACTGCATTTCTTTCACCAAGTTCTTCATTGTACGTAGGACTTCTTGTGCACGCTCACCAACATCTGCGCCAGGCGTTAGAAGATCCGTAATCAGTTTATCTGCCGACAATTGAAGGTCCATTACATCTTCCGCAAGAATTGATGCCACGCGGTTCAAGATCGCATCCACACTCTGAAGCTCGAATGGCAACTCGACCCAGGCGTTCCCCTCCAGTTCTGCCCATTCATCTTGGTGAATGCTCTTGAATTTACCTCTTTCAATCCTCTCTATCTTGATCTCGCTATCGCTTTCGCTAGAATCCGAGTTGTTTTCATCGACCACTTCGTCGCTTTTGTTCGGGTCTTCCAAAACAGTGTCTAAGGCATCATCGTCATCGTTCTCGTCCTCGTCAACTTTTTGCAAATCTTGTATTGCTTCAGGGTTTTCGGACATGTCATCCATATTGTCTATCCCGCCCAGAATCATTTTTTCAAGTTGCACTAGAATGGAATCAGCCCCATCAGGAACAAGTAGTAGGACTCGGTCTCGGAGAATGATCGCACGCAACGAATCAAAGTGTAAGAGGATCACATGACGCCGAACGATAAATTCTGGCTCATTCGAGGCGGAGAAAGGCGTTACAAGCTTCCTTAAATCTCGTGGGTGTAAAAAGCCACCCAACAACTCTCGGTACGTTACATCCCTAGCTTTTGTTCCTGATGATCCTGAGGTCGCATCATCCCCAGCCACCTCATCTTTGCCAGCCAGCGACGTTTCGGGTGTTGCTAATCGGTTTGTGTCTTCAGTAATGTTGTCCATCGGGAGGGGTGATTCAGTAAATATCGCCCGGCCCAAAGCCAGATCATTCAAGATGCCTTCGTTTTCGTCGTCGTGTTTCTTTTCGCGTGATTTGGTTATCGCATCCAGAATATGCTTGTGAAGTGTCCTGACACTGAAGGTATGATAGTCTGTCCCACTATATTTTAAAATCAGATCTAGTAGTGAGAGATGAGCATGGAGTCAGGGAAAAAACCTTTCCCTGTTCTTACCCGTTTTTGCGGATTTCGAAAACAAGTAACTCTTCCAGGCGCTCGTGAAGCGAACGAACTCGTTTGTCGTTTTCAGCGATCCTCAAGTTCTCCAACGCGGGCAGTAAAATGGATCGATTTCCACTGATATATCTACTAGAAAGACCATCTGTAAGACCCTGCATTGTAACGATCAGTGTTGTGGGTATATCGTGTCGAGATGCCGCGGTTTTGTTGGTTTTGGGTGAAAATCAATTTTTGTGGATATGAGAGCGGACAGGCAGACGTTACAACCAAGTCTGTCAATTTTGGAGTAATACTGTGCGAAAGCAAGGATGAAACAAACCCATTCATATTTTACGATCATTGAAGAAGTATACGCATTGAGCGTTTCTATTAACTCTGCCCTATGACCGACGATAGAAAATTGGAATACTTCATGCACTAATGGGTGCCAGTATCACAAACTCGGTTACCTCTGTTGGACAACTAGGGAATTTACCCTCTCAATGGCGTAGCAGGGAATAATTTGATGAGCTATTCCAATAATGCCAATAATGGTGCGAAGCAAAATGGCCTTTCAAATAAACGGCAACGAAAGAACTTGGTGGAAGTATGATGCGGTTTGTTCCAATAAGCCCGAATGTGACTGATCTGACAAGCTTGTCGCAGGCCAGCTCCGCTATGGTGATACAACTTGCTTTGTGGAAGCAGATTACATCACTGGTGGCAAGACTCTAACCATTCGAAGAATGATAAAGACGATGACCACAAAAGTTAGCGATCCTCCAATAGTGATTGATGCCAAAAATTCGAACGCGGATTCATCATCTTCCATCGGATTTGGAACATTCATACCATACATAGAGCCAACAAACGAAGCTCCTCCCACCGCGAGCGACAAGAGACTGACCAGCATATTAATATAGAGCAATCTGTTTCGAATGCCGTCAGATTTCCGGATGACAAATTCTTCTGTAGTGTTGACTTGACCTTGGACAAGATTCAGTGCGTTTGCTAGCGTATACGCATGCTGAAGATGCGCCTCGAGAATGAGCTCTGGCTCGCCCGACTCCTCGTCAAGAGTTGCTGGCAATACTGGCTGGATGAATCGGTCAGGATGTGTTAGCAATCTTGATAGGTTCATCAATGCCATCTCTTGATAGTCTTCCAGTACATTTTCAAGTGCTCTGCGGAAACCTGTCACTCGTGACATCATTTCCTTCACCAAGTTCTTTATTGTGCGTAGGATTTCTTGTGCACGCTCACCAACATCTGCGCCAGGCGCCAGAAGCTCCAAAATCATTTTATCAGCTGACAATTGAAGGTCCATTACGTCTTCCGCAAGAATTGAAGATACGCGGTTCATAATCGCATCCACACTATGAAGCTCGAATGGCCACTGGACCCAGGCGCCCCCTTCCAGTTCTGCCCATTCATCCTGACGCATGCTCTCACGGAGATCTTGGTCATTCATTTCCTCCACGATATCGCTATCACTAGATTCCGAGTTGTTTTCTCCTACCACTTCATCGTTTTTGTTTGCGCTACCCAAATTTGAATGATGAAGAGTCACAGGTTCTAGGGTGTCACCACCCTGGTCGTCCTCGTCGGGTGGCTCGTCCAGCGTTTGTCTATCTTGCATTGCCGCAGTGTTTTCGTTGGTTGCATCCAAGGTGTCTACACCCTCCAATATGTTTTTTTCAAGTTGCTCTACAATGGAATCAGCCCCATCAGGAACAAGGAGCAAGACACGGTCTCTGAGAATGATTGCACGCAACGAATCAAAGTGTAATAGGATCACATGACGCCGAACAATAAATTCTTGCGCATTCGAGGCCGAGAAAGGCGTTACGAGCTTCCTCAAATCTCGGGGGTGCAAGAAGCCCCCCAAAAAGTCTCTGTATGTCACATCTCTCACTTTTCCTTCTGTTGCAGCATCATCATCCTCCTCCTCGGCCGACTCATATTTGGTGGAACTGTTCTCAGAAGAAGGAGTTTCGGGTGATCGCTTTGTTTCTTTAGTCCTTTTGTCTACGACAATGGGCGATGGAGTCAATATCGCCTGGCCCAAAGCCTCGTTGAAGCTATCATCGTTTGTGTTGTCTGATTTGGTTATTGCCCGCAGAATATACCTGTGAAGCGTCCTTACACTGAAGGTATGATAGTCTGTCCCACTGTATTTTAAAAAATCAGAACTAGTGGTGAGATGCTGGTTGCTAAAAATTAGAGATAGAAATCTTCAGGTGTTCTTACCCGTCTTTGCGGATTTCGAAAACAAGCAGTTCTTCAAGACGTCCATGCATCGAACGAGCTGATTTGTGATTTCCGGATTGCTTCAAGTTCTCCAATTCGGGTATCAAGAGGCGGCGATTTCCTCTAAGGTATCTGCTCGACATCCCATCTGTAAGTCCCTTCATTGTTGGCCTTCCCTCCATTGTAAACTTTGTTGTTGTGGCTTCTGGGCGTTTGATGCAGTGCCAAGCTTGTTCAATCTACAGGTCGAATGATGCTCAAGCTCGTGTTCAGTGTGTCTTTGGTGTCAATCTTTTCTGCGGAATTTTTAACTTTTTAAACCTCTCGGTTTTTTAACTTGCGCGCATATCAAAAAGTTCAAGTTCAAAACGTGGTTGATGATTCGAAGTAATCAATTTTGAAATTTGAAGAATCAATCAATCAATCGAAATGATGGTATGATACAGTATGTGATATTCCATTCCATTCCGCAGGTATATTCGGCGGAAGGAAGTCTTCCATTAATGGTCACTGGAAGGAGCACATGTGTTTGATTTAAAACTGGACTAAGAAAGTTTGTTCCGACCTTTTTTTGCCGTGACTAGTTTGTAGTATCTCGTTACAGGATCGTAATCGAAATATTTTCCGATGTTCCCTCATACTTGATGGTGGAAGAAATTTGATAGCCAGCTCGATTGATCAGTTCTGCTGCAACTTTTGTCACAAAACTATTCGATAATACAGCTCCCTCCGACTGAAGTACCTTCCCACCCCAAACTGCCAATCACAAGATTAGACGATGAGTACTCCTACGAAACTAAGACGAAGAAACCTTCACTTCATGCACTTACTGGTTGCTGGGGCATCCAATCGTATCGAAAAGTTGGTGCCTGTTGCACTAATTGATGAACCACCTTCTTTTGCGATGGACACGTCACCTCCAAAGGCGTATCCACTCAGGAGGAATAGATTGACGAGCTGTTTCAAGGACGCCAAAAGTTGTGCTGCAGCAAACCAAAAAGGATCAGTGGGACTATTTCAATGATATCGCAAGTACCGAGGCTGAACTTACTAGAATCAGGTTTGCTTCCTTTCTCAATGGTAGAAATAGCTGAGGCGGATCCTTGAAAGAGTTCTTCCAACTTGTCCAAAATGGTTGCACCAACTCTTCGGCTATGCTCTGGAGCCAACATGGCATCTGTCAAGCTTGGGTCTCTCTTGACTACTACAGGAGCAAACTCCATTGGCTTGTCTTCGCCTTGATCTCTTGGTTGTTGCTCTTCAAATACTGCTGCTGGGTTCACTGTAATTTCTCTATTGATTGTAGCATACTGTGCATACGAAATGAAATCAAAGTAATATGGGTCCGTCAAATCTCCCTGTTGCACCATACCTGCACCGAGATCTTGCGTGTAGCTTTCATAGTCAGAACTGCGTATCAAAAACTGAAGAAATGACACGTGTCAGTGAAACGGTGTTTGTTTATGTAACGGTCAGTTCCTGATGTTGCCCTTACGAAATCCCTTTGAAATTGATCCTGGCAAGAGAGGAGGGAGGACACAAGACACATGTGAGAAAGATTCCCAGGACAATCAATTTTTCCTTCACATCTTGGCATTATCAGTCAGTACTTGCCATTGCCACACAATCTAGCGAATCCAGTGCATTGTAGGACGATCGCATCAACAAGACTGCAAAATCTATGGAGAGTTTCCGACGAAGAATCTTGGGTGGTTTGGCACGAAACTTTCGTTTGGCAATGGCTGCCAAGCTGTCCGTATCCTTTAGAGTAATGGGGGAGGCAGCCATAGAAACTTGGGGACTTGATGCGATGACGTAAGGAATTAGTAGTAGATTGGCAGTTTGTGAAAATACTTGTCGTCGTTCCATCAGACAATCACTTTCATTCTCATTCCCATCCTTTTGTGAGTTGTGAACTGTGAGTCGAACTCGCGGTGTTGGTCCCGAAAATGCTGTAGCCGAGCAAACCATGTATATCACATAGCAAAACAGCGAAAAATCTTTTGAAGATGTCATCTTTGACCTCTCTTTCCTCTTCTCCTGATGTTGGAGGTTGAATTTGTGGTTGGTTTGTTCAACATAGTTTGACCTATTCGACTAAAGCAAAAATCGGCGATCTGTAAGTCGATCGAATTCGGGTTTGAACTGCCATTCACGCACGCTTTCCGTCGAGCGACAAAAGCCATCTTCACGACCAACTGGCAAATTGCTTCTCCAAAGTCAGTCGTCACAAAGCAGAAAGGGTTCCAGCAAAGCGCTTCTTCCCATATTCACAACTTCAAAAGGACAATAAAAAGTCGTTTATCCAATTAGCTAGTACTGTAGAAGATCTCACGAGTTTACAATCATGATGATATGCAAAAAAGTCTCCCTTTTGTGCCTGTTGGCCTTTGTCACGAATGCCAATGCAGGGTTCTGGAGTGAAACTGAAGACAACAAGGAACCCAAACAGCCAGACGAACCAGTGGAATATGGAGTGGATGTCAGTTTCCCAATTCACCACGAAGAGATCTCCACCAATTACGATTGGTTGCCCCATAATGTTGATACATCCATTCAAACTCCCCGACAATATCAGGACATGGTTCGCCAACCTCTCGGCCACCGAAAGGAGTTTTACGAAAAGTTTTTGGACAGCTGTGTGAGACACTTTGGAAGTAAGGGTCAAAGATGTGTGGTAAACGAGGCGGACCGTATTGCCATGTCACTTCGCCAACCTCAGAGTATGCAGAACTACACAGAGGTTGGTTTCAAGAAAATCAGGGCTCCGGAGGCAGTCTTTAAGGTGATCAAGGAATTTTGGGATAAGAACAAGGACAAGGGCAAACCAGAACAATGGGGTGTAGGCAACACGTACACCAACAACTGGGAAGCTCACTCAAAGATGGTCAGTGTGGAAGACACAAATCTGCGAGGAGGAGGCCGAGGACTTAAACAAAAGATCTGGAATGCTGCTCGAGATGTGATTCAAGGTAGGTTGACTAGTTTCTTGCTGCCATTATATAGATGCCATTGCGTAATGAATCTCACACTCAACAATTGCTTATAATACTACAGAATGGACTGGCGAAGAGTTGACCGAATGCTCACTCTATGGTATTCGCATTTACCCCACTGGTAGCGTTCTTGCGACACACGTCGATCGACTTCCTCTTGTTTCTAGTGCGATCATCAATGTTGCCCAGGATGTCGACGAACCATGGTGAGTTTATTTGCACTGTATAATCATGAGTGTTGTATTTGGCTTGGATGTTGTTGTTCTAATGATATGTAATCAATCGAAAACAAAAGGCCACTGGAAGTCTATGGACATGACGGAAAGGCATACAATGTGACCATGGAGCCTGGTGATATGGTGCTTTATGAATCCCACAGTGTGTTGCATGGACGTCCATTCCCACTCAAGGGACGATTCATGGCCAACGTTTTCGTTCACTTTGAACCAGTGGGACACTCCTTGAGACACAATGCCAAGGAAACTGGAGGGGGTGATGTTGATCAGAAATATCGGGATGCATTGCAGCGAGGATCCGGAGGTCATGAAAGTGACTTGCCCCCATATGTGATTCCTGGAACACCGGAAGAAGAACACTGGAGACAACAACACCCAGGAGGTCATGTAAGTAGAAGAACGAATGAAGAGTTGTGTATTTACTTTATTATTGTGAATGCAAATTCTGACTTGTAACGCTCGAAAAAATTTCTTTTTGTTCTCATAGAAATCGGCCCGCAGATCTTCCGTGACTGGTTCTACCTTTGCTCACAAGGCCGCCCAAGGAGGTGATCTTGCGGCATTGCAACGAGAAGTTGCCAAAAAGAAGGAAATCATCCACGCCAAGGATTCCAATGGCTGGACGGTACGTTCCTTTTGCCAAATTATTGATTCCACGCTTGTTATTTCTTTTTCTGGAAACCTCCTCACATTGTTTTTTCTTTCTCTATCTTTCTAAAGCCATTTCACGAAGCCGCCCGCGGAGGCCACATGGATATTGCAAAGTACCTTTTGGAGCAGGGTGCAGATGTCAATCAAAGAACCAATACGGATGGTGGCACGGCCTTGTGGTGGGCAAAGCAAGAACTTGGGACAGATCACCCCATGATTAGCCTCTTGGAGAGTGTGGGAGCCCTAGAGATTGGTCCAGACTTGTAGATTGATTGATTAATTGATTAATATAGTAGTGCAGTACTAGAAACACTAGAAAGTAACTAAACGATACCAATCGTGCTATGTACCGCGGGATATTGGACAGGTACAGTACGGGTACCGGTACATTCATTGTCTACTGCAAGTACACCAAACACTCTTCCGAAGTCAAGTCCAATGGTTCAAATCACAATCATGGAAACACCCGACAGACCGTTGGATTGCGAGGTTCCGCCCTACGGATGTACCACTACGAAGAGCTCGTACTGGCATCACGTGAGGCAAGAAAAGTGCTTGTTTGTGGTTCGATTCATCCCGAAGGACTCGGAAATGTGAAACGTTGGCTATCCACAAAAACTTACATTGCCGCCCTCAAGCGACAAGAAGCAAAAAACAAAAGTAGCTTTTTCAAGTGCATGTCTTTCGTTCCTGCCCCTCAGCAGGCAAATGCCGCTGGCAACAACAATGCTCCAAACGCGGTGAACTCCTCTACTGCCGCACCTGCGGCAGATACTGAAACAACTGATAAGGACCTCCTGTTCAAGCTTCGTACTTTCGATGTTTACTGGGTCGATAAAGAAGCCCTGATGTACCGGGATGGTATTGACAAAGTACGTAGAACAGAGTATTCGGATTAGGTTATATATTTTGTGCAGTGTTGGCCAAAAGATATGCTCTCTGGAAGGATCTAAATGAGTGACAAAGATAAAACATCACAAACATCATTTCATTGGCATTTTTTTTCATTGGAAACCCGAGGCTGTGTTTTGTCAAAGGCTTGATGCTTTGGTCATATTGTATTGTGTATTCGGCTGTTGTGCTCACTAATTCATTGAATTCATTGCCATTTCTCCGAATTTCGCACAGACATTTGACCGTGAAACCAAAAAGAAGGTTATTACCATCAAGCGCCGTTCCTCCATTCCTGTCATCCTCCGTGATATGGCACCTCCTTCTGGTTCCATCTTTGACCCCGCAATCAAGTGGGGAGAAGAGAAAGAACGTCGTCGCATTGAAGAAGAAAAGGACAATGAAGAAAAGATGGCCGCTGCTGCTGCTGCCAAAAACAAAAAGAAGAGCGGAAAGAAGCAAGACAAGAAGAAATCCGCAGCCGATTCCATCAAGGAGTCTAACGCTGCAGATAAGATCAAGAAGGATCATACTCGTGATCTTGAAAAACTCTCCAACCTGCGCACTCTCAAGCTTCTTCAAGAGACGACTTGTGACACCATGAGTGGAAGGATCCATCGCATGATCAAGATGCTTCATCTTGCTGTCTCTGATCTCCGACAAGGAGCTGTCACCTCCAGTGAAGCCGAGGTGTTGGATATCCTATGGGCTCTTGAAGAGATGCCTACTTTCAAGATTGCTGACGAAGAAGTCGCCAAGGAAAAGGAAGCCAAGAAACAAGAGAAGAAGACTGATAAGAAGGATGACAAGAAGCCCAAGAAAGACAAGAAGGATAAAAAGGATAAGAAGAAGGACAAGAAAGATGAACCGGCCGAGAAGATCGAGAAGATTGTTCTCAGTGCTGAAGCTCAGTCCTTGAAGAATCTCTACAAGGATGGTGGTGATAACCGTGGTTCTTACAAGGACTCCTTGAAGTATGCACGCAAGCTCATGAGCGGAAAGGAAAACTTGATTTCTTTCCAGTTGACCGAGATGGCCGATCGTTTGCCACCTCTCAGTCGCTACAACCGAAAGTTCCAGTTGGAACCATGGCAATGTGATATCTTGCAAGCCATTGACAACCGAGAATCGGCTGTGGTTTGTGCTCCAACTTCTTCTGGAAAGACTTTGTTGAGTACTTACACGTGTAAGAATGCTCGTGGAACAGTCTTGTTTGTTCTTCCTAGTGAAGTGTTGGTCTGGCAAGTTGCCTCCACCTATTACCAATTCTTCAAGGGTAATGTAACTGTCTGTACCGATCAGATTACCTTCCAAGAAGTCACTGGTGACGCTCAAGTGTACATTGGAACACCCCTTGCTTTGGAACGTAGTTTGAGTAAGGTTCGCGGTATTGCTGGTGACGAAATGACCAAGGGAGAACGTGAATTCATGATCCTCGATGGTGGATACAAACAATTCGATTACCTTGTTCTTGATGAGGTGCACACATTGAATGGTCCCGAGGGAGATGCCTTGCAACGTTTGATCAAGTGTTGCAACTGTCCCGTACTTGCTTTGAGTGCTACCATTGGAAATGCTATTCAATTGAAGGACTGGTTTGCCAACGTCTTGAACATGCACATTCAATCCACAGTGGTTGATGATCAAGAGGAGAAGGCTGAGGTTATTCTAAAGGAACATTATGCCCGTTTCATCAATTTGCAGCGATACGTTGTAACCAAGCAAGAAGGAAAGGATGGAAAAGTAAAGGCCAAGTTGGTCAAATTGCACCCTGTTGCTGCCATGACCGCCGAACGTCTACAAAACGAGCCTGAATTGGTTTCGGCCTTGTCCATGACTCCCTCTGATATGATGACTCTCTGGAAGAGACTCAAGTCCATGTTCCCCGGTACTATTCTTGAGGATTTGGATGACCCAGATAACTTCTTTGCACAATACGTTGACGAAAGCAAGCGTATTACTTTGAATCAAACCAAGGAATATGAGACCAGGTTGAAGAAGAGATTGGCTACCATCTCTCAATCTCACCCTGAATTGTACGAAAAACTTCGCACAGCTCAAGAGCCACCACCTTTGGAAGCCAAGAAAGATGTCAGCGAAGAGCTTTGCGACGTCATTGAGCAGCTCAAGGCTAACGAGTTGTTGCCAGCTGTTGCTTTCCAACTGAACACTTACGGGGCTTTCGATATGTTTAAGAATGTCTTGGGACGCCTCGAGAGTGACCAAATGGCTGAATTCCCAAACTACCGAAAGGATCTCATCAAGCTAGCAAAGGAGAAGGCACAAATGAGAAAAGTTGCTGCTGGACGTGCCAGTCGTGAAAATGCTGCCGAGGCAGAGGAAGATGCCAAGTCCGGTTTTGTTGACGAATCCATGGTCAACGAAGATACCACCAGACCTCATGACAAGTACGTCTTGTCGTCGGCTGGAAAGCGATTGAACTTCAACGAAGTTGAAGGAATCATCGCTGACATGAAGAAGTCCGGTGAAAAGGTCGACATCAACCACGCTTTGATCCGTGGTCTTCGTCGTGGTATTGCCATCTACACTAACGAGGTGGGATTCTCGTGCTACCGCCGACAAGTTCAGATGCTTGCCCAACAAGGTCGCTTGGCCGTTGTCTTTTCTGATTCAGCTCTTGCTTATGGAGTCAACATGCCTTTCCGTTCGTGTGTTTTCTGTGGTGATATGGGTGAAGAGTTGACCCCATTGATTGCCCAACAGATGCAAGGTCGTGCTGGACGCCGTGGTATGGATGTTCAAGGTAACATCATTTACCTTGGAATGGATTGGCCTTACATTGAGAACCTCATGCTTGGACAAATCAGCCATGTCAATGGTAAGGAACCCAGATACCCAATCATGGCATTGCAAGGGGCTCTTGCTGCATCCAATAATCCAGACGATACCAAGATGTTCATTCACGATGAAGCTGATTCGGCAGCTTTTGCAACTGCTATTCGCAAGATTCACCGAAATCAAAACTGCTTCCCTACTGTTTCCGACGAACAGATGGAGTGGATGACGAACACTTCTCTTGGAGACTTTTGCCAAAACAAAGAATCCAACGAGTATTTGGACTTGTCTCGCAATGTCATCAAGACTCTTGGCTACATCGACGAGGACAATACTCTTGCAATGGACCACAATGTTTTGACAATGGTCTGGGAGATGCACGATTACATGCCAGAAGCCATCCACCTCTGTGCTATTCTCGAATCATTGTACCTCCGCTTCAGTTACCAGAAGAGTAAGACCTTCAAGGAAAGTGACTCCACTCAAAACGAGTTGCTATCTATCTTGATTCACATCTTGGATCGTCATCCACCTCCGGAAGGAGAGGAAAGCTTGCAACAATTGCTCCGAATTGAAGCTTCGGAGGATGGCAAGCAAAACATGGAAGCTCATGCGCTATGGGTTGAAACCGAAGAAACGCTTCGCAAGCAGAACGAGCTGATCAACGGCATGGATATTCCAGAAGAACAAAAGGCCATGATGCGCCTTGTCATTCCTCCCTCTTCGGAAGAGGGTGGTATTGGCCCAGCCTTGGACAAGGGAGTCTATGAAATGTTGGTGTCGAAGCAAAAGGGTTTCAAGCCAGAACAAACCACCGCTCGTCGTAACGAGCTCAAGAACCGCATTGTCACTCTTGGACACATTTGCCAAATCGCTCACAACAACTTGCAACAACCTCATGGAGAAATGGAACAATTGGAGGTCCACTTCCGTCGTATGTTCAGCAACATCAAGTACAGTGTTGCGGATATGATGAACCAATTGACTGATCAAGAAGATTTGACTGAGATCTAATCAATCATCTTTGTAATGTTTAGTCCTAGGCTAGGACTAATCCTATCACAGACAATAATAAATGAAAACAAATCATAAAACTTGCTGCTTAACTTTTTCGCCATATCAGCGTTAGAATTACAAGAGTCTCCAGCGATAAGGACTGTGCAAAAAGAAACCAAACTCCCAGTCTAGGCTGCCCCTCCATTGTCAAGCAGTTGTCATTCGTAACCAAATGAAAGTCGGTGCAAATTCCAGATGTTTTGTTGCTCAAAAGTCTTGCCACGAGTGGTCGAAAGGCTGGAACCGCCACCAAGACGGAAATGGCAAAGACCAGACTGCACAAGCAAGGCTGAATAATGTAGAGGATCCTGTAGCAATGCTTGCTCGTTGCTGGTCCAGACCTCCAGGTTCCAATGGCCAAAAAGGTGGCCACAAGCGGAACAATGTAGACAAACACGAAGAAAAAAGCGCCTTGCGACACCATGATCCAATGTTTCGTTTCTGCCAAATACGCTTCATTGTGTAAAAGTTTTGGAAATTGCCAAAAGTGAAAGGTGATTTTTGGGTCTTCAATGAATTGAGACGCCAAACCTCCAAACTTAATGGAAAAGAGTGGGAGAAACAAGGCGGGTATTAACAAAAAGGTGGCTCCCAAGGAGGTTTCGTAGAGAACAATCTTCTTCCAGGTGGGCAATCCAGCAAAGGCGTTTCGTCGCTGTCGCACCATTCGGGTAGTAGTCTCGGCAAATTCTTCATGAATGGGCAACAAAGGTTCCGTCTGATCCGCCAGGCTGCTGTTATTATTGGCGTCACTGTCCATGCTTCTGGTCCATGGCAATTGAAAGGCGTGGCTCGGCGGAGCGTGAAAGGATGACGACGTTGCATTAGGTTCTAGTACCCGCGAAGTATTGGCACTTGTAGTAGTAATAGTAGTAGATGCCAGCACACTTGTCTTGGTCTTGGCCCATCTCAACACTCCAATGACTATCAAACCGAGTACCATTCCGAGTGTGTAACAAGACATTCCATTGCTCGTGCGATTGACAATTCTCACGTCGCTTCCATTTCCAATCAAACTGATTGATACAATGGCAACATCCAATATCGACAGACTAAAGACAGTTGCCAAGGAAAGCCGTAGCATCCATTCCACAATCGGACGGCTCCTTTTAAAGGGTTGCTGTGGATTCCTTCTATTATCTGAAGAAGTTCCTCGCACAATCGCTCGATTCGCGTGATCTGAAATGGTCCACCCGGAAGTCAAAATCATGGACATACAGGGCAAGACCATCGATGTCAAGAGCAACGCCACGGCAGCTCCATTCAAGTCGGCTTCGAGAAACTCGGATAATAACGACGATAAAGTAGAAGTGTGCAGCAAGGTATCCTTGGTGCCATCCAACCAGTCGACGGTAAATCGCAAATGCGTCTCGAACCAAGCCGAGGACAAAAAGGATGCCCAAAGTAAACCTGCATGCAACAAGCACAGGGAGGCAGCGCCCAGTGTCAAAAACATGGAAGCTGGCGTTTGTGGTAGTGGCGCTGGTGGTGCAATGCTAAACGAAGTGGGGCCTTCTTCCAAGAAAAACTGGGGCGACGAAGAAGACGATTCTATCTCTTGCTGTTGATCCTGTTGATCCTGTTGTTGTTGTTGTTGCTGCTGCTGCTCGGACGTCGATTGTTGAATAAGGCGTTCCAGTGGAGACTGTTCCAGATCTGATTGTGCAGGGCCTAGATTGGGAGTTTCGCTGTATTGATCAGTGGCCAATAGTGGAGGATCTGACGGCATTTGGGGATGCTACTGTTCTGTAGGGATGTGAATGCAGTCTCTTCAAGCTGGTTTCCCTAGCATACAATTGTTTTGCGTTGTGGTAGTATCAATCTATCAATCAATCAACTGATATTAGAATACTCTTTCGGCACTTTCCATCGAATCATGACATTTCAAAGAAGACGTCATGTCAAAATTCTCAACGGAATTCCCACCGACTGATTCGATTGAAATGAATTATATTTCGGTCGACGTACGTACACACATTTCAACGCCAAATTGAAATTTCAAAACCAAAACATTTTGATTCGACTACAGTGGTATGCCAAAGCGCCGACAATCACAGCAACAGAATGAGGAGGACAGCATCGACAATACTGCGGCGACGAATAGCATCTTCAACGAGCCGAAGAAGGGTCCTCTTTCCAAACGAGTCTAATTGTTTCCATCCTCCTGTACAGCACAAACAATCACCCAGTACATCGCAGATCATCATCATTCGTCCACTGTCATCCTCCTCTTCAGATCGTCGAGATTTTGACGTTGAGAGATTTGTCAACGAATTCGTAAACAGACCGATTGGAGATTTGGATGATGAGGACTGGGAAGAGCTGGAATATTATCTCCGAAAATGCTGTCGCCAAGCGGATCCAAGCTCGGTCAAACTCTCCTTTCAAGTATTGGATCGAATCATCAGAAGCATCGACCAAGAAGAAGAAGCCAATCCACCTTCCAATTTCAATCCTCTCAATATGGTAGTTATGAATTGGAGGAATACTTACCAGTCAGCAGTATCAAAAAAGCACGACCGCAACCTTCCAACACCACAAGCCATTGTCGACCAGATTGATGTGTGGCGGAGTGCAGATGATAGCTGTCTACAGCCCGATGCCAAGACGTACACCATGATCATGGAAGCATTGCTGGGTGGCAACCACAACAAAAAGATCAAAAACATGAATGAACAAGACGTCTTGTTTGCGGGAGGACTCCTCGAATGGATGTTGGAGGAATCCAAGAAGCAATTCCAAATACAACCGACCACCTACACCTTTGCCGCCGTCATGAATATCCTGAGCAAAAGTGACTTGCCAGATCCTCCTCAAAAGATAAAAGCCTTGATTGACAAGATGAAAGTTCTAGAAAATGAAGGCTGGCCCGACATCTCGCCCAATCTGGTAGTCTACAATACTTGGCTCCATTCGTTGTCGCGAGCTGGCAATGTGGAACAAGCCCAACACGTTCTGCAACAAATGCTCACGGGAGAAATTCCAGGTGTAGAACCCGATCGGATTTCCTTCACCGCATTGTTATCCGGATATGCCAAGCAACAAACCCAGCAAGCGGCCGAAAATGCGGAGACCTTGTTGTTGCAAATGCACAAACTCTACAAAAGTGGTGGTGGCGAATACGATTCCTTGAAACCAAACATGATAACCTATACCATTGTCATGGATTGTTATGCCAAACTAGGACAAGGTGAAAAGGCGGAAGCACTCTTAAGGAAGCTCCTACAGCTGTATCAAGAAACGAATGATCCCGACTGGGAAGCCGACTTGGCAACCTACAATACTGTTCTCTTGGCATGGGCTCGTTCCAATCAACCAAAACATGCGGATCGATTTTTGCAGTTTTTGTACGAAGAGGCGGATGTGACTCCCGACGAACGATCCTTCAACATTGTGCTATCGGCATGGGCCAAGGTAGGAAATGCCGAACAAGCTGAGATTATCTTGACCCGCATGCACGAGTTGTATGTCGAGGGAGAATTGAACACACAACCGACGACCGTCACCTACAATACCGTACTGGATAGTTGGAAGAATTCCAACCAAACGAATGCTTGGAAACGGTCCATCAAGATTCTGGACCACATGATGGAACTGCACGATGCCGGGGAGAAAGCTGTGAAACCAAATGAACGAACCTGGAATGCAGTTTTGAATGCCTTGGCAAAGGCGGGCAGGGTCGATCTGGCATCCCAGTATATAGACAAGTTTACTAAAGCTTATCAACAGGGAGACGTTGATCAAGGACCAAGTATTCGAGCTTGGAATGCTTTGTTGGCGGCGTGTTTGAAGAAAAAGGATGTGGACTCAGCCCAAAAGATATGGCTACAATTGCAAAACAACCAGAGCCTGTCTCCCGACGTGGTGACCTACAACACACTGCTCAATTGTTATGCCAAATCACCACAACGAAGACGATATCGCAACCAAATGGAAACCACCTATCAACGCTTACAACACGATGCCAATGTGAAACCCAACAAGATTTCCTACTTGGCAATTCTCAATTATTGGATTCAATCGCGACAAGTGGACAAGGCCGAAAGCTTGTTGGATGAATGGTGCGAAAATCATGATTTATTGGGGACATCCTTTCCGGATAGGGATCTCTTTCACGTTGTGCTGAATGGTTGGTCCTATGCCAAGAAACCTCGCCATGCAGAATCTTTGGTGTTGAAAATGGCCGATCTCTCCGAACGTCCGAACCATCGCAATCTCAAACCCAATGTGGAAACCTACAATCGATTGCTGAACGTTTGGGCCAGGTCCAACGCACGAGATGCGGGAGAAAGGTCCGATGCCATTCTCCGACAAATGCAGTCCTTTGCCATTGGAAGCAATACTCATGATGCAGTCGCTCCGGATATCATTTCGTACAACAGTGTCTTGAATAGCTGGGCCAACAGCGGTGATCCCACCGCCGTGACCAGAATTGAAGGCTTGGTCATGGAAATGATTCTAAAGGGTTTACCTGCACTAACGCCAACCTTGGCATCCTATGGCACCTGGCTCAAAGCCATTGAAAATAGTGGGGAAGACGACAAGGCGAGAAGAGCTAGAGAAGTGTTGAAAACCATGAAGATTCATCAGTTGGAGCCATCCGAGTACATACTGCAAAAGGTAAAAAGTTTTTCGGTTGACACAGCAAACGCTAAGAAATAGAAAAATAATAGAAACTGTCTACTAGAGGATAAACATTTCTATTCAAACTACTGGCTTGGTTGGCTGTGGAGCTGAAAGGAGTCTGACGTACTCCAACACGATGAGATGCATGTACTGGGAAAGTATTGTAAACAGTCTTCGCATTCATGACGACTTCAATCAAAGAGATGCTGCTTGCAAGTTCGGTTAGGCTGCTTCGTTGCCCGAACATGGGGGGGGTGTAGCTTATTCCGCATAGTCGCCGGCGATGATTCATTACTGCTTCTTGTAACCGATTGCAGGAACACACGCATGTATCTTCTGGTGTCGTCGACTTGACACGAACATCAACCAGTCTTTCTAGCACCTGCGAGAGGTTCAATCAACCGTGTCTCTTGTAGACCAACATCAAACAAACAAAACGTCTAAAGTTTCATCTGCCTTTCTCTTGTCGCCCTATTTCATTGGATTTCGAATTTGTCCAACTCAAATAGGAATTCCAAACACCAGCGGAGCAAGCAAGATAGGGCACTCTCAGAGCTGGAGGAACAAACGTAAAATTGACGACATTGGCGATGGGCCAAAATACACAGCCCGCCGTGAATGCTTTTGGCACTTGTGTGTGAATTTTCTCTGCAATGTCAGGATGCCCTTCCATGTATCCCATGGCCCCAAAGAGTGCCACCAAGTAAGGCGGAAAGACAACAATTTGCGCTGTCGCCGTCTTCATTGCCACAATTCGCAGTGAGGTAGCAGCTCCAAACTGCTTGTCCAGCATGGAGAAGCCAGCCAAAAAGTAGGGACCATGCAGAGTCAAACCAACAACGGTCCATCGCAAGGTTCGTTCCACCGAATACTCGTCCTTGGTCTCGCCCTCCACAAACAGCTGGGTTCCCATATCCGCCAGGGTCATGATGGTTCCGGATTGGGCCCCTGCTCTTGCTGCCTGACGAAGCATCATGGTCCTTTGCGACCTGACTGACAGAATTTTGCGTTTGTCATTTTCGAATTTGTTGTTGTATTTCTTGTAGACACGTGTAGATGGGCAGACCAGCAAAGGTAATCTTTCCAAACTATGTGCTACCGGTGCAACTAATCACCAAGATTGTGTGTCTCGTCCATTCATGAATGCATTCCTTGCTCTCAAGGAGGGTTGGCAGTATGCATCCATAGACTAAAGGCTCCAATACATCCACTAACAAACTGTGCCCATGTCACTTGTTCCCCTCGATTTGACAATAGTACTTGTTGTAGAATTCCGGAAAGGATCATTCCAAAAATGGTAGAGAATCCCTTGACTACCGCACCCATATGTTTGGTCACTAGACCCACCAGAATACCTCCAAATGCATTGGTTGCAATAGGAATAGTCGTTTTCCAGGTCCACCCCTTCAATAATCCCTTTTTTCGAATAAGACGAGAATCGGGGGATCCCAAGGCCAAGGTTGTCAACAAAAAGAGAGACGAGAACACCGCCAATTCCAAATTGAACAAGTGGGGACTCCGAGCATGAAGTGTCAATGTCTTTTGCGTCAAGGCTCCAGCCAGTCCACTCAAGAAGCTAGCGCACAAGGCTGGCACAACGCCCCCAAAGAGTTGCCGCTTATCGACTTCGTCCCAAGTACTGTCCTGACTCAGCTCGTCATTGCTCCCTTGTCGCTCAAAGTCGTTTTCCCTATCATCGTCGTCTTTCTTGTCGCAAGGCAGTGGCAATATTTTTTGATTCACCAAGGCCGAAATCACCAACAACAATAACGCCGCAATTTGCCATCGACTCTGTGGCTTGTCCATAATGATGAAGCAGCAAAAGGCTGTTGATAGCGTCTTGGTTTGATTCAAGACGGAGAAGGTCACAGGTGGCAGTACTTGATTGGCCATTAAATTCAAATAGGTTTGGGTGGTAAAAATGACTGCTGGCACACCGGCCGCCAAACACGCCGATTCCCAAGTCCATTCGTTAATGGCTTCGCTCCAGTTGCCACTTGCCAGTAGAAAGGAAATGGACATGATAAATTTTGCCATTTCTTGGCCCAAGACGCAAGTGCTTCGAATGAGGTCTTCTGGCATGAAGAACTTGACGAGAATGGGTTGGATGCCACATTGCAGTGTCAAGAGTAAAAAACAAACAATGGAGGCTGCCGAAAAGGGAACGTGCGAGGTGCTGGTCAGCGATTCGACAATGGCTTCTTCTGACTTTAGTGCCGCCTGTCGTAATTCTTGATCCAATTGATAAAATTGTCCCATTTGGCCATTCTGCATGTTCCAAATATAAATGGCAAAGCAAGCCACCATGAATAGAAGACCGCCATTTTTACCTTTTCTGGCTCGAGCGGCTCGCGATGCACGTTGTCGTAGCAAGTACTGATTGCTATTTGTATTGGTTGTTGCTGCTGCTGCTGCTGCTGCTGTTGTTGCTGCTGCTGCTGCTGGGTTGGTTGCGGACGTACGAGCGATTGTGACTGTCTTTCCTTTTGCGTTCCCTGCTCGTGGTGATCCTATTGGTTTCACTGCTGCCACAGTCGTCGTCGTCGTCGTCTTAGGTTCATTGTTGGTGATAGGAATCGAGATGGTGGCAGGTCCTATCGTGGGTGATTTTCCATTGGACCCTAGTTTGGATGTGACGACCGGTGAAGGCGACGATGGATAGGATCGGTCTTCTTGTGAAGGTGGTGATGGAGACCGACTCCGTGATTGCTTGGTAAGTGTAGGATTATCGTCCATGGAATCTTAAGATACTGGTGATTTGTGTTGAAAAAGAACGTATGAGTGTATTATTCTTCAAGGACATTCGCACAACCAAAGAAAGAGTGAATGTGCAAGGAATAAGTGGCATCAAATCGTAATGACGAAGATTAGTTTTTGTGCATTATGACCCGGATAAACGCGACATTAGATTCGTGACAGACTTGCACGTGACTCGAATATTCGGTTCAAGTTTTTTTATTTATTAGCACACATTTTTCAAAATTTCGAAATAACGGGAATTTGACTTGGATCAACCGATGCTTTGAAACCGGACTATTACCAAGTACTTTCCACCTAGATTTCAACGAATGATGTACTGTAGTAATCATTCACTGCATACCAACTCATTATTCATACGAAATATCATATATAGAGCAACCATATAGACAACAGGACCTCATCACCAATCATGAACCCGTCTCGGTTTTCGAAATCACGATCCTATCAGAAGATTTTCACTCCACCACCAGGAACTCGTTATCCGAACCATCGTCAACAGGAACTATCTCCCGAGAGGCAAACGCCAAACAGCAAAGTCAGTGGGAATAGCGATTACCAAAGTACTATGCAACAAGCGAACGACGATTGCAATACTACTACCACTACACCACCATTGCGAGCAGGAATGAAAAGAGAAAGCATTCCACTCTATGCGATGCATTCTACTAGAACGATTCAAAACGCCATCATGGTCCCCAATTCACCAGGCAGTAGTGCGTCGGAGAGTGATCAGGACGAGAAGCAACCACTCAAAGAGAGAATCAAGAACCTTCATCCTGCTACCGGTACGGATACCGACAACATTATCTACGAAATGACAAGTGACAGCATGACATCTCCCCAATCGCGACATCCACAAAACATTTTTCGCGATAGAACCTTTAACGACTCCACAGAGGATGATGCATCGCCAAGTAGCAGTCGACGATTGGACCCCAATCAACGAGACGAAAACGATCCTCCTCGAACGAACAGCAAGATTCACATGGCACCATCTTCATCATCAGGCACCACGACAAAATTGCATCGATTATGCCAAAACATGCTCACATTTGGTGATATTTTGCTGGCAAAATCCATTCTGAGTAGTGAAGATGCCTACAATGACAAGAATAGCGCATCCATCAAGGACGATCGAGGTGCGACGCCGCTCCATGTCTTTGCCCGAAACAAGGCACTGGCTGCAAAGGTCTGCCCGTATCATGGGGAGTCCTCCAAGGGGTTTTCAAAATTGTATCCACAATCGTCATCATTTGATACTCTGGAAGCAGAATCGAACTTGAAAAAGGAGATTGTCAAATTCCTGGTCCATGATCTGTTGGCTGCGAGTCCAAAAGCCACAGTTCAAGTAAACAATGAGGGTTTCATACCCTTTCAAGCTGGCATAGCTGACTGGGTCCACACGTGCCAAAATAATGTACGAAATGCGGCCTCTAGAAAGACTGGTCGACATACAACTACAATGGGTCAAGTTTGGGAGTCGACGTCCACGACGTTGACGAATGCAATGAAATTAGCACAAGGGAAAGCAACAGGAGGATCGCAAGCAAAACTGTCATTAGAGGATTTGGAACAAGGTCAAGGACTTCAGGCCGGCGTCCCGTCAGTATCTAACAATACGTCTGAGAACCACCATGAAACTCGTGAGGTTGGCAACCTGGTGGCGCTCAGTGAACACGCTCGCTTTATTTTCATCATGCTCTCGGCGATCATTGACCGGTTGGAAATGCACGACTCTTCCAGACAGGCTTCGTCTCCTCGATTTGGTAATTCTTTTTCCAATCAAGGAGGTTTCGAAAGGACCGGCAGAATGAATATCCGAGGCCTCAAGAGGATTGAAGGAGCTAGTGAGATTGCAGCAACTATCATCGAAGAAGGTAAGAGAGTCAAGGTCCTGGTTTCAGTCACACAGGAACTGAATCACAACTTGTGCCTAACATGGTGGATCTCTTCAGTTGCATCCATTCCAGGATTAATGGAGACATTGCTTCTTATTGAAGATGATAGTGAACGGGACTTTGCCATATCGCAAACTATCATTCTCCGAGTAATGGCAAGTCGAAGAACAATCGGAGTCTGGCTGACAGGAATGTTGCAAAGTGACGATCGAAAAGTGGCATTTCGAGCCGTAGACTACCTCAAGACGGCTTCCATCGAATGTGCCAAGAACAGCACTTCAACCTTGCAGGGATCTACAGGTCCTCGGGTTCAAGATTGTGCGGGGCACATGCCACTGGTGGATGAACTCAGTAATCTCCAAGATTTCATCCCTGCTCTTCTTGCACTAGGAGATCAAGGAATGGAAGAAGCTTCAACGACGTTGATAGTGAAAGGTGCTCTCGATAGACTGATATCCAAGCCATTCTCTGTGACGGTAATCCTTTGCGATGTCATCTTTTTGGTAATCATGATCCTAGGTTTTCGGTACGTGCAATGATGTTCCTCTGGGAAAACAAGGATTGTTTCTTTTCTTTGACAAAACATTAACCCCATTGAACTAGCTCTTCCGTGAGGAATCTGATATCAGGAAGAGACTTGGGCAATGTGTTGTGGTGGATTTACGTCGCCAACATTGGCATTTTCTATTTCATCATGCGTGAAATTGGAAAGCTATTTAGCCTTTTGAGTATTGCCAAGCGCGCTCGAAGATACTTTCTTTCATTTTGGAATCTCATTGATTTCTTGGCCACATTCCTTGCTTTGATTTCGACTGTGGCCATGCGCTGGCATTTTGCTCTGGACAATCGTGGGCTAGATGACTTTGGTATGCTCCGAAAGTTGCTAGCAGTAACGACTGGATTCCTCTGGCTGCGAGTGTTGAGTCTTCTGAAAGCAATCAATATGCAACTGGCAACATTTGTGTTGGCAATCATTCAGATTACAAAGGATATCTTGTGGTTCTGTGTCATTTTGGTGACTCTTGTAATCTCCTTTGCACAGATGTTCTTCACCGTATTGGCGCCAGCATCCTGTGCTACAGACAATACTGACAACATGCAATGCAAAGAGAGCGACTATTTGCTACGGGTCTACACGATATTGCTGGGCGATTTCGGAAACTTTGATTTGGATAGCTTCCAATCAGGGTTCCCAGTATTTCTCTTGGTGTTGTTTTCTTTCCTTGTCACGGTGGTCCTTCTCAATGTTTTGATTGCCATTGCTTCGGACAGCTATGAAAAATGTTTGATTCGTTCTCAGCACCTGTTCGGTAGAGCAAGGATCATGCTAGTCGCAGAGCTCGTCTCATTTCAGAACCTTCTGAAGCGGGCGGATCAAAACAATGATCAAAGACTAGACCTACTCCCACTGGTCTACAGCGTCTGGTGGACAAGAAGCTCTGTATTTGAGCATTGGAGCAGGTCATCGGTCTTATTCTTCTGTGTTTCTGGGTCTGTCACTCTGGTATGGACCCTCGCTGAGCTGTGGGGCTACTCCAGTGGCGACCATCATGGGAGTGTCATGTTGTGTCTTTCGAGTGTGATTGTGAATGGACTTCTCTTCATGATGATCATGACATTCTTGAAGAAAGCAGCCAGTAAAACGAACGCTATAAAAGGTGACGCTGATAGAGAGGCAGATGGTTTCACGGATGGTTACATTCAACAGGCAATGCTTCATGTGTTGGGAACATCTCAAAAGCTGAACCGTGACCAAAAGTCCAAGAGGGGCAACTTTAACGATTGGAGCGGTCGAGTTAACTATCTCCAAAAAGAAATGATGAGGATCTCAAAGGAACAAGAACTTCGGTCTCAAGAACACATGAGAGCCATTGAAAACTGCATTACTTTATCCGAGACAAGACTACGAATGGAAATCAATGAACTTCATGATCGTATGGGTAACCTAACTCAAGGCGGAACCGTCGAAGGGGTAGACGACGACCGCCAATACGATTGTTGAATGTATTCTTTAAAAAACAAAATAATGCATACATACAATATACCGACAGACGCAAACGTCCCGATCTTAACAGCTCTACTTGCTATAATACTTGGCAGCGAATGGGCACTAGATCAGCATAGACTGCAATATAAACAATGTATCCTAGGAGTACAGTACATACAATTGAACCTTGCGTGTATGCCTCACTACGATATCCATCATGGATCCCTGCTCACTGACTGTTTACACTCCAACTTGTGTATCCTAGATGAACCTACAACCAATATACTATACTCCCACACAACGCCTACTGTCAGGTAACGTACTTTTTTCTTTTATTATTTGCTCGTCCTAGACTATTAATTATTTAAAAGACACGGAAGGACTTCTTTCCGGCAATGGCACGTTGAGGTTCATGTGCGACAACGTTGAATCGGACCGTCTTGGAAAGAGGACGGCATTGACCAATGGTGACAAGATCTCCGTCCTTAACAGGAAAGGCAGGAGAGCAGTGAGCAGCAATGTTCTTGTGTCTTTTCTCGTAACGACGGTACTTTCGGATGTAATGCAAGTAGTCTCTTCGGACAATGATGGTTCGCTTCATCTTGGTGGACATGACTTGTCCCTTGAGGATTCTTCCACGGATGGAAACATTTCCGGTAAAGGGGCACTTCTTGTCGACGAAATTTCCTTCAATGGCGGCATCAGGAGTCTTGATACCTAGACCAACGTTCTTGACGAAACGCATGGGCTTGGCGCGAGAAGCACTGACAGCACGCTTTCGTGCGACAAAAATGGCATCTTGCTTTTGGTAAGCCTTTTCGTGCTGATCGCACTCGACGTATTCCTTGGGGACTCGAGCCATGATTGCAAACTTCTAATGGAGAAAAGAAAGAGAAACGGTATGAGTAAATTAACTACGGTCGGTATGGCGGCTGGGATCTTCCAGAGGTTCCTGGCAGCAGCAGTATGCATCAAATAAATGTATTTCCAAAGAGAAATCATCCATCAAATTAAGAAGCGCCATCCACTACAAAGATGGCTCATCCTGGTTGTTGTATTGTGATTGATACTGCTATTGCCTCGCAATCCCTCTCCCATCTTTTTCCAATTCGATTTCATCATCGTACCTTGGTTTGAAAGTGTTGTACTTGGGCTTGATGAAAATCACTGTGCCGCAGCAAATACTGGTTACCACTTTCTAGAAGTGCGCACCCAATGCGCATTGATTGTTTGTGGTTCGAAGTCGAAGAAATCAATTTTTTGACTCATTAGACTGTCCTACCAATCCGCGACTCACATTTCCAGTCATGCCGTCCAAAAATCAAAACGGAAGGCATTGGAAGCACGATTGATCTAAAATAGCGGACTCTCAACTTATTTAACGCAATTTTCGAGTAGGGCAATGCACCCGAATTTTGTCGACCCAACACGAGAAATTGGCGTGGAAATATGCGGTAAAATCCGTTTCTTTGGACAAAATCCAAGAGGATGGTGAGAAAATTAATTAATAAAGGCATGGCAGCATCGGATTCCACACGAGTCATGGAGGCCGCAAGCGTAAGATTGGGTTGCTTTCGAATGCATTGGGGACACTTCGACGTGGTATCAACCGCCGAAAATCAAGCCTCTCCTTGGTGGCTACTCCCAAACTTGGACAATACCAGATAGACAGCTTGAATTCGATTCGACACTTTATATGTATCGAATCAGTGAAATGAGCACCAACCCTCAGAGTGGCAGTGCATCTAGTTCCTCCAGCGGCGACATTCGCAGAATGAATCGCAGTCAGTTGCCTCCCCTGTTTGTGTATATGGAAACGGGCGACTGGGCACGAGCGATGGAACGTGCAAAGAAACATCCCCGAGAAGTCAAGACGTGGGCATCCATTCGTTCCAAATCGTCGAGCAATGATAGAATATCTGGAGCCAAACGCTTAGCGCTGCATCATGCTTGTTTCAAATTGCGAAGTTCGGTATCCTCAGGATCCTTTGGCAGTACTTCTTCTACGTATGATTCTACTACCGATGCCTTTATTGAGGTTTGCAATCTGATTCTATTGCTCATCGAGTTGTATCCAGACGCGGCAGGCATGAGAGAATCACGACATGGTTGTTTGCCTCTGCACTTGGCGGCCTTTGCTTCCTGTACCTTGAATAGCACTCCTTCCAAAGATGATGAAAGCGTCAAGAGCGAACCATCGACCTTTTCCTTGTCGACGCTCGGCAACTCGCTGCCTGTCTTTAATAAGTTGGGTCGGCCATCCGCTATTCGAAATAACAATCGATCGCAGTCGGAAGCCACCACCATGACGGCGGGATTCCTTGAGGAAAGGTTTACAGGCAATCAAACGGATCAAAAGCAAGCGGGTTTGTCCCCCAAGGAATCCAATTCGACCTCGGTGTCCATGGGGCCCAACTTTTTGATTTCCGAAAAGCGAGAAGAGGCAGCCGTCAAGGTCTTGAATGCCTTGTTGGATGCTTATCCACGAGGCAGTCGCATGGATTCCGAAGGTGGAAGATTACCCCTCCATACGGCTTGTGCAGGACGCGCGACACCCTTGGTCGTGGCCACCTTGATCCGCGCCAATCCATCGGCAGCGCGTCATCGCAATAAGGATGGATTCTTGCCATTGCATCTATCCGCGCACTGGGGAATTTCACATCCCAATGTGGCAACTTCTCTACTAAAGGCGTACCCGGATGCTACCTTTGGTCGAAACCGATGGGAACGCACTCCATTGGAAGAAGCACTCTGCATGGCGGGAGAAAACGGAAGACCACATCAAGCATCTTTGGTGCGGGCGCTCCGAAAACATCCTTCCTATTGGACTCGACCTGCAGAATTCATTAAAGAAGAACGCAAGAAGGGACGACAAATTGTGGACATTGATGACATGGATGATGAAACATGCATGACAGAAGACTATGTGGTGATGCAATCCAACAGGTACGTTGAAATGATACCGATATGGGAGAAGTGCATTTTGTCTTGTTGGAAGAATACAAATATACTCACTGCTCATTTCGTGTCGTTCTCCTTTTTACGAATACATAGCCGCGGCAGTCCCGAAGTCAAGAACAACTCTCAACGACAAAATGCCGACTTGCACAGCTTGATGCGTGATCAAGAATGGGAGTTGGTCATGTCCAAGCTAGAAACTAGTCCTCTGGATGCGGAAGAAGAACTCAAGGTCACGACTCGGGGTGGGTTTACATCCACCTATGGCTTTACGCCCCTCCATTATGCATGTGAACGACATCCGCCCCAAGAGGTGGTGGAAGCACTGATTGCTGCTTGTCCTTCGGCAGTGGCCAAACGTACCATGCCGGGAGGAGCATTGCCATTGCATATTGCTTGCACGTGGCATGCCTCGGTGGAAGTGATTGGTTCCTTGTTGAATGCGGACAAGTCTACTTGCAAGGTCCAAGACGAATTGGGCAATTTGCCATTGCATTCGGCAGCCTTTTCGGGCATTTCCACGCCCGTGGTGGAACGCCTATTGAGAACCTATTCAAAGGCGTCATTGGCTCGTAACCATCAAGGCAGTTTGCCAGAGGAAATTGTCAAGCGATTACGACACGACAATCGCAAAGAAGTCATGGGAATGTTGATGATTGCTCGAGAAGAAATCATGGCCAAGCGGGACGACAAGAATCATCGACGCAACAAATCGGATGGTGCCTTTTTGACATCAAAACGTAGTTGGGACAAGTCGGAAGAGCAACATCAACAGGGAGTGGAGGTTCCATACACCAAGGACGACGCGGAATTGGTGTGGGTCTAGATAGAGGAAAAGAGGAAACCACGAAAGGTTGGAAGAAAGTACTACGAGCGAGTACAGTACGATTGAGAATTTCTTGTAATGCGGACACGAACGATGGGAGATTTTCGATTCATTCGCCACATAGAATCGAGGTTGCTCACGCGAAAGCAAAACAATCCGCGAGATACTGCGGAATGGTTTCTCTCCCTCTGGACTGTCCCATAGCTTTATTTCATTGTTCCAGACCGCCGATGTATTGTGTTTCCAAAAAGTTGTGTGCCTTGGAGGTTGCGACGACTCAATCAATATAAATCTGATAGAAAAAAAAACCCTTGAAAATGAACGGACTTTCTAGTCTTTTGGGTTTTCATTGCTTTAGCTGGCTAGATCCATGGTGACCATCCTGGAAACATTTGACAAAGATTGTCAGCATCTCGAGCCGAATTTACCAACACTTGGACTTGACCTTCGATGCCATGCAGTTCACCTGAAGTAGAATCTTCGTATCCTTGCAATTTGGCTTTGATTTTGGCAATGGCTTTGAGACCAGCCTTGTTCTCTTCCTTGTTGTTTTTGTTATTATTGTCGATAGTTCCATTTTCTTCAGATGGGCTTGTTTCACTAGTGCCATTCTTGGTCGCCCGAGAACCTCGTCTACCAGAGGAACCGCTGTTCTTGTCGTCCTTGTCGCTGTCGCTCTTTTGACGTTTCCTTGCCTCTACAGGACTTAGACTCCATTTGTACAGCGGATCATCCACAACAGCAGACAAGATTGTGAGCAAGGCATCCGAGTTTTTGCGAAGGACCGCAGTCGTTTCTTCCGCCGATTTGATAAAGGTTCCTTCGACACCCGATGGGCCCATGCCATCAACCATGTTCCGCGTGAGACGGAACGGTACCCTTTCGGGGGTCGTCAATAGCTTGCCTTGTTCAAAAACGATTCTGAATTCATTTGTCAACGTGTGTTAGATCAGAACTTCATTCGTTTCACTATCAGCAGTAGCACAATATATTCACATACCCAAAATCAATGTGGACAATGGTACCAGTCTTTTCGTGAACAAGAATGTTCTTGCAGTGACGATCTCCAATTCCAAGAATGTGACCAACGATGCTACCGACTGCAACGGAACGAGTATACTTCATCTTAGCGGCATGCCAAGCCTGTAGATTGTGGCCAAATCTTTCAGTAAAAAAGAATCGGAAAACAGGCGAGTGTCTTCTGCAAATCTCATCAAAGCTTCTCCTTTTCTCCCCATGTGGTGATTCACCAAGATGGACTCGGCACAGGGAATTTCCCCATTCTCCTGGATATAGCCTAGAATGCGCGCCGGCTGACTTATTGCCTCTTTGCGTTCTTTTGTCTTCTTCATAATCTCCAAACGGAATGGTATCTTCGACCCACTCCAATACCTAAAAAAAAGACACAACACGAAATAAGGTGGAGCTGTGGGAAATTGTGGCGACAGCGATGAAATTACTCACTCCACTCATCGGACTTAGAGGCGACACATTGTACGTAACCATTTGTAGCCCTTGCTGGGCAGAACGGGATCCGGGACGGGACGTATGGTCACGACGCATCATCAATCCATTCACATATCTGAAGACTTGTGTCATGATCGCATCCTGTCGCAAATCGTCCTCCTATTGCATCAACCCGAGATCCGACACGTGTGAGGCGAATGAGATGATCTTTTGTGCAACAAAACGGAAAAGGAATCTTACCCCTTTTACGAGCTGGCGGAACTGACCACCCTTTGTCCCAATGCAAACTACAATTTTGGGCCGGTGGATCCCTGTATCAGTGATGTCAAATGTGCTTTCAAAGCGATGAATTCGTTCAGCACCAATGGGATCATCTATCCCATCTCCATAGTTCCCCGCCGGTTGAACAGGAGGGGGAGAAGTAATGACACATGGACTGCGAAAACAAAAACGAAAATGAAAAACAAGAAAAGCAACAGTGTGATGCAGATCAACACAATACACTCACGGGCATTCTGCTGCGCGAAGGCAAACATCTAACGCTGCAATCCCCGATTTTCTTTTTGATTCGCCCGGAGAAGCTACTTGCGAAAACCGTATCCCTTTCGTAGGTTTTTTCTTATCATGAAATTGCGTGGTCGAGGCATAAGCTAGCTGGATGTAGGATTGTGTCAAGGTCATGTAGGACTCTAGAATATTGGCGACAAAACTGGGACCATCATTCTTCAAGCGTTCAAGCATCTCGGATGCAGCGCTGACTTTCTTGTCCCCTACATTTTCAAGGTAGTCGCTAGCATGACGTCCACTCTCAACTCGCTTGCCATTAGATAGAGCAATGATGGGAACGATCAAATGGTATGGATGGTCCACAGCCATTCGGAATACGAGTCGTTGCAGCGTCGATTGAAATCCGTTTCCTTTCCCTCCGACCGACTCGAGTCGAGATACAAGTTGGAACGTTAGTGGTATGAAGCGAAAAGTTGGAATCGATTCAAGACCATTTCTCATCAGTTCGTTGACGTTTTCGTTTTCACCTTCGTCGCCAGAACTTGAAAACCAAAGTGAGACCAGACGAAATACGTGACGAGATAAGTCTGACGACATGCCGGTATCAGCAATAGACAACGCCGAAATGAACGATTTGATGGACTGCAACAAGTACTCTTCCATCGAAGTGGCGATTCGTTCTCGTTCAGCTTTTGTTGCTGATATATCTTTGCCTTGTTGAGAGCAAAAATGATGCAGTTCTACCCAATCCTTGTGATACTCTTTATACTTTGGATGCCTTTTCCCTGCCTTGTGTACTCTTGCTTCTGCCTCTTGCCGTAGTTTATCTGCTTTTTGGAACTCTTTCTCTTGGTGAACTAGTGCCGCACTAGCCTGTTTCCACTCCAGCGAAGTGACACGGGAATGAAGCGCCTCGTATAGGTTAGAGAGAATCTGTCCAAACTCAAGTGAAGCATGCGTTGCTCTTTCGGCATTCTCCCTGGTTTCGGCACCCTCGAAGATCGTTTTTGCTCTCTTTGTACCTGAGTTCAAATAAGTGTCGAGAACGAGTTTTGATTGCTGTACCTTGTGTTTCGCCATCCATGTACCACAGCATATTTGTGCATCCGTCAAAAGACGCATCGCTTCATCGTCCATATTCTCCTCCGTTCGCTCTTTCCTGTTCAAGTAATCGACGACCTGCTTTGAGGTTCGAATAGCGGAAGAGAAGGCGCCGCGATTTTCTGATAACTTGGCCTCTTCGATTCGAATTTGTAGATGCAAATACTCCTTGGTTGCTGTGTTATTTCCCAGGGCTGGAAGGTTGAGAATCGCATGCAATCGTTGCAGAGCTGATTCTGCAGTGCTACTCCGCCCCCCTTCCCTTGCTTTAACACTGAGCCTCCCCAAATGAGATGCTATTATTCCAAACAAAAAAGGATCAGACCAATTCCCTTGCTTCTTGCAAAGGGATTTCAGTACAATCTCCCGAATTCCCGAAGAGAAGTCATGCAAGTCTATTTCCATTCCCTTCATCGACTTGCTATAATCGTCATCCCCAGTTGGAAAAAGATTGATATGCCGATTGGAACCGGGTGATTTGATTGAATTCACTTCGTTGATATCAATATCCCAGATTCTTGGAATGTCTTCTAGACATTGCATTTTTGATGCGATCGATTCAACATCTCGAATGGCCCGAAGCTTATCAATCCTTTTAGCAATCCCTACGATAGGCGATTCACCGTATCCGGAATGCGCCAAATCGTCGAGTAGTGACAACCTACTTTGAGCCAAGAAATTGCAGCAAGATCTCGTATCTTCGTCTTCAAAAGAATCTATAGCCCGCGAGAGCAACTCAAAGAAGCCGTGTTCGTTGCTTGAAAGGCTTGGACTACGGCTAGCTTTCGTTCCTTCGATCGTGGAAAGAGAAATATCATTCATGGATTCATTGATGGACGCTGTTAGCTGTGTAGAGGCTTCCGAAACTCCTGGTTGCATTCCAGATAAGGCTTCATCAATCATATCCCATTGGCGCAACCTCAAACTTGCTTCAAACCATTTCTCGTTCAACTGTTGAAGATTATTTTGACCAAGTGATTGAAGGTTTGAATGCCTCGAAAGCACTCCTTCGATATAAGATTGTGTGACCTGGTGACAACCAAGTTCATCAAAGCAATGTGACATCTGAAGAGGTAAATTTGATTGTTGGCCAAGGGTCAAGCTCTGGTTGTTCAAATGGCGAAGCGTCTCTACTGGACCGCCGCTGTCGGCAAAGTTCTGATGGGCACCAACGGAACCTGTCTCCATGAAATTCAGAGCGGATCTCTGAATGTGGAGAGCCTCGAGTGATTCCTGTTCATCTAAATTTTTGAGACACTTCGCCTTGACTTCCATTGCTGCCAAGGCAGAATCTTTGATGTGATCCTGTTGGAGTGCAGAAATCTCGCCACGCCCCCTTGATACGTCGCCAGAGATGTTGCTGCCATGCATGTAATTTGAAGTGTTTCCAGATTCAAGAATGTCTTCGAGAATGGCACCTGCTTTTCCAAATCGAGAATCAAAGTGCAGATCCAGGAAAAAAAGACCCGATGCATAACGCTGTGAATGAATGCACGCACGAGCAACAACCAACCCATCTAGTTTTAGCATCACCCCAAATGGTGAACCGCGCCATTGAACCGGTGGACTAAGATTTTCGTTGTACTTCTTCCTTGATACGTTCTTGTCTCGTCTAGATTGGTTTTGCGAATGTTTGCTGGCTGAGAACTGATGTATGGAAAGCCGACACAGTAGGTGAAGTGTATCGATGGCCAAGCCAAGTGCTTGCGCAATGTGCACAGACACGTGCGATGAATTCGACTCATTGCAAGAAAGGAGCGCAGTAAAGGAGTCCGTCAGAGCCTGTGTGCAGTCTGTCATATCATCAGAAGACTTGGTGTCTAGAAGTCGTATGACGAGACATTGGAATACTCGTGATGCAAACTCTGCGTCCATAAAACTCATGCGCTGGCACTGCCAAAAGAATTCCGAGTCTTCAGGCATGGGGCCAGTGTCATCTTTCGTGCATGGAAAACAGCACAATATCATGGCACTCGTAAGATAGCAAATCCATTCTCTGAAAGAATGTTCGAAGGTGTTCCCCAACTGCCATAACGATGCATCCCAACACCATAAACTCGTTCCTTCAGAGGACTGCAAGTTTGACTTTAATTGGTGTATTTCAATGGAAGTCAACAGTGTATTGCCTGACCGATTTGATCGGCTCTGGGCTCTTATGAAAGGGCTGAGTACATCATTCCCCGCCTTATCAATCGCTAGCGACCAGCATCTCTTACCAACTCTGGTGGAGAACAACGCTGACGCAGTTTCTGCTGCAACTAAGGCCGTCGAAGCATCCGAAGCTTTGAGTCTCTCTCCAAGCGATTCAATACATTTCGATTGCATGACGAGAAGCAGTTGGTCTTTCTCAAACGCTTCAAAGAGAGTGTCGGTGGAATCATGAGCGTTCTCGGCGTTGCAAAGGGTGGCTAGTCTTCGAGAATCGATCTCTCCAAGACACTTAGAAGCCGCAACCCGAATATCTCGTGGACAAAATGAGCCACAAACAAACGAAAGCTCACGGATCACATCCTCGAGATCCTTGTTCGCTACGCCCTCGAGATTGCCGTTTTGGAGTTCCTTTTCAAACTGAACCAATCCAGCGTACAACAGTCTTTGGTCGACATTCAAAGATCCGAAAGAAACAAAAGAGGATACTTTCAGCAATTTGTGGCCACGGTTTTCCAGACTTTTGTTCCACGCTTGTTTGTCTGCCAGCTTTGATAATAGAGACTTCACCAATACATCTGTACGATGTGCCTCCTTCTCGGAATCAAAATATTGTTTTCCTGCGAATTGAAGTGCCAGGTTCTGGGCGCAGAATCGCCTATCAAAGCGAGTCAGTACTGCGAGATCCGATGTGGAAATACCGTATGGCATCGCAGTAGTCAGGAAATGCTCAGAACGAAGCTCAAGTGAACTTGCGCTTTCAAAAATTTGCTCAAGAACTGAATATGTATTCGTAATTCCAGTGAATATCGCTTTGTCCAATTCATGGCTATGTTCCTCAATTGCGCGCCTTGTGTCACTTTCGTTTGTCTCTTCGAAATTGTCAGATGTTCCTTCCCATCCCCATGCATCACTCGATGACACTTTCTCACATAAAGTCATAAGCCCACAACTCCGAGAAGTCAATTGCTTGATAGACTGATTCTTCTTCCGGCACTCCTTGAGCAGCCGTTGCTGACAAGTTTCATGTACAACAAGGCAGGCTCCGATAAGCCGTTGCATTACTGGCGTGAGCTCTTCTTTCAGCTTTGATTCGTCCATATACTTTAAAGCGCCTTGTAGAAGCAATCTCAGCGAACCCAGGATTTCTGGAAGCAGTTCCACCAAACTTGATTTGAGCATTGCTTCTGTCAAAACATGGACACAAAACCCGAGCTGGATATCTTTCAGGTTGCCATCTTGCATTTGCCATTCGATAAACTTGCATTGTAACTCGATAGCAGACCAGAGGATCTTCCCATGTAACGAAATATTCGCTTCATCCAGTTGAACAAAGCCACGAATGAAGTTTTCTGAAGCATTCATCCCAACAAGCATGAATTTATCACCAGACAAGATCTTCTCTTCTGCATTGCCATCGAGGATTGTGATCATCGCACGAAAGCACCGCGATACGTCGAGTTCAAAATCATCACTAAACTGATTTCCGCAGAGTTCAAAAATCCGTCGAACGACATGTGATCTCTTCCTTGTCAATCGTTCCTGCACAGTTACTTTCTTAACGATTGCGTCGAGAACTTGAGTTGATCTCTCTGCAACCTCTCTTTGTGGCGACTCCTCAGAATGAAGGAATATCTGGAGAAAAGCATACACATCTGGAACATGATGTTTCAACAACCTCGGCAATATTTCACTTATATCCCCATCATTGGACAAGGTTTCGCAAACGGCTACCATGATTTCGTTCTCAAGCATAGCTTCAAAGATAGCCGCAGGCTCGTTGTGTTTACTCAAACTTTTGTCCTTCGAAACAATTTCAAAAAGCACCAGTGGAACTAGAACGTGGCGAACTCTGTTTGCAAAAATGTTCTCGGCATCATACTTCAAATGTACCATTTGGCAAAGCCCTTCTGGTGATGCTTGTACACCGCAAACCAGTGCTTGTCTGATTACATTTGGTGCTGTCAGCGCCAGCGGAAAGTGCACACAGCCTGATTGAACCAACCTTGCGAGGAGGCCTTCGCCTTCCGATTCCATCATTGCTTCAACACCGTTATATCCTCGCACAATTGCTGCTTTTTCTAATGCACGATAACAGGTGTATTCGAGGTCGGGGCGCCTTGTTGATATCAGCAAGATCTCGAGCAGCATCATTCGGAAATAGTTGATGTCCTGAGTAGCGCCAGCAATTGTTGCATGGCAAAAAATAGCGTCTGATTCCATTGCTTCGCAGGCGTCTTGTATCTCTGTAGTCAGGTTATCCTCGACTCCTGATGCAAGACTTCCCACACTTTTGTACCACTCGCTGAACTCTGCCGTCGTAGATTCTTCATCCACCAAGAGAGTTATGGGCGGGAGTACACTCGTCACAGCTCTAGAAACACGTTCTTTCTCAAGCCTGTCCAAACAAACTACAATAGAATCAAAGGCCTTCCTTCTTACAATAGAGCTTGAATCTTGCAGGGCGCGTTTCATAGAATTCACAAATAGATCGTCATATTTCTGGTGAAAGACATCATCTGCAGCAAGAAAAGCATTCGTCGCCGAGCCAATTCGCTGCGACCGTAACCATGGCCGGCTTCGAGTGCAATCTTCGCTCTCCAAAGTGTCGATGAGATGACCCATTTCAGTTTCGGAAAGGGCAAGGTTCTTTCCAGCCATCTTTGTTGCTTCAACAGCTTTTCCACACTCAAAAGCGCCCACCCCCCACGTTGGCGATGAAGGGACTTCACAAGACCGAATGAAATCGATGATATTTGAGAGTAGCTGAACAACAGATCCTTGTGGATTTGTTTCCATTCCAGTACTTCCGTCAATCCAAAGCTGCCTCGCCTTCGAATGAAACATTGCACTCTCTGAACTGACCAAGTGCAAACAGAAAGGAACCATGCGAAGATTGATGTCTCCGTCAATATCAGAAGGATCAAAATCAAGTTCCGTCCCAAGTAAAGCCTGACAAACGAGCTTGCAAGAGGCTGGGGAAGGATCCAAAGCGGCAAGAATTGATCCTATTTTTCTCGCAGAATCGTCATTTGGAGGAACCGCTACCGAGAATGTTGTCATTTGAGGGGGATTTGGTCGCTTTCGACTCTGGCTTTGGCTATCCATAGACCATCGTTTTCTTTTCCTTGGTTTATCAGCATTGTCATCATCATCAGAGAATACGGCGCTCGTTCTGGCTGGTCCATCGGAAACAAAGGTATCTCCCTCGTCATCGGATAAGAAATCCGCATCACCATTATTGGTGGCTGCTTGTTTCTCAGTTAACGCATTTCTGATGCTCCCTTCGCGATGCGCTTTGAAGTATTCGCTACAGCGACCAATATCAATCGGTTAGGCTTGCATTTGTACAGTGCACCAAACGATGTACCAGTACTTACAGTAGCATTGACTTGTATTGCTCTACGACTTCAGCCATTTGATCAGAGTCCATTAATGACTCGACGAGAGGTGAAATTTCCAACAGCGCTTCTGCTATGTGGAACAAATCAGTAGCCACAACAGAGAATTGTGAGCCGTTCTTTGAAGTGGAAAGTCGCATGCTTGCGTTTAAAAAGAAGGTTGCAGTTTCTCTTGCAAGACGCTTGGTGCTTTTTGAAAGTTTGTCTTGCGAACAACACAAATGCAAACTCATCCGCAATTTGACTCCCAGCGTTTGGAATGAAAGTGGTTGGTCCTTTGTCATTTCATCCAGGTCCATCGAATCTAGCTTGTCATCTTCAAGAGGAAGGGGTGTAAGCCGTTCCTCAAAGAACTTCAGTATCCTCTTACGAAGGTCGTCTGATTCCACCTCCGGAACGAAATCTCCATTCGATGTAGAAAGTTGAAGCTTCGAAATCTGTTGGAATATACTGTTCGCTATGGTCCATGGACTATCCAACCGAAAATGATTGGACACATTTGTCGGTCTGTCGAAACGATCATTGTGATCGACCCAGAGGGATTTCAGAGTGGCTTCAATAGGTGCCAACGGAGTCCGTTTCCACCACTGTGTCCACGGCAAACACGATTGATCTGGTGTGCAACTAACACATTGAAATCGCTGTTGGCTTTTTGAGATCAACGACTGCATAATCTCATTTACTGAATTTCCTACTGTTCCATTGACGAGCGCGATTGTGGTCAGTGCTGGAACCGCACGTAGTAATGACATCGAATTCATGTCCTCTTGCTGGGACCCTGACGTCCAACCTTCAAGGCATCCCAGAGATAGGCTGAGGAGCCGCTTGCGGCGTCCCAAGGAAAACATCTCGTCCGAGGGAAACAGGGTCTTACAGAGGGATGTATCGATCATGTCATTTCCAGAATTCGATAGACCAACAACAGCCAATATTGAGGTTATCAACGACAGGGCGGTGATAGATGTCACTTTCTGAATATCGCCGAAGGCAGGTAAAGCCCAAAGTTGGTGCTGATTTTCGTACATGAATGATTTCCGCTTTCCTGGAAATGCATCTTGCAGTAGCATCTGTGGATCAGTGCATCTCATATCGACCATCTTTTTTAAAAGGGCCAATACAAGCTCCCCCAATGAATCTGTCGTTGAAACCTTCGTGTATACATGATAACGAAGATCTGTCCGAAGCAACGTTCTCCAAACTCGCCTCCATGTCGCACTAATGGCATCATATTCCTTGATCTTGCAGTTTGCATTTGAATGTATGGCGGCAAAAGATTCTGCAAGTCGGCTCAAAGCAATCATAGCCCAGCCTTGCAAACTTTGATTTCCACTTGGTCCACCATTAGCCTCAAGCAAGTCCGCGACGGCGGAGACAAGGAGGTGGAGATCATTGAGGCTCGACGGATGAAAATACAATACCCCGCCGTGCAATTCATTAGAAGGCGAAGGACAGCGGAGCCAGGAGTCGCATCCAATCATGGATGTCCAGCAATCTCCCGCAGGAAACATCTCGATGCAGGCACAAACAATGGCAAGTAGTCCAACCTGTGTTCCCTGGGGTACATGCCCTGTTTGTTGAAGGTACTCCAAGACTTTAAAATCTGCTTTGCTCTGTATTGTTGCTCGCTCACTACCACTATTTTGTTTAGCAATTGCGGCCAGTTGAGAATTCGCAATCAATCTCTTGACAACATGTTTCACGAACGGACTCTCGACAAAGACATCTGGAGGACATGGCTTTGCAACTTGTGGTTTCGGGTTGACCCATACTGTTGAATTGTCCTCCCTGACTTTGAGATACTTCCCTAGACCTTCTTCTACACTTTCCCCCATCAGACTTAACTCTGCTTGTGCAAGATATCTCCGCTGTGCAATGGCAAGAAGCCTAGCGACGACTTCCAGGTGCCTTTGTTGTTTCAGGTCGGGTTTGATCCATTTATGGTTAATGGTTCTTTTCCCTTGATGACTTTCATCGTAGATTAAATTCCGCACGCTATCTTCCATGACTAGATCCAGAAAATCGTTGATATGCTGATCACTCATGGTGGCTTTACCAAGACGCCCCATGTCCCCGGTCAACATTCCCTGGTAGTCCCCGGCCACTTGCGAAACAAATCTAGAAGAAAATGGTGAGCAGAGCGGTAAAGAGAGAAATGATTTCTCGATCCAAAGAGATTGCATTCTTACAGCATTGACAAGATGTAATTGTTCAAGGCATCTCTCTGTATCCCGTTGGATGATGCGTAGCACTTCTTGCAGCAACTGAGAATTGGCCTCCCAGCTCGCTTCAATGGCCCTATTGAATGGTCTGGATGAGTGAATAGAATCGTGGCCACAGTATTGTACATATCAGCAAGAGCCCCACTTCGTTTGGTTCTCTCGCCGCTGCCGTGCTTGCACCATACCGCAATGATGTGTAACGTTCCAGAGATATATTCGTCCATTTGTCGTCCAAGCTTCCGACATGATCGAAATAAGCCGTCTAATATCTCTGCTGCAATTTTAAAAACGGCAGGAGCCTCCTTTTCGCATGCCGGCGTGAGCCGCTCTTCGATCTCTCCAAACACTTTGGTATACTTGCTCTTTGAGAAATACCCAACGTAGTCTTCCTTGGAACAAAGCTGCCGTAGCATGAGAAGTAAATTCGTCTCAGATAATTTAAGAGCTTCTTCGTCGTTCAGCATATTCAGGCAATAGTTGAGTAACCGATTCACATCCTTCTTTGCTAGCTTGGGTATCGCTAAACTGTCGTTATCAAAAACGCCATTCGGTTCCTCGCTGGCAATCAAAAGATGATACGGAAAGTCGACATCGAACTGTTGCAACTTGGCCTTTGATTTTCCAGAGCGATGGTTGGAGACAGAGCTCACAGAGGATGCTACAACGACACTCCAAAGTTGTGACAAGCGAAGCCTCCTTCTGGCGGGTATGCTCAGGTCATCAGGTCCAGTTTTATCAGGCGTACATTCGGCCACAAGCTTTCTTCGGACTTCCTTCTTTCTTAGTAGATTGAGGAGTTCTTTTCCTTGATTACGTCGTTCCAGGACCTTGGTTTCATTGTACAGTTTGTTGGCCAGTTTCTCAATCCTTTCAACAGTCGGTCCTTTCATTGGTTCTAGAGGCTGTGCGAAGAAGGATACAGCGTTACCCTCTCTTGAACACGTATATTCTATTGTATTTAAGGTTATTATCTATAAGTATGGTAACGCGGAGTTGCTAAACTAGCAAGCGAAAGGGTCCAAGGAAACATGCATCCATTGATCATTGGTTGTGTGTCAGGTATCAAAGTCGAAAGCCGGTGTGCGAAAAAGATTCGTATGAGTCTTGCAAAGGACTAACAAAGTCTTCGGACCTTCAAAGTTGGTGGATGCATTTTTAAACAGGAAATCTAAATGTAGTCCTAGTTAGAAGACAACATTTCTACTCTATTCTAGTGGCTTCCACCCTTCATGTATCGCAACAATACCACCTGTCAGATTCGAGTATTTCGCGAGCTCAAAGCCTGCCTTTTCCATTCTAAAAACCAACTCTTCTTGGTTGGAAAACTTGCGAATACTCTCCACCAGGTATTGATAGGAAGGCCGATCATTGGCAACAAAGTGTCCAATCTCTGGAATCACATTGAATGAATATGTGTCGTATATTTGTCGAAGAATGGGGTCTGAGACTTGCGAAAACTCGAGGCACATGAAGCGACCACCAGGTTTCAAAACTCGGTATGCTTCGCGAAGACCTTTGTCGACATCCGTGACGTTTCTCAAGCCGAACGCAATCGTGTACAAGTCAAAGCTATTGTCTTCGAAATCAAGGCTTTGAGCGTTTCCTTCCACAAAGGATAGAGCCTTGGAAGTATCGATCAAATCCGACCCAAACCGTTCTCGGGCTCGTTTCTCACCAACTCGAAGCATTTCAGGATTGATGTCGCAGACTGTCACGGAAATTGGGTCCTCGCCCGAGGATATGGAACGCTCCATACATTGGGCAGCATCGACAAATCGGAATGCAACGTCACCAGTGCCTCCAGCTACATCCAAAATCCGCAACTCCTTTCCAGGATATTGTCGAATTGCATCAGACATGGAAGCCACGGCAGATATATCTAGCAAGTGATCCTTCCAGTATCGGTGAAGCCCACCACTCATCAAGTCGTTCATAACATCATAGGAATCCGCCACACTCTCAAAGACTTCTCTCACTTTGCCTTCCTTTTCATTGACTGCCACGGTTTCAAAGCCAAAGTGTGTATCGTCTCCTTTCAGATAAGGTTCCTGTCCAGCATTGCTGGATGCTCTGCGCAGAGCATTTGCATGGATCATGGCAGCCCGCCGATTGCAGGCTTTGCCAACTACTCGTGAGGCAAAGAGACGTTGCATGGTTCTCGTTGTTCGTTTCGTCTTTCTTTTCTGTGGTCGCACTCCTCATTCATCCATTGTCATGGTGGTGACGAAGAAAGGTCTTTCAAAGTACTTTCGAAACGTCATCAAACCACCTGTTGACAACAACTTCCACACAACACCCCTCAACAACAATCTCTGCTATTTTCTGAAGCAATACAAAGAATGATACTTCCAAAATTTCTCACTCTAGCGCTACTAGCCTTGCAGCTTATGGCCTCCCAAGTGGAAGGCTTTCAATTGGTCATGATGGGACGAAAAGCAGGCAAGGGAAATCTCAAGCAACAACTCAGTGGGGAAGGTGTTTCCAAGAAAAAGGGAAATTCAATCAATGCCGTGAACCAAGGCCGAGGACAAGAAATCACTGGTGTCACTTTGCCAGCCGAAGGTGGTCTCAAAGGTTGGGAGTTTGGTGAAGGCAAGCAGATGGCTTGCGCAAATGTTGACGGAAACTTCTACGCGGTCCAAGGAGACTGTCCACGATGTGGATTTGATTTGTGGAGGGGTGAGGTGATTGCGAATGATCCAGGATGGGAGGAGCTTCCACGAGTCGCTTGTCCAACATGTGCCACTACTTATAGTTTGTCCAGTGGCAAGCGAGGACCTCCCATCAAGAGAACTGGATTGGCTGGCTTTGTTGGAAAACTTGCTAAAACCGCAACCGCAACCGAGCAGACTAGGGATGCTGAAGCATTCCAAATATCACTTGATGAAGAAGGACGAGTATACTGTCGTTCCAAGTCGAAGTCACAGTAAGCTAAGTACAATAGTCATTGCAAGGGATAGGGTCCCACTTCTAGTATTACATTCAAAGGGCCCCGGAGTGGGTAGGAATGAGACTGCATGATTGTTTGCTTCGCCGTACAATGGTTCCAAGCAGAATTCGTCCGATTGTTCAATCGAATGTAGCGCGTGCCAAAGCCATAGAAATGTACTCTTCTAGCTCTTGGACTTCTTTCAGACCACCACCTGGAAATGAAAACTCAGAATTCGATTCTTCTCCTGGATGGACTTCTTTCGATTTATTACTAGTCGACGAGTTCGCGACGAGTTCATCATTTTCAGACTGTAGAGTTGCTATCGATTTCTTCACTTTCACTCTTATTGCCTCTTGTCTTCAATGATCACGAGGTGAGGAGAATTTTTTAGTCTTCGTCTCTCACACAGTAGGTACCAGTATCTTTGCCTGTCTGCCTGTCAGCAGCAATCGGAATTCCACAAGCATAGTCATCGCACATAAAACGAACGAGGCGACGACTCTCTATGTAGTTTACATCTATCAATGGAATAATAACGAGATACGCAATCGTTCCAATATAGCACAGGAAGAGGCCCGAGAAGGCTTAGGAGGCTGTGAATCTTGTCACTTGGAGTCTACCTCTTTGATTGTTTCAATGAAATCCAATAGCTTTGTCAACTGATTTCTCCCGCGATCCTCAAAAATTGCAAAGTTGGTAATCATGCTCCCTGGGAAATGGTAAGCTGATTTCAGGAATTTCTCAGAGCAACCGTTGTCATTCGGATCTACTAGTTTGCTGTTGAATGTTTTCTCGAGAAACCTCGTGACTTCAACGGGTTCCAGCAACCACTCGTCAATCTGTCCGAGCACGACTTGCACGGTCTCGAGATGCTTCTTCAGCTCGACCAGGAACGATTCCAAGAATTTACGGTCCAGTAAAAGAGAGCGTTGGAGCAGAGATTCGAAGTCAACCAATTTTACAATTTCTCCAACAGAGTTATTGCTCGGCAAGTAGTCTGCTTGAATAATGGCCAGCTGTTTCGGATAGCTGCAGAGCGCAGAAACATCGAACAATTGTATTCTGCGACTTCACGATACCTGGATCTGATCCTTTCACACGCACTGTAATGAATTCTTTTCGAGTAAAAGTGGCTCATGCAGAACCATGCTTTGAGAATAGTTTTCTCGACAAAGAACGAAAGGAATGATTCCAGATCTCGCTATTAACTGCGAGAATTCCTTTGATTGCCCGGAAATTATGCTCGACGTTTGGACTCGCACTGACGTCGCTGTCAGACCATGCTTGCCGAAGCTTTTCCTCGTGAAGTTTTAAAGCCACAGAAACGGATTCTTCTAGCTCTTGGGTTTGTTTCAATTCAGCATCTGGCGATGAGTTCACCATTTTCACAACGGGAATCCAAATGTAGTGCACTCAAGGCCCAAGTAGGGAGGCATTGTAGATTATGATTCATTTCCATGCATGTCCACGATTTTCATTTTCATGCATGCCCACGATTTCAATCAAGGGTTTGTTATTTTATTGTCAGTTTGAAAAATCGCCAGTTCTCCAGCCTCCATAATAAGCAGGTCTGGCTGACCATCCGTGCAAAAATCGGAAAACCAATCATCGAAATCAAAAACAAAAACCCTCATCTTTTGATTTTTTTGAAAGGTCAAAACAATTTACTTGAGATAGACCTTTGAGTTGAGTTATACCCCTCTAGAGCAAGAGAATCATGTCTACAAAACTACCTCGCGGATTGGTGGTTGCTGCTGGAACCTACGATGGTGTCTTGGCTGGATGGGAGTTTCCACAGAAGGATCATGATGATAAAGAAGATACATCATCCAAAATGGAATTGACTTTTGCCACGGGTGTCCACGAAGGGAGCATACGATCCTTGACAATTGCTGCTAGTCCACAACCTGATATTCCTGGGTCACTATTGTCCTGTGGTTACGATGAGGCCCTTCGAACGCACGATTGGAAGAAGCGCCTCACATCCTCAGGAGAAATCCGAACGCCTTCTGATTTTGGTACCCCCATTTGCAGTTCCTTTGCACCACCCACCCAACACTCGACGCATTGCATAATTGGATTCACAACTGGAAAGATTTGCATTTACAAAAAGAGGGATTGGGCAGTCCAACACGTACTGGCGGGACATGAGGGAGGAGTTGCTAGCATTGCAGTGCACCCCTCAGGAAAGTTGGCACTGAGTGGAGGCAATACCGACGGAAAGCTCAAGCTTTGGGACCTTACCAAGGGACGTCTATCATTTGTTGATAAAATCAAACCCGCATCCGCAGTTCGAGGTAGAACAAAGTATGATCCAATTGTCAGTATGACATGGTCGAAAGATGGCCAGTTTTATGGACTGTGTCACGGCCCGCACATTACTGTCCGAGAAGTAGCCACAGGGAAGGAGCTATTGGATGTCGATCTTCCCAGTAAAATCAATGAAATTGGATTGATGAGTGGACCTGAAGGACTATTTGTAGTTGCTGCCTGTAATGATGGATCCTTGCCCGTCTTGGCAGTGGAAGATAGTGATGATGAAAGCCGTCGTGCCATCATGGCCATTGAACCAGTCGACGCCTTGTTGGCCAGAGAAGAGCGATTCAAGAGTATCAAAGTGGTCAAAAATTACTTTATCGTGACAGCCAACAGTGCTGGAGTTGTAAGTGTCATGAATTTGGCAGGTGCGATTAAAATGATAATGTCGGATCCCCCAGAAGACGACGACGACGACGACTCGGCTGCTAGCAACAGTGAGAGCGACGACGATGACGAGAATGAAGCTGATGATATGGATTTGGCAGTAGACATTGTGCATAGTACACAGCTTGGAAGTGGAGCACGGATAACATGTCTTGCGGCGTGGTGCGACGAGACTCCCGACGAAGAAATTGATACCATCTCTGATGATAATGATGATGAAGAAGAGGAGAATGTGGTAGTGGTGGAAGAGGAACCCCCAAAGGCTAGAGTCTATGAAAGGGTTCAAGATACGCTAAAGCGAAAACACATGGGACAGGATGTGACAATGGATGCAGCGGCAGTGAAGAAGGCTCGATCACTGGTCGCCCAAGCAAAATCCATGAAGACTAAGAAAGACAACAAGAAGAAGAAGAAGAAGAAAACCACAAGCAAGGACTAGAGTCATTCATAGTGCCATGGAAAAAAAAAACTAAATCTCCTGTACTATTTGCTGATATATATTGTCTTCCATGCCTTTTTCAAAATAAAAACCTACGAATATTACAATAGGGACGCAGTTTTGGCCCCGCATCACAGACTACTCTCTAATGCTCCTATCATCATAGTTTTGCATAAAAGGGGGAGTCTTCATTGGCTAGTTCCACATTGTGAACTAGACTACCAATGTTGTGTTGAGACGGCGGATGATCAATAATTGTAGTTGCCTCCTTGGAAGGACCAGCAGCAGCACCAGCAGCAGCAGCAACAGCAGCAGGCATGACCATGTCTGGTAAAGTCTTGCTGGCTAGACTTCCTCTCCTAGGTTTGGTTGATTTAGGAGGAGTAGCTAACTTGCCACCACCACCACCACCACCACCAGCTCGGGTGGACGATGCTCTGGAAGGAGAACCTCTCGAAGGAGAGTTTCTTTTCTTGCGACCTGGAGAGCCATCAGCAGTAGCTTTATTTGGCGACATTTTCTTATTGGCACCACCTCCATCGCCACTCGTATTGGGCAATGCCTTGGAAGCAAGACTTCCTCTGGGCAACGTCTTGGAGGCAAGACTTCCTCGGACAGGTTTACGAGTTGCTTTGCTGTGCGATGATGCTTTGGTCCCCGTACCACCACCCACATCGGTCATTAGATTCTTCATCTTGTTTCGTGTGGCTGCTCTCATCTGATCCTTCATTTCGTTATTTTTCAATTGGGATGATTCCTTACTCATCACTGCCGTCGATGTTGTTGTAATGTTTGGATTGACGTTGCTGGGATTGACGTTGCTGGGATTGACGTTGCTGGGATTTGTATTGCTGGCTGCGTTGATAATAGTATTAGTGGTAATACCAGTGCCATCAGTATTGATGGTGTTGAGACTGCCAATATTGTCGGCAGCAATAGCCGGTTCCGTACCAGCGGCCTCAGAAGCACCCTCAGCACCACCAGTAGTATTACTCACCACCACACTTGGCAGTGGATTCTTTTGTACTTCTACTCGACCTCCCCACAAGTTCATAATGGCAATCCCAAATTCCACTGCGGGCATCATCGCTTCCTTGGCCGCAATCAATCGATGTCTCAACTGCAGCCGCATCAACCTCAATTGGTGTGGTTCTGTTTCAATAGTATCATATGGTTCCCCCGGCTTGTCCAATTCTCGATAGGCCACATTTTTGGTCGAATTCATGACTCCCGCCAGCAATTGCAAAGCATATGGATGAATGGTGGACGAACCAGAATGCAATTTGTATTCCTTGGCCTTTTTGCGTCGAGTTTTAGTCGGAGGGCGCATTCGCTTGGCCAGAGTCCCGTGATGTCGGCAAAAGGCTGTTCTCAAAGTCCGAATGACCTTGTTGAGGCATTGCTTCCGATTCATGACGGTGCAATTGTTCGGCTTGGTGCCGTGCAGGACATCCGCATCGCTGAGTTTCAAAAAGCGGCCGCCCCGTTGATTGACCACCACGTTCAAGAGCATTTCGGAAGTGCTCTTGATGTTTTCCTCTTGAACTTTGCAGGCTGTTTCTTGAATCATGGCATTGAAAAACTTGTTGCCGGAATGTTTGGAATTCCACGTCCTCAATTTGGTGCAAACAATGTCGTTGGGTTTGGGTTCAAAAGGAATCACGGGTTGCTCTTCTTTGGGTTTGGACATATTGAATATTGTTATGATAGAACGAATGAATCAATGAATGAATCAATGAATGAATCAATGAATCAATCAATCAATAGTACCAGTAGTCCTATGCCTTTGTCCTTTTGAAGTATACGTTCAGTTGTTTCCTCGCTGTGGATGCTGCTAATGATAATGCTAATGCTGTGGATAGCAGTGTTGTCTTGTCTTTCTTTGTTAATGAATGAAAGAGGAGATATCCAGTTTCAAGTTGATGATGGGAATGAATGAATGCTAAGTTTAGTTTGGGCCGTCGTAAAAAAGTGTCCGAAACTTGCCAAAGTGTCCGACAAGAAAAAGCCGTTCATGGATGAATCTTGTCTGTCTCATGCAAACAAGACACGACGAAATCCGCAAGTTGTCAATCAATCAGTTGAAAGCATTGCATACCAGAAAGACGGGTTTATATTGAAGGTGTAACAGTCAAGAGTCAACAAGTGACAAATAATTCAGCAATGCCATCCATTGACGAAAACGCAAACTTGGACTTGAATGCGTCTCCGTCACTCGACATGACCCTCACCCCGGCTTCGTCCATGGATTCCGAATTTAGTAGTACGAACAAACCTGACGGTGCCAGTTCCGCAGAAGAAGAGTCGGATTGGGATGATACTTACTCGTTACAATCCAAGAAGCGACGGTCTCACCATCACAACAAGCAAGAAATTGCGACCCTCAACATGGTCATGGAACACCGCATCTTCTTGAAGGCCATTTTGGGGTTGCTAGCCGAACGCGACAACAAGGCGACAGAGATCGGCATGAACGATCCCAACATGCTCAAGAGTGGCCCTCTCAAAAAGGCTTCCCATCTCGTCAAGGGCATTTGGAAGGTCAAGTTTGTCGAATTGCGAAGAGGCATGTTGACCTACTACGAGAATAATGTCAAAGAGAATAGCGATGGACAATTGCTCCGCAAGAATCTGCCCCTCGATTTTAACGATTGCTCCTGTCGAGCGGTCAAAATATCCAGAAATGGAGTGGTAGTGGTCAAGGGTGCCAGTTTTGAATTGATTGTCAACAATACCCGCCGCCTCTGGCTCTGCAAGTCCAAAGCCGAACGCCGGGCCTGGATGGACGCCATTGGAGATGCCATGGTCGGTGGATCACTGACCCAATCCTCCAACAATAAGGTCAATCCTCAATTGCACGGCAAGCAAGGCTCTGTCAATTCGCAATCGCCTTACAAACTCGACTTGAAAAAGTACCTCAAAGTGCAAGGCATCTTGAAAAGTGCCAAAACCAAGTCGGATTATATTACGACCATTCAAGATTTGAAAAGTCGTCCCTTGGAGGTTCCAGTCCAATGGATTATGGAACAAGTGGACAAAATATCAACTGATAATAGTCAAAACAACGACAACGGACAAGATGAAAAGAGCGCCTTTCATGAAGTTTCGGTTTCAAAGGGGGTGGATCAGTTGTGGAAGGATTTGCAACGAGATGCCATTTTGATCAATCAGGAACTTTTCAAGGGAGATGTGGGTCATGGACCAGAGAAAATGATTGGGGCTTTGGCTCGCAATATTGTCAGCACGAGTCGATTGGCAACTTCGGGCAAGTCTACTACAGCAAGGTATGCCATTCCGGAATCCAAGGCATTTGCGTACGCAAGAGATGTCCTCCTGTCGGTCAATCGAACAAGAAGTGGAGGAGATTCCTATTATTGCATTGATACACTCTGCAGCAATACCGATTTGGTGGTCATTACTCCAAGTTCCCGAGAAGCGGAACCTTTGTCCATTACTGTGGAAATGAATGATGATGCGACCGAAGAGACAACAGATTATAGTATCAATGACAAGTCGGGATGGCTGCGAACAAGAAATCGGATTCAAATGTCGTGGCGCAAACGGTTCTTTGTCTTGTCGGAGGGGACACTCAGTTTGTATCGGCAATCTTCGCCACGACCACATGGATTGCGAGGGCAAATGGTGGTACTGGATGCCAACATTTCGGTGGATAGAAGCAAGGATAAACATGGGTACTTTGTTCTTTCGATTGTTCCCAAGGATGGTCTGGACCGATTCTTGTATTTCAAGAATGAATCCAAATTGCTGGCTTGGGCCTATGCTTTGGAGTTGGTAGCCAAGGGCAATTCTTTGCCCTCTACACCTCATCGAAGACTCTTTGGCAAAAAGGATACCATTCCTGAAAACATTGGAGATTCCATGAAACGACACATGGAACGGTTGGGTATGGAGGATGATCAATTGGAAGAATGCATCAAGCGGTTCTCGGCAAAGGCCAGTGCTCGCATGAAAATCACTGCCAGTGCGTCAAGTGAATTCAAGATTGTTACCATGGATCCACAGGGAGATGATGGTGATACATGGGCGACCATTAGTGCTACCTTTGGACAATCGTTTCGGCTGGATGGAGACCGGATTGTTCGGGGCGAAGAAACAGTCAAATTTCATGTCTCACACTGCGCCACAGACACGGATCTGCTGGAAGGCGACAGCAAGGATGAGGCAGAAGGATCCAAGTCGGGTGGCCGAAGGAGCTTGGTGAACCGACTACCAAAGATCCTATAGGTTTTTTAGATACAGTACTGCATCTACCTTGTCCAAAGTCGCTGAAAATAAATCATTCATAAAAGTATCAAAATGTTAAAATCTAGTGTATCATATTGTATTACTCTAATCAAATTCCTTTTTGGAGTCATATAACGTCACAAAGGCTGTAGCTCCCAAGGCAAAGACGACCGCGTTAATGCCAAAGACATAACTCCAATTCTGTTCCGTCGCATCCAACAATCTGCCCGTGAGATAGACTGAACCGGTCCCAATAATCACAGAAGGTAGACTCGTGATGGAATATAGCAGACCAGTCCACTTCTCGCCCGCTTTTTCTTGGTTGGCGGCACCGTATCCTGCGGCATTGAAGGATTGCATGCCAACTGTTCCAGCCAACAGGGCCTGGGCCACCCAGGGTTTCTCCGGAATATTCAGGGATAGAATTCCAAGGCAGAGGGCTGGTCCAAACAGTCCTATCCCTTGAAAGAGTTTGCGCACCTTGGTGACCTCTTCTACCGTCTCGACTTCCATATTTTGAATCATCTTGTCGGCAATACTACCCGCACTGAGACCACCAATAGCACCAACAATGGATGGAACAACCAGCAATATGGCGGATTCCTTGACATTCAAACCATATTGCTCGTTGTAAAATATTGGCGTCCAGCTTAAATTGTTGTAAAGGCCCCAGTTGTTTGCAGCGTGTGCAAAACTATTTTTGAAAGAGAACAAACAAGTTAGAGCGTGAGAAAGCGTATACAAACGTATACAAAAAAGAAAGGGAAACAGAGCCACAGCGCTGAACTCACAACATGCCCCAGACTCCCTTGGATCGAACAAAGTCCTTCCACGGCGCCGATTGAAATGTTTCCTTGGCCTGTTCCAAGGCAGATACTTCGCTCTTTGCAATGCTACCCGAAGGTGGTAGTTGTTTCGTTTGAGCAATGTTGGCTGGTTCATCTCTGGAAAGAGCCAACCAGGGAATGAGGAAACCAAGGCCTAGGCTACCGTATAAATAGAACAAACTTCTCCAATCTCCATCAAAGGCATCAATAACCGATGGGCTTATTGAATAGGCAAGAATGGTGCCACACTGGAACCCCGAAAAGACAACTGCCACCGCGATACCTTTCTTGTCCGTAGGGATCCAGCTGGATAAAAATCGTTGAACAGTTGGAACAACAACACTTTCGCTTGCTCCTACAAGCGCTCTCGCCGATAGCAAAACTGCCATATTACTATGTGCCGCTGCAAAGGGCGTTGCCAAAGTTCCAGCACTCCAGAGTGCGATTCCAGCTGCCATGAGGATTCTGGGCGATATTGATGCCAACAGTAGACCACTTGGAATAATAGCAAGGCCATAGCCCACGCTGAATAGAGAACTAATAGATCCTTTCAAAGTGTCAGTGTAGCCAAACTCATCTGACATTGGTACCATCGCAACAGACATTGCGACCCTGTCAAGTGCTGAAATGCATGTGATAGCGAAGACGAGAGCCATCATTACATAGACCATCGATTCATCATCGAAGAATCCCTCTTGTACTTGATATTGTCCATTTCCTTGATCTATGAGGTTTTCCTCCTGAAACGGTGACTCCACCACATTGGAGATGTTGAAACGACTCAAAACCTCATTTTTTCTCATCAAAGAGAGGGAGGAAGTTGGTTGGATGCATTTTATCGTGCTGAAAGGAGACCCTGATTGGAAGGAATCTACACATTGGGAGCTGAAGCACAAGATAAATAGCAAGAATGAAGCTGCCAACCTGAGAGGTTGATGATGATACCCTGATATTGACACCATCTTTGACAAACATTGGCAGATGTTAGTGAGAAAGCCGATGTGGAAAACTTGCTGACGTCAAATACTTGAAGTAAGGATTAGATTGATTTAATGATTCATGTCATGATTCATTCGTCTTGCCTTCCTTCGTCAGAATCGTGAATGGATCGTGAATGAAAGCAGTTTCTTGATTTCCCTACAGTACTTTACTGCCAGTTACCGACAGTGCCTACCTACAGTACTCTCAACTTCAACTCTACAGTCTAACGATAACCAATCTGTCAGAGAGTCAACTGTTATTCATAACTTAGCCCATTTTTGCTTTGCAAACCCAGCTCGTAAACCACCAAGATGTCTAGACTCTCGTTGCCCCTGTAGCCAATACCTTGATAACACTAGCTACCAGCAGCTTTCTCCTTGGTCTTCTCCTTCTCAGCCTTAGCTTCCTGTTCATCGTCCTCTTTCTTGTGGAGTTCCTCAATTTCTTTCTCAACTATCCTTACGATAGTATCGCAACGTTTCTGGATTTCAGCAGCCGAGCGAGATTTGAAATACCAATCAAATCGGAATTGCCAAGCCCTTCTGATCTCGAGACGGATTCGTTCGGCCGAGCCATATCCATACAGATGCATCATGTAAAGCAGAAAACAATCCTCTTCTTCTTGGTATGCTTTACCTCTCGTCCCTGATCCATAATTCAAATTAATTTTGGGCCAAGAGTACTCCAGGAGTTTAAGCGCACTCGGTAGGTTTGATTTGTCCTTCATGGCTTTGACTTGGGAGCTAAAGGTATCTTCAAGATGTCTTTCAATCTTTTCCTGAATGACATCTCGAATTTGTCGCAGACGCAAGATCTTCTTCTCTCCTTTTTCGATCTTCTCGATAATCTTCTCCCAATCAGCAATACGGCGGTAGTTGGTCCAAAAGGCTACAAAGTAGCGTTGGACTTCGCCTAGTTCCTTCCCAGACTCGTTCATCATGTCATTTGCGACGCCCTTGAAGTTGTACCGACCATGCTTTTCCAAGCTGGCGCAAAAGGCCCTAAAGTCCTTTCTTGACCAATCTGGGAACCCCTCCGCTTGGAGACGAACCTTTTCCTTGACTTCTTCTTCGGAAAGCTTAAAGTCGCCGAGGCCTTTTTCCTTTTCTTCGGCTTCCCTTAGTATTGCTTCCACCTGTGAGTCAGCACTACTCCTAGCTCTGGATCGGAGCTGTTCGATTACCTTGATTTGTTGTTCCTTCTTGGCAGCAATCTCACGCTCTCTTTCCGCAATGGCATTGAGCCGGTCTCGATCAAACAGTTGAAAATCCTGAACAGTAGGACCCTTCTTTCGTTTCTTTGCAGCAGCGTCTGCTGCATGGTCTTTCATTGCGCCAGATGCATTACTTTGATTCAAGGCATCACGGAAGTACTCATTGACGTCATAATTTCGTTTTCTCTGTCTTTGCGGAAGGTTGATAAAATTACCTCCGTTCTTGTCGGAACCTCTGTAGTTCTTTCCACCAAAGGAAAATGTATCTCGACCAGTATCATCGTCTGCGAGCAGCTGGAAATCAGCGAGGTTGTGCTTAGCGTCCGTTTCAAGTTTGGCTTGGATTTCACTCGTTTTCTGCTCTCCTTTAGCAATCAGTGCGTCAATATCCTCATCGGTGTAGGTCCCTCCCTTACCACTAAGAATTTGATCGGCTCCAAATTGGACCATCTTCATAAGGTCGCCCTTATCCACGGAAGTGTTTTGCTCAGCCAATCGACCTTGCTGGATAACTGCAGCATCAAGGAACAGTTTACGATCGGCTCGCTCGATGATCTTTTCTTCTACGGTTCCTTCACAAATGAAACGAAAAACTTGGACTGGCTTTTTCTGTCCAATTCTGTGAGCACGATCCATGGCTTGGAGATCAACTTGAGGATTCCAATCACTGTCAAATAGGATCACAATATCAGCCGTGGCAAGGTTGATTCCAAGACCACCAGCCCGTGTGCTCAGCAGAAATGCAAACTTGCTCGATCCATCCTCGTTGAATTCGTCCATCTGCGTATCTCTGCGTTCGCCAGAGGTGTTACCATCGATTCTGCAGTACTCGTGTCCAACGAATCGGAAGTAGTCCTCCAAGATATCCAGCACCCGAGTCATCTGGGAAAAGATCAACACTCGTGATCCCCGCTCTTTCAGCTTGATCAAAAGCTTATGTAGGAGCTGCATCTTCCCACTATTTTCCCATAGATGAGGCCCGTCCTTGTCTGTAGCGCGAAATTATGGACGATTAGTAACCCGATTTTATTGCAGATAAGAAATGCCAAACAAGCTAAAACTTACAAGGTGGTCCCGGTTCGGCCCCGTCAAACAAGTAAGGGTGGTTGCATACCTTGCGCAGCTGCATCAGAATATTCAGCAGACGCACTCGATCAGGTCCTCCGAGTTTGTTCAGTTCATGAGCATCCTTATTCAACACTTTGATATACCAGTCACGTTGCATCTGTGTTAGACCAATGAACAACTTGGTTTCCTTTTTCGGGGGCAAAGACGTTGCGACATCTTTTTTGACGCGACGCAACATAAATGGTCTCAAGACAGTGTGAAGCTTCTTGATGACATTTTCTTTGCCAGATTCGTCAGTAAGACTGAACCAAGCATCAAATTGTTCGGCATCACCAAAGACTTGAGGCATTAGAAAGTTGAGTAATGCCCAGAGCTCGCGAAGATTATTCTGAAGTGGAGTTCCGGTAATCAACAGTCTGTGTTCTGTATTGATGACACGAACTGCCTTGCTCAGAGACGAGTTTTCATTCTTGATGCGATGGGCCTCGTCAATGATCAGATACCTCCAGTCAATCTTGGACAGTTTTCCCTTTTCCTTGAGCAATCCTTCGTACGATGTTACTAGAACATCCCATTTGTGCTTGCCAGTGTCAGGGTCGACAGCAAGATGCTCTTGCTCAAACTTTAGACGTTCTTCTTTGGTCCCACCCATGCGAATTGCCCGAATGACAGGACACCACTTTTTGACTTCGCGTATCCAGTTTCCAACCACACTCTTGGGGACAATGACAATGTGAGGACCCTTGACGCCACGGAATTCTCGGAGGTACGCCAGGAGCGAAATTGTCTGAAGAGTTTTTCCCTTCATGGCATTTCATGAGAAATTTTGTACATTAGCAGCAGAATATTGAAATTGACACAACCCATCAACGTTGAACACTCACCAATCCCATCTCATCGGCCAAAATTCCATTGATATTGTTGCAATAAAGCTTGATCATCCAATTCAGGCCTTCCAGCTGATAAGGGTGCATCTTACAGTGTGGTGCCAATATGGTAGGTTGCTTGTCCAATCTGGAGACAATTCGTTTGGATTGTGCGGACTTTAGCATTTGTGCATCCTCTTCCGCTTCTGTCATACGCCCCTTCTTGCCACGAGATCCCTTTTTACCCTTTTTCTTTTCGGATGTTGCCACCGAGCCTATTAGAAGTATATAGTGTGAGTCAATGCCTTGAATGTTTTGGCTGGTGTCCATAGAAGGCGTGGTCATTTTACGTACCGGCAAGAAAGTGTGCAAAAACTTCCGACTGCGCGAGCAGATATTGCAGCTGATCCTCCTTATTAGCACTCGAGCTGTCAAAATTGGCTGCCACCTGTTTTCGCTCTGCTTCCAGGAGTTCCATTTGCTCCCGCTTGGCAGCTTCAAATTGATTATGCTCAGTTTGCGCTAGCTTGTTGATAGTGGCATCATCCCCCGTGTCCGCTTCCGGTAGAGCGTCGTCATTGTCGTTTGGGTCAGCGTTGTTGTCCACATCCATTTCTTCGTCATCTCCATCCATATCCATGCCCTCGATCTCACAGTCCGAGTCATCATCCCCTTTCGGCTTCTGTTGCTCCTTTTCGTCGGACATTGCTGCTAATTTGGTCCTCTTTGGTTTACGAATTCGCAGGACGACCTCAGAATAATTGCAGGTCGTTTGTCGCAATGATCGCACTGGGTTTCCCATCTTCATGAAATCGGCAGACCGATGAGCCGACGCGTGGGAGCGCGCGCGACTTTCGACTCACCTCTTCGCTGATTGGCGCGAAAAACATGTTGTCGGAGGAGTCGTTAGATAGTAGTTCTAACCGACAAAATATAATACAACACCCTCAAACAATCATCATGAGGCTGAAGAGCTCTAGCTTTCGGTATATCATCGCCTGCTTCGCTTCCACTTTTTTCATTTTACAGACAGTATTTTTTTATTTCTCTCATATCACGCTCACAACGGACGCATCTATCATCAATGCTTTGCTGAGTTCGAATAATGGCGATGATTCTTCCACTTCCACTGGCAATATCGATCCGTCAATGTCTATCAATTTGCAACAAGAGATTCAAAAATCAAAAGACTATGTCAATTCGATAAAGGACACCAAGCGCAATCTGATCTTTGTTCATATACCCAAGACTGCTGGAAGCACCATTGAAGATGTGGGCGCAAAACAAGCCAAGCTGTCGTGGGGTTCGTGTCGTTTCAATCATCGACCCAAACGTGCCTTGTGCAAAAAACCAATAATGCTGTATCCCAACGAATTTGAATGGCCAATGAAGGTGGGCTATTGGCATATACCACCCTACTATTTTCCGCTCATGGGAAGCAATCCCTACAAGAACGTCGATCTCTTTGCGATTATCCGAGATCCATTTGAAAGGCTCCTGTCGGAATTCTACTATGTATGTCGAAAAAAGCTGAAACCTCAGTATTGGGATATCATCGATTGCAATCGTACTCGAGTTCATGAGCCTGAATATCTCAATTATTGGTTACGGCGAGAAATCAACAACAGTAAACCTTCTCTTCAAGTGACGGCGAGTGATTTGCTCTTTCGTAATGGACACTACACGCCACAGTATGACTTTATTGTGTCATCACCAGATCAAGTGAGAATGGTAGACTACGTTATGCATATGAAGAATCTAAATGATGAGTTTCAGCCGTTAATGGATGCGTATGGTATCAATGCGGCAATGCCTCCTCGAAAGGCAAATGTCGCTCATGAGGAACGAGACTTGTCTGCTGATCACCTGGAGGATGCTACCAATGCATTGATAAATGATCGGTATGGAAAAGATTTCGAGCTAATGAAAGCTCAGCGGAAGGAAACGTCATGATGATTGCGTGTAAGAGAAAAACAATACCATCTTTCTTCAAGGATCAGACGCTGGAAAAAGTTTGATGGGCCCATTCTTGTCCAGTATCTTGACCGCGGATGTGATACCACGCATGAGTTGGAGAACAATCAATGCTTTCCAAACGTTGACGAGTGTGTCAGTTGCGCCAAATGTTTGCGCGGAGTAAAAGAAAATAGCGGTAACCGCGCCGCTCAGAGCCATGCTTTTGGCTTGAAACTCAAATTCTTCGGCTCCTTGCAATACACCATCAGCTGCGAATACCAAACTATTGAGAGGTTGGGCCAGAATAATCAGTGCCAAAATCTCTGAAAGTGCGACCTGCGTCCCGGCATCCGAAGTGAATAGACCCAACAAAAAGTCGGTAGAGTATCCAATCTGAAGTGTGGTTGCCAGAATCACACCCAGAATAGCACTGTACACAAAGACTGTTTTGGATACGTCGCGAACATCGTTGCTGTCATTCCGTCCAATGGCATCGGCTACCAGGGCTTGGGAAGCGGCTGCCAAAGCATCGGCAATAAACGAGCATAGTAACCATAGTTGCAAACCAATCTGATGTGCACTAATACTAGATGCTGCTCCACCAGGAAGGGTCTCGCCACCTCTTGCTGCAAACGCAGCGGCGGCGGAAATAGAAAACTGAAGGACAAAGGTTCGCAAAAACAGCGACGAGGATGCCACGACCAGCGGTTTCATTTCTTCCCACGGTGGAATTGACAAAGTGGGAATCACAATCAGAGTGCTCTCGTCTTCTTTCTTCCCAAGTTGACCATCTACCGATGGTAACTTGCCAGAAAGAACCGCGAGGAAAAGAAGAGCACTGATCCATTCTGCTGTGGTGGTGGCAATGGCCGCACCTTGAGGTCCCATTCGAGCGTAGCCAATCAATGCAATATCCAACAACAGATTGACAACATTGGCAAGCGCAAGGATGGCAATAGGAGTTTTGGTGTCCAAGTATCCTCTCAGAATCCCCGTGGATGCGGAGATGCAAAATACAGCTGGTGCCGCAAATGCTCGAACCGACAAAAAGTCCAGTGCGTACGCGTTGGCTTCAGGGCCTGATACACCAGTTCCCATGACATCCAGGAGAGGCTGTCTCGCAGCGAGAAGCACGACAAACAGCATGGAACCAAGCGCAAATGCAAGTGACAGAGCTTGTCCACCCACCGCCAATGCTTCCGCTTCTTTGCCAGATGCTCGTTTCGAAGATATCAGAGGCGTCGTGGCAGTACACAAGAAATTGAATAGATAGAAACTGAAGGTCAAAAGAGCAGCCGCCGATCCCATTCCGGCCAACTCGTTTGGACTTTCGCTAAATCTTCCGACGAAGGCAGTATCAGCCAAGGTCAAAAGTGGGTCAATGAGCAAAGCTCCCAGTGTCGGGATCGATAGGTCGAGGATGCGTCGTCCAGTGGAGACCTGTGCCTCGACCGTGGCATCATCTTTTCCTTTGGTTGGAAGAGCTTGTAATTGAAAGCCTTGGATTTCTTTGGGGTTGGAAAGATGATTCTCAGCATCACCAACAGGCCTGTACCCTACACGTTGTTTGGAAGAGGGCAGCGATGGCAGGAGGCCCTTTACAGCTTTCATTTCTGGATGGAAGAGAAAACTGGCAACTAGCAATATCGGTAGCGTTGATTGACGGTAACGCATAGGTCGAGAACGCGACGGTACGTGGTATACAACTATATATGCTGATTTGGATGTTTTGTTTTGTTTTCATTTCCAATTTTGTCGTTCGCCTTCCAATAACACGTCACTTTCGTCACATAATGGCGTGCGTGCTAAAAGGAAGACCAACCACCACCAACCCTCACATTCAAATGGTTTCATCTTCAGCTTTTGATTCTGACGATGACTTCATCTTTGGTGTCGATTTATCCAATCTTGATGTCTCGGAAATCGTGGACGAGGGAATCTCATCGTTTATTCACGAAGAAGAATCTTCGCAATCATATCAAAAGCCGGACTACTCTTCTAGAATAACAAACCTACTGTCTACCACAACAAGGTTTCCAGTCCTCGAGACTCCCGTCACACAATTGCAATTCGACAATCTCTTCTCTTGGGCTACAAGCATAGGGGCTGAACTTGATGGTATCGCTTGTGTAGAGGATATTTATGGTGGCCGAGGACTGGCAGCTAGACAAAAATTTGTGGTGGGAGATATGCTAGCCATACTCCCTAGGGAGCTACGAATCGGCCAAACTGTGGCCTGCAAACATTTGGGGATTCCAAGCGATACACCTGATCTGTCTGCTCTTAGTATGTTTCTGTTGGATTTGGCATCATCGGAAGAAAGTGAAGAAAAGTTTCTGCATTATGCAAGATGTTTGCCCAAGTTCGGATCGAATGGTCTGTTCCAGAGTGACGAAGATGATGACCATTACGATGCATTTGGAGAAGAATATACGGAAGCGATAAAGGCAATCCGCAGTCAAGCAAAGTCTTGCAAAGATTACATTTACGAGGTTTTGATAGGTGAGAGCCCATTAGAAGATCAAGCGCCGACAATTCCTCTGCTCTGGGCTATATCAATGGTACAGACTCGAACACATGGCTTTGGCAGCAATCGAGGCCGGTGGCTGACACCGATTTTCGACTTTGCGAATCATTCGCCAAATCCGAACAGCAAACTAGAAGGAGATTCTGATGGTAGGCTTGTACTCAGAGCTTTGAAAGCAATAGATGCAAACGAGGACATCACAATTGACTATCAAGTTCCAGACGATTCCAAACTTCGCGCTACCTATGGCTTCTCACTTCTTCATGCCCCGAGAAATACTGTATGACACAGTAGAAACATATAGAAAATACATGATTGCTTATGAAATATAGCGCTCTATGATACATGTCTTCAATTTGTTTGGTGATGTCGCCGCTCAACATGACGCTTCACCCATGCTTTCTGGATGAGAAGTCGATCTCTCCATTTTTTCAGTGATTGTCGTCATTAGTTGGGAAGACGCATCTTCTTGATCCGCCTGGTTCAACCATGCTTGTTGGGAACCCAATTTGGTAGGGGTTGTCTGCATGAATTCGGAAGAATCATCTTCATCTTGAGCCGATTGCATCTCGAGATTGGCTTCATGAACCACCAAACCTTGTACCGAATCTAGCATGATCATGCAATAGGCATCAAGAGCCAAGTGATTTGGTCGATCGCGATCGAATGGAATTTCCACCTCGCTAGATGCACCTTCAATTCCAAATAACGCAAACGCGGAAAAAGCGACCATGGGGACTGTGGCCCAACCCCAATCATCCACCCAAACATATGGCAAGAAACATAGATATGTAAAGAGAAAGGTTCGAAGGTGGGTAACGTAGGCGATTGGCAGCGGTGTCGATCGAATTTTCTCCATTCCAGATACCTGTTCCACCATCCTTGCCACTCGCTTTTCCAGCTCATTCATTTGTATCGCATAGGCATAGGCTTTTTGTGGTGGAGTAAAAGCATCGATCCGAAAGGCCTTTCGCAAATGATACCGACACATACTAGCTGCAAATAAGGGTGCATGCGTCGCATCCTTCATTCGCTTAATCTGTGATTCAGTTAGAAAGCCCGCAAGTTCATCGTAGTTGTAATCGTGCTCACTTCGAATAAAGTGCATGGAAGCTACGCAAAAGGCACTTGCCCACCGAATGGCCTGATCTCGATGTTGTGGAGAGTGGGAACCGTACATGAGAATACCGCTCACAAGATTTCTAGTGCAGTGCGTTAAATTTCCCCAATAACCTCTTGATTCCCAAAATCTCATGGCACACCGATTGAGACGAAAGACAAGGAGAAACGCGAGACTCGTTTTCAATATCAACGCATACACTGTATCCCAGTGTTGAATCAGTTCATGAGACATCTTGGTTTGAAAAGACTTGCTCAACACTGATGCTAGGATCGCATTCAACGTCACAAAGGCCCAGGATTCAAAGTACTTGTCTATGGCTCGAACCTGGAAAGTTTGCACAATTGAGATTCGTGGATGATTTCAAAACAAGGATCTTTTGGTGCACACGAATCTTACCTCCAGCACCAGCATCGATCGAAACCAACCATCAGTTCCTCGGACGTGATTCAATTGCTTCTTTCCACTCGCCTTGAATGCCTTTTTGCGTTTGGGCGCTCCCTTTAGGATATCATCAGCAAGTTTGAAATTCTTGTATAATCCCACGAATTGGCGCACAGTATTCATAGTGGTTTCTCGATGAATGGACTGATCGATGGTCGAAAAGAAGGACGGTCGCCACGAGCCTCTCGGTGGCGGTGATGGTCCACCATCTTGGAAATCGCTGAAGGAAATCAAGTGTTCGATCGTCTTCTGTGACATGATATCCTTGCTTGTTGTGTGATGGCTGGATGAAGTAACGGATTGTGTTTTTCTCTTCCAGATGATGCAACTCCTACTTTTTATATTTTTTATACTTTGAATTTTCATAAAACTCTTCTTCGCGACCAAAGATTTAGGTCAATCTGTCAAAAAGCCGGAAGAAAAGAGGATAATGCTAAAATACTACATTATAAAAACTGATTGTTTTGCGCCTATGATGGATACGACCATACCAACATGACAGCACCGCTTCCCGTCCGCTCAGCGAAGTTAAGCATGTTCGGGCCTGGTTAGTACTACGGTGGGGGACCACGTTGGAATCCCAGGTGTTATATTCTTTTTTTTTTTTAAAAACAGAAAAATTCTTTTGACTTCATCGACTGAATGCAAGATCATTCAGTCTTTCTTTCATTCATGGCAGAATACTTGACCATGTTGTTTCTAAGTTTGAGCCTATACTTGTTGGTTGCGCATTCTGTATCGTCATTGAAACTTAGAGCTTCCAATGAGTATTCCTTTGAACAGTATGTGAAGGATTTCGACAAGGAGTATTCCTCTGACGAAGAGTACAAGCAACGGGAAGGAGTTTTTCTGCAAAATCTAGCGCATATCTTGGACCACAACTCGAATCGTGATTCCTCCCAGCACTACAAGGACATTAATCATTTTTCCGACAAGTTGGATAATGAGCTTCCACTTGGATATGACAAGTCCTCGCACCCGGCATGGTCTTCTGACACAGCCGTGGAACGAAGAACATTGTCAACCTTTGAGGCAGTAGACCTAAAGAAGCTTCCCAAAAGTGTCGATTGGCGAACCAATGGACGTGTTACAACTGCAGTCAAGAATCAACTTCACTGTGGTAGCTGCTGGGCGTTTGCTACAACAGCATGTATGGAATCTCACGTCGCTATTCAAACAGGGAAGCTGTTCACCTTGAGCGTACAGGAATTGGTGTCTTGCATGCCGAACCCCAATCAATGCGGGGGAACAGGCGGATGTGCTGGAGCAACCGCTGAACTAGGTTTTGATTTCATTGCCAAGCATGGTATGGTGGATGAATGGTCGTTTGGCTACCAAAGTGGGCACGGAGAACAAGTGAACTGTACGATTATGGATGACCACGACTCAAAGGAGCATCATATTCGCGGTGAAAAGTCTACCAAAATCAAAGGATCGGTTGCATCAGTCGTTGGTTTCTCCAACTTACCCACAAATAAATATGATTCCTTGTTGGCGGCTGTTGCTCTGGTTGGACCAGTCGCCATTAGTGTTTCAGCCACTGGTTGGGGTCTCTACCATGGTGGAATCTATGACGATAGTACCAGTAAGAATCGTGATATCAATCATGCAGTCGTATTGGAAGGATATGGAACTGACGAAGAAACTGGGCAAGATTACTGGCTGGTTCGAAACAGGTAAGAGGACACAGTTCATGTTATACGCGCATGTTCCATCAAGTATTGATATTCAATTGCGAACGACATCGCTCCTTATCCATTTACAGCTGGGGCCCAATGTGGGGCGAGGACGGTTACATTCGTCTCAAGCGAACTGACCCTTCATTTCTCGATGATCCTGCATCCGATTGCAAGATGGATGTGACACCCACAGATGGTGTTGCGTGTACCAAGGATGACAGTGGTAATGATATTGTCCCAAAAGCAGTTTCTGTTTGTGGAACTTCCGGGATTCTTTTTGACACTGTCGTTCCCATTGGTGCCCATTTGGCTTGAAAGAAGCTTTTGATTAAAATTGTTCAGTAGTCAATAGAGTACTAGGGTACTCGATGGACACTACCTCCCTCACCTACTGTAGTCCTTCAGAATTCTTTGGAAGGAATCAATCACAGTAGTCGAATTACTCGTATGGTCTGTCAGCCTCGCCAGCATAGCAAAGTTGGCGCCAACGTTTTGAGCCAACAGTAAAACAAACCAATCATCATATTTTTCTTCTTTCTTTCATTTCACTCCAACTGAATCATCTTCCATCATGCACACTCGGCTAAGTCTACTAACAGCCCGTGCTCGAGGTGAATCCATTCGGCGACATCGAGAACTTTTCTCGGCCAGCCAACGGCGGATGCTTCAATCTTCTCCTCTAAATCGAACGGTTTCCACAGCTGTCACTGGTCGAGGACCGCTTCATCACCAAAACAATACCAGCGATGGCCCTCGATTCTCGGCACCTGGGGTATCTTTTCCAAGATATTACACCAGCACCAAAAAAATGTCACCGTCCAGTGCGATGGCATTGCGAGACGACAACGATGACAGCAGTTCATTGGACGACGATGAGCTCATGTCAGAAGAAATTGAATTGCTAACATCATCAGCATTGTCACAGTACCTACCGCCATCGTCATTGCCAGAAGAAATATTCTACAGACAGGGAGAAGAACCTATCAGTGATAGTAATGGTTCGCTAGATTTGGAATTGGGAGAAGGCTCAATGTGGGATCATGAAATAGGGATTGCACAGGGTATGGATTACATTGTGGAAGAAGATATGGATCGTGAGCCAATATCCAGCCTTGCGAATCCAAACACAGTAGCTGCTTCAAAAAAAGAGATACTAACAGTGCAAAAGACTCCAATGGAAATACTCAGAGATTTCGATATCGAAAAACCTCCTTCACGGGACAACTTGGAAGAGCTCCAATTATGGCTTGAGTGCGCTGCCCAGCGTGAAGCTGTCATGAAATACCAAAAGTTGATTGAAAAGGCTCGAGACAGGAAAGCATTTGATTCGATGAGTTTGATGCAACGCCATGTCGTGCAATGGTACCAAGACCTCCGCGATGCCATTGAGGTCCGGCAAAAGGAGTACCTTTCCAACGAAGATACCCGTCCAGCGCGAAAGCGATATGGTCCATTTCTTTGTTCGCTACATCCCGAAAAGATGGCAGTCATTTCTAGTCACGAGGCAATCACTCAAACGCTACTACTGAGTGGAAAGAATGGCAAAGAAGGTGTGCCTTTGGTAAAGCTTGCGCAGTTGATTGGAGCTGCGATTGAAACAGAAGTTGTTTCGCAACGACGAATGAAGGAGCGGTTTGCAACCTTCAAGGCGCAAGAAGAGAAAATGGGCGACACTGATGAGAATGCCGAAACAACATCTGTCAAAGAGGCAAAGATGACTGCAGTTGATCACTGGAAGTTCAGTGCATCACATTTGAAAATGTACATGGACGAGCTGAAACGAATTGATCCAAAACTTGGAAAGAGCAAACGGGCTATTAACTATGCTATGCGTCGGGCTAAGCAAGCTATGAACACCGAACAGAAATGGTGCAAAGAAGATTTGACTCATATCGGGGCTGCTCTTCTCTCCATTGTTGTCGAACATACTACCATTAATCAGAATGGAAAAGAAGACCCAGCTTTTCGCGTTGAGAAACGGTGGTCCAAGGACAAAAAGAGCACTTCGTACGTCTACCTCAACGATTACCTAACCAAACTTTTTTTGGAAGATGACTTTTTGTCGTGGGCTGCCAATACAACACGACACAAGCCCATGATTGTCCCTCCATCCAACTGGACTGGACCCAACGAAGGAGGTTATCGCTGGCTACAGGTGGACTTGATGCGAACTCATGGATCAAATATCCAGAGAGAGGCATTGCAACATGGAGATCTTTCTCTCGTTGCAGATGGATTGAACACTCTAGGAAAGACACCGTGGAAAATCAACAAGGAAATCTTGAAAGTCGGCGAATACTGCTGGAATAACAATATTCCAATTGGAGATATTCCATCTCGAACCGACTTGAAACTGCCAGTAGAACCCATGCGGCCACCAAAAGTAGACCCTGCCGTGTACAGCGATGAGGCTGCACCGGAAACGATTGCTGCCAAGGAAGCAAACCGAATCTACCGGGAAAGCATGTACAAGGTTCAAAGAATACATCAGAAGAATATGGTAAGAGAACAGTCAAGTGGTTTTATCTTTGTGCCGGTCTTGGCAGACTACTCTAACACGACGCGTCTCTGCAGGATCTTCGATCTCTTCGATGCTCTGCTACATTGAAATTGAACCAAGCTAATGAGTTCAAGGACTTTGATAAAATTTACTTCCCGTACAACCTTGACTTCCGCGGAAGGGCTTGTAAGTATGCGAATTCGAAGATTTGTGCATTACCAGCTCAACATGACTAACGTGATATATAGACCCTGTACCACCACATCTCTCGAATGTGGGATCCGATTTGTGCCGTGGAATGCTAACATTCTCTGAGGCGAAGCCACTCGGGAAGAGGGGGCTCTACTGGCTCAAGGTGCATCTTGCCAATTTTGCAGGAAAAGATAAGATGTCATTTGACGATCGTGCTAAATTCGTCGACGATCACATTGACGATGTCAGAGAGTCAGCAAAAAATCCATTTTCAAAGGATCCCTGGTGGATGTCGCTTGACGATCCTTTCCAAGGCCTTGCAACATGCCATGAAATCGTCAAGGCCATTGATTCTGGAGATCCAGAATCGTACATGTGCAACCTGCCTGTTCACATGGATGGTTCTTGCAACGGTCTTCAGCATTATGCAGCTCTCGGTCGTGACACAGTCGGAGGAAAGGCTGTCAACTTGTTGGAAGGTGATGGGCCAGAGGATGTTTACGTCGGTGTCATGCACGAAGTAATCCGTCGAGTTCGCGAAGAAGCAAAACGAGAGTTAGATTTTGATGTCTCTGATCCTGACGCACTTGGAAAGCCACAAAAGAAGCAATGGAAGCACAATTTAGCTGCCAAACTAGTCGACGGTCTCATTGATCGTGGTGTCGTGAAGCGGACTGTGATGACTAGTGTGTACGGTGTCACTTACATCGGTGCACGAACTCAGATTCAAGAGAAAATTGAAGAAAAGGTACGCATTGCGGTTGATTCCTCAATTCATCAACAAATCTTTCTCAATGCATGTTTTTTGCCATGATAAGTTGGAAGAGAAAGGTTACGATATTGACGAAATTGACAGAGAGATTTTCATCGCAGCTGGATATCTTGCAACCGTGACAATGGAGGTTATGGGTGACTTGTTCCAGGGTGCAAAGAAGACAAAGAGTTGGCTAGCGGATTGTGCCCGAATGATCACGCAACAAGGTCACCCTGTTGCATGGATTTCTCCTATTGGAATCCCTGCCATTCAGCCTTACCGCCAGAAGCGACCTAGGACTGTGGTGACTGTTATGCAATCAGTTACAGTGGCAGATGAAAACGATGATCTCCCCGTCCATAGTTCTCGCCAAGTGACAGCATTCCCTCCAAACTATGTGCACTCGTTGGATTCGTCTCACATGCTTTTGACAGCAATGGAAATGGACAGACGAGGATTGAGATTCTCGGCAGTGCATGACTCATTTTGGACCCACGCATGCGATGTGGACGAGATGAATGAAGCTCTCCGAGACTGTTTTGTAGAACTCTACACGCAACCCCTGCTAAAAGATCTGAAGCAATCCTGGGAACTACGATATCCTGAAGTTGAATTTCCAGAGCTTCCCGAACTAGGTGATTTGGATCTGAATGAAGTCAAGGATGCAACCTACTTTTTCCAATAGAAAATTCCATTTTTTTCTGAAATCACCAATGCTAATATTAATAATAATATACTGTATATTTACGCTTGAAAATTTATTACATAGATATACTCCAAGCAATAAGATGAAAACCTGGATCTTTCTTATCTTTCTTCACTGCTACTAACGCTCGGAGTGAAGTTGATCTTGGGTCAAAAGCGGGTTTGTGACAAAACTTCAGATAGCCGTTGGCGAGGCGAAATATTTCGCACGTAGCTTTTGTACTGTGGAGGAAAATCGAACGAAATTGATGAACCGAGCACCCATGATCACCAAAGCCCATCCTACGAGGCACCCAGGACCGACAATCCAAGCAAAGATCACCTCGTCAGCTCACATAGCCGCTCATAATCCACCCATTACCCTCAAGGAGAACAGAATAGACCAAAATGGCCGAACAAAGAAAAGCAGTTATCAAAAATGCCGATATGTCAGAAGCAATGCAACAAGATGCCGTCGATGTTGCGTCAGTGGCTCTATCAAAATACAACATCGAGAAGGTCTGTAGGCGTCAATTCGATATCGTTGTGGCGCTGTCATTGTAGTCTTTAACATTATTTTTCGTTTTCCAGGATGTTGCCGCTTATATCAAGAAAGAATTTGACAAAAAGTACAACCCAACATGGTAAGGAACCACTGCAATTCGCATTTTATCGCAGGAAGCAAACGCGTCTCACTCAAATTGTTCCGTCCACACAGGCACGTTATTGTTGGCAGAAATTTTGGAAGCTATGTAACGCACGAGACAAAGCACTTTATCTACTTCTACCTTGGGCAGGTTGCTGTCTTATTGTTCAAAAGCGGTTAATGTTTTTTTCGGAAACAAACAAATTGGGAGGATCCCTATTGATTTGTCTGTAGTCTACATTGGACAGTCGACAGCACTGTAATATCAGGATGACAATCGAAGCGAACGGGTACAGCTTAGCTCTTATCTCATGACACATATAGAAGTAAGGTCATCAATAGACATCAAATCACATGCAAGATTTTCTATGAATCTAGAATCAAAAGCATTCGGCGCCCTAAAGCCTTTCACCGAAGCCTGGAGTCCATCGATCATTGTTGATGGCATAACGCTATAATTGAGAAAATTGCACAAGTGAGCGATGCAGTTTCGTAGAATCCATGAAAGAATGAACGAATGGCAAAATGTAATGACATACCTTGAATGACTCCTCACGAACCAGTGTGGCAACATCCCTAAGTTCAGGTTTCTCCTTGTATGATTTCAAAAGTTCAACATTACCGTCAGGTTTCTCAATATATGCCTCCCATGGGCCAGGGAACGAACGATAAACCCATCCCTTGGAGATTCTCTTCACATAATAGACTTCTTCGTACCCCCTATTGTTTCCAAGACCATATGTCGTCGAGAAAGCATTGTTTAAAACAACAAAAGGAGAGCTCGGAGAACAATGTGCAGAAACAATACGATCCCATTTCTCTTCACCACCTGGGTTGATGCAGACAATAGTTTCGCCATCACGACCATTTTTTCGTGCTTCTGGTGACATGACCGCGCCAACACGGGAGATCGGACCTCTCGATTTGATTTGGTCAAAGGTGACCGGTTCTGTCGTCAGAACACAAACTTTGCCACCCAAACCACCAGCTGCAGATGCAATCTTTTTGGCCCAATATACGTTAGAGAATGCGATCAGCTGTCGAGAAAGATCAGACCCGGGCTTGTAGCCTCCAGCGATACCCAAATCCCTTCAAAAACATGATAGAGTCAGTAAAATTTCATCCTATTCACACAATGCAAAATTTCATCTTACTTTGCAAGGACAGCCTTGCCAAACTTTTGATTCAACGGGGTTCCAAATCTAACCTCTATAATTGGAATGTTGAGTGAGACACAATCGGGGAAAGAGTGCGTGAACCCCACGCTGACTGACGTACCTTCGACATTTGGAACTGGTGGGAAGTTGACTTCGATTTTCTTTTTGCCAGCAGAAATGGCTCTTCCAACAGCTGCAGAGGCTTGCTTGGCAACCTGCTCATTGAACCATCCGTCATATAGCTTGGGCATTCCCTTTCCACCATCGATAAATGGTACAAATGACGATACAAGAGCTGGTAGGACGAGTGCGGAAAATAAAAGGCTTCCTGTCTTCATGACTGTATGACTATTTAGGCTTTGGTATCCTCACAACGACAAATTGTGCTTACGTTGACCTTTTTTTCTCATTCCAAAAGGGAAAGCAAATAAGTATCTTCAACATTGAGTTGCGCGAATTCCATGCGCGAGGAGACAAACCACTCAACCCATCAAAATCATGAAACAACAATTCGAAAAGAGAATCAATCAACCCGATAGCATTCCAAAACGAGAAAACGGAATGGGTATCAACTCAGCACTCTATATTATGATCAATGTGTTAGCGCTAGTATTGAAAAACCCTTCAGTTGTAAATGGTTTGCAATCGGCTCGCTCACCAGCACATCGATCACTTCTGACGAAATCAAACTTACTCAATCAAAGACATCACCTCCCGAGCTCATGGTTTGGGGCCACAAGATTGGCATCCTCCGAGCGCGATGATTCAGAAAAGCCAAAAAAGAAAGGACCACAGAGCAAGAAGATAAAGCTGAAAGAAATCACTCCAGAAAAGATAGACGCACTAGCAGCAGCTTTTGATGATCTGGCAAGGAAGGAAGGTTTCGACTCGTCTCTTTCCCGTATGGCCGACGACGATACCTTCGAAGACTACTTTGACGGCGATGAAGATGATGAAGATGATGAATTCATGGATGACGATGACGATTTCTTGGACTTTGGTAGCGATGCTGCCGATGATGATATGGATGCGCGTATTGCTGCAGCTCAGAAAGAATTTTCAACCGGTAGAGTGTCTGTGCCAAAAGAGCTGGAAGAATTTGCTTCGAAGAAAAAAGAGGATGTATTCAAATCTAAGAAAAAAGAGGATGTCTTTGATTCCTTGGATTTGAGTCTTGCTGATTTCCAAGATATGGACGAAGAGGATTGGGACGACGATGGTATGGACGTTCCCAACACTGCTGCCAGGAGAGACACGAAAAGTGGAAGGGTAGAGGCCAGTGACGTCGACCTTCGAGAACTTGGCTACAAGAGAGAGGCCAATCCATTTGGAAACGATGAGACTCCAAGGAAAAAACAATACACGCTAATCTCCGATGCCATGACATGCCAAGCTTGTGGTTCCAGCTTTCAATCGACAAATGAGCAAAAGCCTGGATTCCTTCCAGATCAGAAGTTCGAGACTCAAGTGAAGCTTGCAAAGATTGAAGAAATGCAGAAGCTTCAGGACAAGGCAGAGACAAAGGAGTGGACGGTTGATGACGAGATTGAATACCTCATTCAGACAAGTGGAGGGGAAGCGGATGGAGCCGAAGATGATGCTGAAATCGATGTCGAAGCAATGGCTGAAGAAATGGAGTTGGATCTAGTAGAGCTTTCAAAGAAGAAGGTGATTTGCAAGAGGTGCCATTCACTTCAAAACACAGGAAAGGTTGAAGAGGCGCTCAGACCCGGGTGGACCGATGAACCAACCATGTCTCAAGAGAAGTTCCGAAACTTGCTGAAGCCAATCAGAGAGAAACCGGCCGTCATTATTGCTCTCATTGACCTTTTCGACTTTAGCGGTTCTGTATTGAGAGAGCTTGATGGCATTGCTGGAGACAATCCTGTGATTCTCGCTGCTAACAAGGCCGATTTGTTGCCAAAAAACATGGGTAAGCAAAGAGCAGAAAACTGGGTTCGCCGCGAGTTGGAGCATATGGGAGTTCAGTCTATTGCAAATGTTGGCGGCGCTGTCCGCTTGATTAGCTGCAAGACTGGTTTTGGAGTCCTTGAAATGCTTGGAAAAGCACGAAAACTTGCAGATAAAATGGAATGCGACATATACGTGGTTGGTGCGGCCAATGCAGGAAAGAGCACTCTCATCAATAACATCTTGGCCAGTGAGGAAGACAAGACTGATGAAAAGAAGAAAAGGGCGGGGAACCGAAATGCTTTCAAAGGAGCGCTCACCGCAAGCCCTTTGCCAGGCACTACTTTGAAGTTCATCAAAATCGATCTCGGTGATGGAATGAGCCTATACGATACTCCAGGTTTGCTCGTTCCAGGTACAATCACCCAGTTGTTGACTCCAGAGGAGTTGAAGATTGTATGCCCAAAGAAGTAAGTTACTTCCGCGTTTTTTGTTTATGGCGATGATATAGTACTGTTCCTAACGCTTCTCCTTTCAGACAAGTGGAACCCATTACATTCCGAGTGAGCTCAGGAAAATGCGTCCTTGTAGGAGGACTTGCGAAGATCGAAGTCATTGGTGACACAAAACCGTTTCTGTTTACCTTCTTTGTTGCCAATGAGATCAAGCTTCACCCAACAAGCTCAGATAGATCAGAAGAATTCATCAAGAAACACGCTGGTACCATGCTGACCCCGCCATTTGAACCTGGTGAAGAGAGAATGGAACAGCTTGGAGAGTTCGAGTCTCACATTTTCGATATTGAGGGATCTGGATGGAAAGAAGCTGCTGCTGACATCACATTGACTGGCCTCGGATGGGTTGCCGTCACGGGGGCTGGAACAGCAAAGATCAAGCTCAGTGTTCCAAAGGGAATTGGTGTGTCAGTAAGACCTCCACTCATGCCCTTTGACGTCTGGGAAGTTGCTTCGAAATACACTGGGGGTCGCGCAACTCGAAAGATCGGAAAGAAAAGTAAGAGCGGGAAAAGGAGGAAGGGAGTTGGAAGAAACTGAGTCAAGTCCGATGGAAGTTGTATCATCACCGCAATGAACCTGCTCATTATGTCAAAGCTACACGAGATAGAAGTGTATTATATATCGAAAATGCAATAAACGTTGAAGTCTAGTTTTATCATCCAGACTTTCCCATTTAGAAAGTCGGTGAACTCCGTTTATACCAAGCAGCGAAAAGACACAAACTTGATGAACCCTTCTATTGTTCTCAAAAAATCAATTTAGAATTCGTCCTTCAAAGCATCCGCAGCACCGGCTTTACGGGTCTCGCTTGAGATGTACAAGTTGATAAGGAAAAGGACTGGAAGGAAGGTTCCAAGAAGAACGGCCAAGTATGCACCGAATTGAACCTCAAGGGCAACGGCGGTAGAGGGAAGAGCCTCAACAATGGAGTCCATGGCAAAGGCAGGGGCCGAGAATGCAGCGACAGGGGCAGCAGCGGCGGCGATCTTGGCAGCTGATAGTTGAAAAATAGAGAATTTTGAAGTGAGTAAATGGAAACCTTCGAAATATAGGCAACTATGACAAAGAATTGCATGATTTTCGCCGTTCGGGCGATTGCTAGTACAAGCGACGACCGAAGAACCATCACGAGTTCTCAGTCCACATCAAATTCGAACGGTTTCCATGAACATCAGCAACTCCTTTCGACTACGATAACAGAAAACTCACCCTCTGGCATGCTGACAGGGGCGAAAGCCATTGCAGAGCTGATGACGCAGAAAAGAGCGATGATTTGGAAGGTCTTCATGGTAATATTGTTCTGTTGACTTGCAAAATATTTGTGCTACTTCACTGTGATGTCCATTCTGTACGAAGCATACGTACCAGACGTCTGGCCTTCCAAGCTTTTCTGCTCGCGATCCTGGACTTCAAGATTGGTACCTACGTAGAAACCTACTGTCATTTACGATCCAAGATGACGTAGGGGGGTTGACTGGTTCGATTAAAAGTTTTTGAATGTATAACATGTTTGTGAGTTGAAATGAGGGATGTTGGTTGTTGTGATTACTCCTATTCAATGAAACAATAGATCTATAACAGTATGTTCATACAAATACAACGAAATTCAGAACCTGTAGTTTGTGTCTATGTATTAGTTGCCGGAGCATTACAAGTTGCAACTGATCATGTTTACATCATTTTGATGACATCATTCCTCAGTGGAAGAAAAATTATACAGAACTGGGTTTACCCCGCTATTGTTCATGATGATAGAAACCATACTTTCTTGTTGCTTAGAAGTATGGGAAGTTTTGGGTGGATTCGCCCAAAGCAGATTGGGTGCAGACGGCACTGAAGGCGAGCATGGCAAGACGTCCGTTCAACAATTCTCGGAGCTTCATTCTGTCAGATTCTTCCTTGCTCTTTCCCTTGAGGAATTGAAGGGGATCAAGGCTGAAGTCACCGGCTTCGCGGTCAAGTTCTCCCTTGGAGACTTGGACGAGGGCTGCGGAAGAGCAAAATTCGATGAATCCAATAACACCAAGCAGGAATCCCATGGATCCTTGTTCGACAAGGATGTTGTGGGCATTGTAAGCGTTGGGGATGGATTCGACAGAGTAGATGTCTCCAGGGAATCTAAGGGTGATTCCGAAGGCGCCATCAGTGGCCAACCATCCGAACCAGGCAAGCATGCAAACACGTCCGTGCTTGAGCTCGGCTTCGCGCATCCAGTATAGAGTTTCAATTCCTTCTGTCTCTTCCCAAGAAGGAGGTTGGATGAATCCAGCAAAGTTCTTTGGGATGGAGGACAAGTAGAAGGGGTCGAATCCAACATCACCAACCATGCTTCCGTCAAGAGCGACGGCACGGGGCAACCATGGAAGGGAGGCAGATCGCTCGGTCTTGTCAACCATCTTGTCCCACATACGATCGGGGGCACCTGCCTTCAAGGCGGTGGTGGCTTCGCTGGTGAAGGTGGGGGCGAAAGCCATGGCCGACCCGGCCATCATTGCGAAAACGGTGGTAGCAAAAGCGTTCATGGTTTCTTTTTTTTGAAAGATTTTCAGCTGATATTTTCCTTTTCACAATTTTTTCAGAGCCGAGCCTTCGTGGGCATACGTAGAAACCTAGCACATGTCGTTGAGGCAAATCTTTTGCAGATTTCGCGGTTCAAAGTCGGTTCGACTACTTGGACTTCAAGAACAACGGAGGAGAGTGAAAAGGAGAAAGAATACATCATTCATCATTCAATTCCAGCTCGCTACTCGTACTGGTACAAGTATTCCAGCTTGCACGTTTTTACAGTGGAAAAAGTCAAACAATGTGTTCTCTAATCGCGTTATATAATGTATACTGTAATGAAGTCGACTGTACTATCCCTAGCCCCTTACAGTCTCCATGCTTGTCTGTAGAATTCCACGTTCAAAGGTGGAAGTTCAGAGTCCCAAGGTGCCCCTCCCCCTTGCATTGAGATTTGCCAAGAGCTCTGTGCCGCCGCCTTTCGTTCCAAGAGCGATAAGATGGCAAAACAGGCTTTGAGATTGAGCTGAAGCAAGTCCATGTCAAACTCATCCAATTTGTTATCAAACTGTGCATAACGCATCTTGTCTTGCGGTGTCACTCGTCTCAAAAAGACACTGTTCATCCACTCGGTCCCGTCAAAGTCGCGCATTCCCCTGTAGCCTTTGCACACGACGTATCGTTCTGCTGACGCGGGCCTTGAGGAGATTGGTTTCAGAATGGTCAACTCGTCAAAGAAATCAAACAAATCTCTCATGGCAACTCTAATCGTATTGGTTTGGAATCCAAACATCTTGATAACTAAAGTGCCCCCCTGCTGCAAGAGATACATAGCTGCTGCAATCTCACACAAAATTAGCTTGGTCGCTAGCTCTTCTTGACATTCCGAGTTTCTTTGGGCATCAAACCCGCCTGGAACAAACAAGTTAGCTGAGTGAGATGACGTGCTTCCAATGCGATCTCCAAACACATTTCATGGTTTCATAAGGACTTACCATCAGCAACGACCAAGTGCATCTTTTGCGGTCGCAATTTGGAAAAATGCATATCGTATTCAATTCCCCGTGAAAGTGCTTTGACGTTTTCCGAATTGTAAATGTCACCTGAGCCGTCCGCACCTCCGCTGACTTGATAGCTTAAATTTTGATGATTGATATGACCCAAGTTCCACCCTGTCCCATGCCCATGTTCATTGGTACCGACAAGAGACATTCCATATCCCCTGACAAAGCCAGATGTTCGTGTTTCTTGGCTTCGCTTCAGTAGGTACTAAAAAACGGAAAATCGAAAGAGTGTGAATTAGAATCAATGGCGTAGAATAACACATAGTACTCAACGGTAAAACGTACCTCACTAAACCCCCCTGGAGCACCACACAAGTCGGCAAAGAAAAAGTTCTCTGAGTTGACTTGTGTAAGCGCGAACCCTAAAATTGCATCAATATTCGCAAGCTTGATAGCAGCCCGATTCATGAACATTTGATTCAGACCTCCTTGGTTTCCTTCACCTAAAGGTTCCATTGGATTGCAGAATCTTCGAGCTTCGCCAAACTCTCGTTCCGGTCGGCTGCCCGTGACTTCGGCGCATCGTTCAGCAGCAGGCCACAAACGACGTTTCGCTTGAATCAATTGTCGGCTCAGCGACTTGATAGCAGCAGAGACTTCCATATTGGGCTGGACAATGCCAGAATCCCTGTTATGCATGCTAATGCGATGAAGAATCGCCAACCAAGAACTCCGAATCTGACCGTTAACATGTCCACTGGCGATCTGATCATAGAAATCCCTAAGATCCGTGGTGTTGGATTCCCCAGCCGATCTCCTACGTTTAGTGGATCGGGCATTCTCTTCTTCGCTCCTCCAATCCGTGTCCCTAGCAACAATCATGGTTGCTGGATTGCTACCTACAGTAGAATGAATGCTTGGGTTTGAATGATGGAACACGAAAATCGCCCAACATTATGATGACATTGGGATGGGTGGATGCGCTCGGCTAAAATACTCACTCTATCACTAACAGTCCGCGCCATCCTAACCCTCTTCTGATCGACTGAGTCGTCTATCAGAAATGAGAAAGATCGATGATTCGAAGATCGATTGATTGATTCTTCAATGATGGAATACATAGTAAATGAATGCATTGACCAACAAAACGCGGCAAGCGACTACTGTACTGTCGTAATCGAATCGAAAACGACTGGTCAAGACTTAGATAAACCTGCATTTTTGGCAAAGAGCATCAAGTTATCAGTAACAACTTGTAAAAGAATCAGATGAGGATGAGGAGTACTAGCTACTACAAGGTCTTGCAGCATGATTGGCTGATTCAAAGCTGCGAGCGAGGAGATTGCAAGAGTTCTAAAAATTGGAAAATGACAAATATATTGAAGCCTAAAATGGTCGTGCTGCAGCAGGACGGAATTGCTACAGTATGCATACCGAAGATGATGAGAATCATCCTCAATCCTCCTGCTCAAGCGCTTCACTTTCTTGGGCGATTTGATCTAGCATATCCCGTGGCATCATCATCATGTCAATAATGATGATGCTCTCTGGTATTGAATGAAGTAGGTCGGAAATGCTCTGCGCACCGAACATGATTGGAGTCATCAATTGATCGTCCTCAAGCAGGCACCCCCAATTGCTGGGCGACACGATAAAGCATATCCCCTGGAACCACATCCATCGATGCTCATAGGTAGTATCTCATTGATAATCGCAGAGAATAGAACCTTGTGCCTCTCCCAGCCTTGCATCGTCACTCTTGGTTTGCTTCGAATCTTTTTCAACTCCTTTACGATCTTCGAAAAGAAGTGATCCATGTTGGAAGATCCTTGAAGAAAGGCATTCGCTCCTTTTTTGGTACCAAGATCAACAGGAGTTTTGTATGGGTTGAAAGATTTGACAAGGTGATGATTCGAGAGGCTTTAGCCGTTCCATAGAAGTTCTATGGATGAAGATTGAGATGATTTTTCCCTCAAGTTTTGTGATCGTGGTTTAAAAAAAGCTATGCTTGAGTCGATCGGGTCGATGAAAATCGATAGAGAGACTGTATGAGTACCATGGACCAACAAAAAACAACTTCTACCGGTATCCCAAGATGTTCTATTCGGCGGCCATACCAGGTACGAGTACCCTGGTACCATACGTTAGAATATATCATTTTGAAATTGCCCTACCTTGCGCCTACTGCAGTTGCCCAACGAACTCCAGATTTGCTTGACGTGAAAATTGGAAACGTCTCGTGGTGTGGCTCCCCACCACAGAGCCTTCAAAAACCTCTTCGTATTGAATTATTCTCAAAGCGCAGCTACTTTTCTTGTTGGTGTACCTGGTATCAGGAGGTACTGTTAGTACATGTTAGCAGCTTTTCACTTTTAGATGTCCAATTTAGCATTCGTGTCGAACTGACGTCAGCGGTACTCTCTTTGACTTGTTCGAACACGAAAATAGTGAATGAATCAATCGAATCTCGTGGCAACAACCATCATCTCGCCCTGTCAGTATTGATTGTAGACTCGTCAATAGAGAGTCATTAGAGCGATTGAGAACAACCTTGGACCATAAAATGAAGATTCACTTTGCTGCCATCGTTTCCACCCTTGCTACTGCCACGGCATTTGTTCACACATCAGCACCACCAGCAGCTGCTGGAAAGCTACCACCATCCACCACATCAAGATCTTTGTTCCGTGACGGAAAGGAAGGAGAGGTCAACTTTGCCCAAGTTGCCCTCGCTTCGGTCCTTTCAGCCGCTCTCTTTTCCAGTCCCCTTCCCGCCCTAGCTGATGGGCAAACGGAAAAGTTCAAGCTTCCGCCTATCGACAAGTCCGACAAAAACCGTTGCTCCCTCAACAGTAGTTCTATGGGACAAGCAAATGCAGCACGCGACAAGCTTTACGATCTTAGAGAATGTCAGCTATCTGGTTCTAGTGCCCCAGGATACGATCTTTCTGGTGTCATCATGACAAAGACTGATGTCTCCAAGGTGAACTTCAAGGAAGCCTATTTCAGCAAGGGATACTTGATGGGTAAGATATCCGCATCGACCATGTGATTTTGTTTTCTTTAGTGTCACCTGTCATCAGCAATTGTATCTAATGCTTGGGATTTCAATTTTGAACGCAATAGAGTCGAACTTTGAAGGAGCCGACTTCACAAACGCAATTGTGGACAGAGCAACATTCAAGGGAAGTTCACTTCGCGGAGCCATTTTCACAAACGCTGTCTTGACAGGAACCAGTTTTGAGGGCGCCGATGTTGAGGGTGCTGATTTCACAGAAGCTGCTATTGGAAGTTTCGACTTGAAGAATCTATGCAAGAACCCCACACTCAAGGGAGAGAACCCAACCACTGGAGCCGATACTCGGCTGTCTGTTGGATGTGGTCCAAGCTAGGCATATTGCCTCGAAGGAGAACAACGAGCCAACACAACGATAACCTTCAGGAGAAAGTAGACCATGCTAATATTGCAACGACAAAAAAATAATGAAAAAATTCATCATTCATAGCCTACCGGTAGTCTCTGTTTCTATATGTTACCTAGAAGTATTAGTAGTTTGGAATTTCTCAGTTCTTTCGCGATTGAATCGCTCGTTCGTCCACGCACTTTTGTACCAAAAATCCAGGCCCACGCAAATCAGGAGCGTTGGAGTCTCCAAACAGAATCTCTTCATCTTTGTACGATTTCAAGACTTGTTTGGACAGCAAGTCTACGGTAGCCCAATCGTTGGGATAATTCCGGCACAGGTAACCTACCACTTGCGAATTATACGTCAATGGTTTTAGGTAGTAGGCCATGGTGGCAGATCCGCTCACACTTTTAGCACTCTATGCAACATATAGAAAGAGTTAGTTATTCGTGGATACACAAGTGCAAATTGAGACGACACAACTGCCAAGTTCATTTAACTCACCTTGGCGAGGCCATTGATTATGACTACCCCACTTGCTATACCATCCTTTGCTAATTGAGATGCTATTGAATAGTCTGGTCCTATACATGGGGCAACTACCACCACGACGTCGCCGGTTTTGAAGGTGTCTGGAATCCTATCCTTGAGTGATCCGACGTAGGTGGCACCCTTGATGATACTCTTTGCCTTGCTAATGGTCCGTGACGATGACGCCGCACTCAGAAATAAATATACGTTGGGTCCAAGGAAGGGTATTCCTGACAGAGATTTCACCAGTTTGGCGGCAAATGCAAAGTTGGCCTGTTGTTGTTGGACAAAGCAAAGTGAGCATTGTAAGTTACACTTACTATTGTACATGGCACGACAATAGACTTGAATCGTCGTTCATCACTAATCACTCATCACACGATACAACAGAAACTTACGCTATCAACTTGATCTGCCGATCGTTGTGATCCATCTCCAAGTTTATTAAGCGCCTCCAATGGAGGAAATTCGCATTCCACCAGCGGAAATGATGGATTTCTGGGTTTGCTAATGGCTGCTTTGATCGAATCAATGGCCTGTTTGTCCCTATGATAATACGAAAAAGAAAGAAAGCGAGCAAAGTTGAAAAATGAGAAACTTGTCATGTGCAAAATCGAATAGAACGCAATTCAATTCAGTTGCGAAAAAGAACCTACCTTCCATTGGGTGACGGAAGCTTTGAGACACCCCCTCCTCCTCCAAATAGGGAAACGGATGTATCGTATCTTCGAGGCTGCAGCCGTTCATTGGAGAAGGAGAGGGCTAGCCCAAACAGCTGAATTAGGAACAGAAAGGCTGATGTTCTCGTCATGATTTGGAAATGCGATTTGGTTGTTGATCTTTTTGGATTTGACAATTGTCAGGTCCAATGAGTCGGATAACGTCTGTCATTACTGCGCGCGATACGAAAATCAAAGACCGAACCCCAATCTCGATCAATAATCTTTGCAAAAACGCAAAGAAGTCATTGCAAAAAATCATCTCCATCAACATCAATCATCCCTTCCTTGCCGTTGGGTTCTTTGCTGTTGTTGCGAAATACAGGACGGGTTGACAGGGAAGGTTCTTGACAATGGCAATCAAACTTTCCACGGCTTCCATCTTTGCGATTGTAATTCCAGTCTTGTTGGGCCTCCTCTTTTCCAATGTCAAAGTTTCGGATTTATTGTTTGCCAATCCCGTTTCTTCTCCTGGTGGTCTAGAACCCACTGCCACACCAACCACTGTGGCTCCTGAGAAATGCAAACAACGATTCCAAGTTCTTTTTCGGTCCGAGGCGGATCCTTTCGCGAACGTCTCGGTAGTCTTGCACCAGAATGGAGATCCCAAGCACTGCGGAGACACTGGTTCGGGTTCGAAATTCCACGCGCTCCTCTATCAGAACTACGTCCAATTGAAGGATGGAGCTTGCCCAGCGGAACTTGACAAATACCAAGTAGAATCCTTGTTGACCAAGACCTTTTCGCAGTTGATCAGCACTTGTGCGGAATCTGGTCGAGAAGACAAGGGATTCTTGGGATTTTGCGATGCTGGCAAAGACAAAACCCCCATTTTGTTGGATCACAATCATTTGGTTCCAGTCAAGTCGGAATTGATGGGATTTTCATTGCCATGTCGCTTTCATACTAGAGAAGGATTGCGCATCAGTTACATGGATCAACTTACCGGTCTTGCTAGTAGCAAACCGATTGATTGCGAAATGGTGGATACAGACGACGGCGACGACGCCAACACCCAGACCTGCCAGGTGGTCGAACCAGAAGGTCTCCCCTCCGAGATTCACTTGTACGCAGTCCCAGCTGGACGAGTTTTCATGTTTGCACCGGATCACGTTGGCGAAATTTTCCATTTGAACCATGTCAATGGCGCATTGAACAAGCCCATTTACCTCAAGGTCATGTCTTTGGAACCCCGAGTCTTTGACGTCTTTAATTTTTTCTCGCGAGAGGAATCCCAACAACTGGTGGACAAGGCCATTGCGGAAACCTCGGAAACTCATCGCATCAAACGTAGTAGTACGGGGGCATCTGGATACAATATCAACTCTCGGCGAACTTCGGAAAGTGGATTCGATACACATGGAAGCACATCCACAATTGTGAAGAAACGTTGCTTTTCGGCGCTTGGTTTTGATGAATATATTGACTCGCACGGAGATGGTTTGCAAATATTGAGATACAATGTAACTACGGCCTACAATTCACATTTGGACTGGATTGCGGACAATGATCAGCTGGCGCATGATTATCAATCTGCTGGAGTGGGTGGCAATCGATTTGCTACCATTCTCATGTACATGTCCGACATGGGCCAAGAAGATGGTGGTGAAACTGTCTTTCCACATGGATGGCCAGAGGATCTTGCCGAAAGTGAGCGTCTCGACAAAAAGACAGCCTTGGCGAATTTGAGAGAATCACCCAATGGAAGTGTCTTGAAGGAGGGATCGTGGGAAGAAAGCCTGGTTGCAACTTGTAGATCACGACTGGCAGTTCGGCCTCATTCTTCCAGAGCAGTACTATTCTACAGTCAACACCCCAATGGAGAAGTTGACAACAAATCGCTTCACGGGGCATGTCCAGTTCTTTCGGGTGTCAAGTATGCTGCCAACCTTTGGGTATGGAATACTCCCCGACAAGGATTCAGTGGAGCACCCATCAAGGAGAAGTTTCGAAAGGAACATGAAAACACAGTGTCCTCGCCCACTGTAGAATTCAAACGAATCACAGCAGTCTTTCAAAACACTGGGGAGCATGAACAAATGAAGAATGCCAAATTGCATTACGAAAATCAATTCTGGGGTGACTTAGGCCCTAATGATCCCGCTTTGAGTGTGAATACTTACGAGGGACATGTATGGAATATCTTTGTGGATGGGAAGATTGTCAAGACCTGGAACATTTCGGAAAAGCGAGGACTGGATCAAACCTTTACATTTTAGAAAGATGAAAAAGGACGCAATCAATCACTTCAATTAAAAGGGAACATAACTTTTACATTTGTTGTCTCCAAGGTTTTACTGGTAGCAGTGACTTACGATACAGTACAAGTAGTCACTCCTCTTCTCCTGTAGTTTTTAAAAAAAAGTGCCTGCAGTTCAATTCATTAATTTGGGGGAACATTTGAAAATTGAGGTGGTGGACCATATCATATTCAAAATGCCCCCTTCTCTGTTTCTGACGTCATTGAAACCAACGTATGACGGTCCGTAGGAATTGGACGCATCTGTGGCTTCCACGCACGACAGCGCCTTTCTGGAAGTTGATTGGTCAGTGCTTCGTACAACCGCTTTCCTTCTTTCTGTGACGAACCGAGTTTGTGTTTTCTCATTCATTGAACACATCAGCGAGGCAGATTGCAAGGCATTAACCGGTTGCTCACGACACGCTCTCTTCACGATTATTATTACTCACCCATCAACCAAGGGACAGCAACCAATCCACATTTATTTTCACACAAACAACATGACTCTTGACTGCAGCTCCAGCTCCAGCTCCACTTGCTCGGCATCTTCTACATCTAGCAGTAGTAATCGTAGTAGCAGCACCGGCAGACCAACGAGAAAGAGAGCGTTGCGAGGTTCAGGTTTCATTGTTGCTTCCGCTGCTGTGGCACTATCCAATTCGTATGCGGGAGCATTTCAGAGTAACTCAGCCTTCCTTCCTCGGCGTGTAATGCGGAGTCTTGATACCAGCCTTAGGGTCGTGACTGATCCAACACAGCTGATGTCTACCGATATGTCATCGGATGAACGAAGTGCCCTAGAAGATATTTATCTATTATCCATTGAACCAGCCATGTCGCCGCCTGCGAACGCTGTTGATAACGAGGTGATTCCGCCCAACAACAAACGCGCAACCAACAATTCCAAGGGACGAAAAGGGAGAATTGTCAAGGTACCAAAGGGAAGCCTTTCCGTGAAAAACGTGAGGAAGGAAGGATCAACCGTGGGAGCATTGAGCAAGACATCAAGGCCAAGGAAAAAGGCCACCAAGAGCAAGTCCTCCACCATGCCCGGCTTTCAAGGTGGTGCAAACACTGAAAACCAACGGGCATTCAAACGCAGTGTGAGACTCCAGGAGGAACGGACTGGGAGAAAATACACTGAGAGCTCGGAAGTGAAGAATAAACGCCGTGCCGATCACGGTCTCAAGATGTACCAATCCAGCGCAGCTGTTCCCGATAGTATGCTGCAATTCGCAGGTGAAATTCACAAGATTGACCGAATCACTCCCAAAGAAGAAATCATGCTTGGAGAATTGACACAAGAGGCCATCCGTCTACAAAGAATATATGATGGACTGGAGGAACAGCTAGCCAGAGAACCAACCGACGATGAATGGTGTGCTGCTGCAGGCAAAATCAATATGGAAGCCATTTCCCAGGCAATTGAAGAAGGCTTGGAAGCAAAGAACAGGCTTGTTTCATCCAATCTACGAATGGTGCAGGGTGTCGTTAACGTGTACATTCGCAATGGCCTTCGCGGACAATACAATGCGGGAGATCTCATGCAAGAGGGCATCATGGTAAGTGGCTTGATGAATCGCTGAGAAATATTGGTGAATTTGATTTCGACGTCAGGATTCTGATACATCGTTTGATTTTCTATGTATATATTAGGCTTTGATTCGGGCAGCAGAGAAGTACGATCCAACTCGAGGATTTCGGTTTTCAACCTATGCCATGTATTGGATTCGTTCCGCAGTGAAGCGAAGTCAAATTTATCAATCTCGAGTCATTCCTGTTCCTCAGCGACTATATGAAAACCACAAACGACTTTTGCGTTTGCAAAAGGAAATGTTCACGGAGCTTGGCCGTCCTCCCACGAAGAAGGAGCTAGGAGATGCGATGGGTATGTCGGAGATGCAGGTGGATCGGTGCTGTGCGGCCATGGCCCAGCAATGCTATTCACTAGACAGTCCTTTGACGAATCCCAATAAACCAACGGAAGCCAAGAGTGAAAAGGATACTTTGGTTGGATTGATTTCCTGCAACACTAATGACAGTGACTACAACAAATTGAAACACATGTTCATGCGTGAGGATTTGCTCGAAACTCTAAATCGTCACCTTTCTGAGGAACAAGTCCGATTGCTAATGCTCCGTTATGGACTGGAGGAATCAATTCGCCTGAGTAAGAAGAGTGGAACCCTGACAATTGCCGAAATTAGCAAAGAAATGGGAATGAAACCAGACAAGGTTCGACGAATCATCAATAAGAGCCTAAAACAGTTGAGGACCTGCATCGGTGATGAGTGGAGAGATTTTGAACGCGAATATGAAGCATAGAACGCGTGCGCGCTAACACTAGACTGTACAATAGATCACAATCAAGACTACCACTATATACATGTTACTTCAACAACCTTGCTTTTAGATTTTAGATTTATTTTTAAAAAACCTTACTCGTCTGTTTCGTTGAGAATGACACTCCCATCCACACAATAGACAGTGACACCAGTTGGTGCTCCAATTGCTCTTCGCGAAGTGGAAACGAGATCCCCTGCACTGAACCGTGATAAGACAGCCACACCTGGACTGTGTAACGTCACAGTAGGATAGAGCTCTTCTTCCGCGGGCACCAAGAGCGGCAAGGTAAAGGATGGCGGAGCTGCTGGTGGCGATATGCTGGGAGGAATTGGAGGAGGCGGCGGGGATGCCGGAAGCGGCTCTCCCGATGAGGAGGGAAATGGTTGCGCGGACAAGGGTGGACTGACAATGTTACCATTTACCGTAAAGGTAACAGCTGCCGTCACCACGACAGTATCCCAAGTTTCAAAGGCTGATCCATCGTCAAGACAGACTAGACACCCAACTGTCGCCCGATCTCCATAAGCAGTGGCTGATGGATCCACAGGACTGCACCATTGACCAGCTGTCAATAATTGCCCGGTGGTACACAAGCCAACCGACCCTTGCCAGGCACCCACCAATGTGTTATTGGGCATTTCCTTGGTGGATAGTCCAATGGACAAGGTTGCCATGCTTGCTTGAGGAATCAAGGTTCCTCCATGTCGCGGCAATACCGTCATTTCAAAATAGACAAAACAATTTCGCAAGATTGGCACCATACTCCTGGTCGATCCGTACAACATGTTCCCCACCTTGGTGGCTACGTGTTGTCCACACGTCAAATCAATCCCCGCGGAAGCATCGTCCGCATCAAAGACGGCCAATCGCCGCCCTTCCGCCAAGGCCTTGGCCATTTCCCTCGTTCGTTCATCTTTGCTGTCGAGCCCATTGTGGACCCTCAATTGATCTCGTACCAAGAAAATGACATCGTCCGCAAACCGACTTCCACGTGCCAATACTCGTTTGCGGGATGCCGGAGTGGCCGGGAAGGATTGGGGTGTGCACATGAAGGGAGAGCCGGGAGAGGGTGGAGTTATGGTGGCTGCTGTGGCTTCCATCACGACACTATTTTGACTCCCCACGGTATCCACCGAGCTTGTCGACAAGGAATGCTGTCGTGGACCGCCAAACCCTCCATCACCACCAGCTTGAGGCAACTTGACTGTGGCCACAAAGGGTCGAAGGTTAATTTCGTAATGCATCATGCGCTGGACCCGACTCTTGGCGTGTCTCGACAAACCACCCGTATCGTCGGCAATCTCCGTGTATGAGACTACGGGTGCGGTCGAGTTCAAGGATGACAGTTTGTTGAGAAGTTTGGTGTTGACCCGTCCATTGACAAGAGTATTCAAAAATTGCGTGCTTTGTTTGGATCCCGCTGGCGTTGCCTTGCTGGACAAATTTCTCAAGGCCATGGAACTGGCGGATCCCGCCACGGTGGCCACAGATTGAATGCCTCCGACTACTACTTCGGTCGTTTTCCCCATGGCATTGAAAGGTCTCGTGACTACTATTTGTACAAGTTCCAATGGATGGTATTGGGAAATGGCAGTAGCAGTCGATGCCAACAAATCGACCAGCGATGTCACGCAGCCATTAACGACTTTGGAAGAAATGTGAATGATTGCGAAACCAGTGTCAAGTGATATCTCTATCGATCCCTCGACCAAATCCAAAAAGACGGACAGTGGCACATTTTGGAGCACGAGATCGACCAGCATAAGAATCCATGGTTCATTTTCGCTTCGCTGTTGCTTGATTAGTAGCAATTCGTTGCGGGAATTGGAGTCAGTGCGTACAATGTTCCGAGCTTCCTCCAATACCTCGCGACAAAAGGATCGAAGCGAGCCTGGATGAGAAAATATGGCAGCTGCTAGTTTTTCTTGGGTCATGGCATGGCGCATGTTTTGCAGCATTGCTTCATCTTGTCCTTGCGCTGTGAGTAGATGGTCTTCTTCGTCCTGTTGATTCTTGAATGTGGTGGCAAACAAGGATGGACTTTGTAGGACGGGAGGCGAGTTCCCCAGAGGTGCATTGGTTTCCGAAGATGATTCTTCTTTGTTGCGACGCGTTACATGCGCCGTAAAAACATCGGACAGGCTCAAAAAGGAAGCAATATCACGGCTAATTCTGTCTTCTTCCAGTATATTCTGAGTGTGCAATGGCACATGGGGAGTTGGTATGGGGTTCTGGTGGTGATGATCACTCATAGCATAGTCTTGTTGTTGCGACTTTGAGCAACTATAGAAAAACAAGAATGAAAAAAGGAGTAAAATAAAAGATCGGATTGATTCATTCGACCAGAATTTCCTGTGATACATACGCACCAAGTACAGACATGCCTGTGTGACTCACTTCCAATGATGATGCAACATCCTTCACCCATCACCCATCAAACTGTTTTGAATTTGAAACATCGATATTAATAGTACCGGTACTGTACCTTGCTACTGTACTTTCATACGTCGAAAACCGAAGTGGTGAATAAAATAGAGAATGATGAAGTCATCGTACACAATACATAGACCATGGCGGCTTGTCCTGCTTGTTGTTGGAGTAATGTCGTCGTCCATCATCTTGATGGCAGATTCCTTTGTGACGCAACAACCAATACCCAGGCATCGTCATCATCATCATCACCACCACCAACGCTCTACCAGATTGTTTAGCTTGGAGACAGAAATCGACCATGTGGATGCTTCTGTTTTGATGGAGGGACTACAGGCAGGCCTTGACAAAATGGACAAACTCCAAGACCTCAAATTTTGGAATAGCCAAAGCAGCCAACTGAAAACCCTCAATTCGCAAATTGTCAAGAGCTTGGAAGTCAAAAAGTCATCCATTCCTGGAGCTGGATTAGGGTTGTTTGCTTCCAAAAACATCAAGGCTGGATCCATCGTCAGTTTTTATCCAGCACATACCTTAGGAATCGAACATGGGGATGAATTCCTGTTTGTCTCCAACACGGACCAAAATCGAGAGTATTTTCAGCAGCATCCACCCGACACTTCCAGTTATTTGCATGCCACGGATCAACCCATTTTCAATCGACCATCCTTCATGTCGTCGATTCCAGAAATAAAGGAGGCTCCCGTTTATTTGGATGTCAATCCCAATGTGCCCGTCTCTCCGGCCTGGGTCTCCCATTACATCAATGACGGGGCCACCTTGAGGGAAAATTCAATAGCTGGAGTCGAAGACTATTACCGAAATTCCAAAGCCAGCAAGAATTGCATTCACGTTCCCTTTGGACCTTCCCCCATTATGGCCACAGTGGCCACCAAGAAAATCAAAAAGGGCCAAGAACTCTTTACGAGTTACGGTTGTGTCTATTGGATCGGAGTCCAATATAGAGATGAAGACAGTGCTCCCATGACCAAAGAGATACAAGAACAAATTAAAGAGTCAGCACAGGATTTGTTTGCGGCCATGAACGTCGTATCGACTCGATACCAAACGGCCACTCAAGCATTGGAGGAAGTCTTTCGAGAAATATAGTGTTGCAGTGGTTTGAGCATGAATTCGTGTTGCTCATTGAATGAATAGATGAAGAATGAATCAATTGCGGAACAAAATGTGCAACAAGGAGACACATTTGAATGAAAAACAAAAACACCACGAAGAAAAATGTAACAAATACAGCTGATATAATAGACTCCTTATGTTTACTTTTTGTATGCACACACAGGTCTTCTTTCTTCTTCCTTTTTGGTCTTGGTGTTGTCTTGGCAAAAATTACAGCGGTTGTACTATTATTCATTCATTCATTCATCGAAAGAAAGACTTTTGTGTTGGTTCTCCAGAGGGCAAAAAATATCAACTTTCTACTATGCATTGAATGGTACTATACTTTTTGGTTGGAGTGCAAAAAGTTTAGTTCTTTCGTCTCTTCTTCTTCTTTCCTCCGCGCTTTTTACTGCTGGGAGCTTCGGCCATCATGCCTGCTCCAGGAGCGTCATCGCCACCTTCTGAATCATTATCAATGACTTCAGCGTCAATAGCACCAGTAATGGGAGTGACATCGGGATCTGATCCGAATCCAGAAGCCTTTTCTTTCAAAGGTGAAGGAGCAAAGATTGCTTCTGGTGTCATTGGGGGCGCGGAAGCGGCAGATCCAGCGGAAACAGCAACAGGTGGGGCATTGGACATGGAATTGCGAATCAAAAGTGAAGTAGCAGTTGTGACAATGTTGTTGGTGACCCAGTAAATGCACAGGGCAGCAGGAACATTGAGGGAGAACCATCCAATCATAAGGGGCAAGAACTTTAGGACTGCATTGGATTGTTGTGCGGCTTCTCCTTCTTGCTTGGGTTGCATAAGCTCCATGGAAACAAATTGGGAAATGACCAAAAAGACTGGAAGAACCAAGAAAGCAAGGGTATCGTCCCATCCTAGAGAAGGAGCTCCATCTACCCAGTTGGCAGTCAACCAAGAAGATCCTTGGGTTGGGTCAGCACCGTAGACGGGTCCCTCCAAGTTTGGAAGGAACAGGAATGGTTCGTCCAAAGCGTTGTTCTTGGCCAAATCCAAGACACCGCGGTAGAGCCCAATGAAAATGGGGATTTGGGCCAAACTGGGCAAGCATCCGGCAAGTGGGTTGACTTCGTTCGTTTGGTAAACCTCCGAAATCTTTTGGTTCATGACTTCAGGGTTGCTTTGGTACTTAGCTTGAATATCCTTGATGACGGGTTGCAATGCCTACATTGGGTACAAAGAAAGAAGGATAGATGGATAGATGGATAAATGGATGGGTGTGAAAAGAAAAAATCACAGTGATGGGTCAGTCTTAGATTCGAATTCGATAGCATCAATCAATCTGATACGTGGAAGTACAATACAATTGTATTGTTGGAAACCTACCTGCATCTTGTTGGTACTCTCCAATTGAGTCTTGGTCAAGGGGAAGGTAAGAGCTTTGATGATCAAAGTCATGGAGATAATGGTGATACCCCAGGCATTTTCCTTAACACCAACATTGACAAGGCCAGTGTGAATAACCTCAAGGAGTCCCTTAATTGGTCCAGTCAAGAAACCAAACCATCCATTCGAGGATTGAGCGGCGGCATCGGCAGCGGCACCGCCAACATCGGCGACGGCATCAGCAGCATCCGCCAAGGAGATCGAAGAGAAGATGTCTTGAAGCGGAGTTGGGTCCACCATTAACGAACGAGCGGTAGTCGTAGTCGTTGGACGAGAGGCCAACTTTGTAGGGGCGAATGCCTCTGCAGCCGAGGCCAACAATAGTAGTGTAGATACCGAAGATAGCTTCATGGTCAATATATATATATATACAAGTTTTACCAGTTCGATCACTTGCTGTAACGATCACAAGAGGAGTCAGCGAGGAGTCAGAGATGGGAGTGAATCATCACGCATCACGCATCATGATTTCCCTTCAAACAGTCCAATCTTGCGGTTGACGCATGGACCAACTGACGTCAGACGGCAGACGGACAGTTTTTAGCCAAGGTCCACGTGGAAAACAATACGGGGACCGACCGTGTTTGGAGTGAAAGGGGTTTGAGGAAACGTTTCGATATCGTACCTACCAGCTTGACACAAGGACTTGTTGCAACACTTGCATTTGTACCAACCAAACATAAAAAACAATGGCAGAAGAAACAGCAAATATCAACCCTGATGGGAGCACCACATTTGAAGGAGCTGAGGAATCCACCATGCCTCCTGTGGAAGATTCCGGAGATGCTGGTGAGACAGCTGGAGAAGCATTCGAAGAAATCGCACAAGGCGGAGACCCAGCAATCTACTTGTTGTTAGTTGTCATGCTTCTCGGTGTTCTATTTTACATCTACAAGAGAAAGTCCAAGGAAGACGAGGATGATTTCTTTGATAATCTTGATGGAGAGAAGGTATGTACATCGATATGTGATGGGCCTGAAACTCTTTCGTGGGTCTGGATGTCTCAACATGCTCACAAACCTTGCAATTCTTTTCAAACTGCCTTTAGTTCAATTTGAAACTACCCGCAGAGGTCGATGAATATTATGCCATCAAGGAAAAATGCTTAGCTGCTGGATGGCAACCTGGAACAGTAAGTTTTTTTTCCCAGGGCAAAATGAGCGCCTTTTTGTATGTCATCTTTCTTATATGCATTCCTTTTCATTTTCTCTACTTGTATAGCCACCCGACAAGGCCAATCCCAGTCCACAACACCGAATGCTCGCACAAGCGTTGATGAAGCGAGCGATTGGTGATATCCCACTTGTCACACATATACAAAAGGAATCCAGCGGAATGAATAAATTGTATTCGCAATCCATGTGTTCGGTCAAACAATGGCGTTCCTACCAGGCTGCCGAAGCCATGGTCTCTTCCGAGGTGGAAGAAGTCCGAGGTGAAGCCGACGAAATCGAAGCCGGCTGGAGTCAAGTCATTTGGAGACAGGCAATGCAATACCACAACATGCTCAAGCAAAAGCATGAAATGGAACAAAAGGCTGCTGCCGACGCGGCTGCCAAGAAAATGGCAATAGATCAAGCCAAGAAGAAGACAATGACCGAAGAGGAGAAAATTAAGGCGGCAGAAAAGGCAGCTGCCGAACTCATTAAGGCAGAGGAAAGGGAGAAGGACAGCAAAAATGCTTTCAGTGGTGGAGTCAAGAAGGGATTCTTGGATAGCAAGAAGGGCAAGAAAAAATAGATCCCATGTATTTTTTAGTAAAGGAATAGCGTTTTTTCTGCGTCTTGGACCACTTTGCTATTTGAACTTGAGTCATCTTGATGTGTGAGTTGTTTGAGCAGAGAGTGAGAGAATACACCCCTAGCAGTTTGAGAAAATGATGGTCCGTGGTTTTGGTTTTGGATCTGCCCTTTGATGCAATTGTATAAGAAGAATACGGTCGCTCAAAATGCTCCACTTTTGCTCTGGGATGAACAATGTATATTATGCTAGGAAAAGAGTCTTCAAACCATGTGACCATCTAATGAGCAAAATATGGACCAATTTATTAATACAATAAATAAAAATAAAATATGTTTTTTAATCTTTGTAAAACGATTACAAAAGAATGACAGAAGTTGTGTGGGTGGGTGCAATACAGTACAGTAGCTCAGTAGTAGCATGCAGCGTAGCATTGACTTGCGGATAGACACCTTGTAAGTGAAATCCCGCACTTAGAATGACAAAGCATCTTCAAAGTCCTCTGGATGTGCTTCAGGGTGGACATCCAAATCAGTAGCCAATTCAAACAAGGAGTTTCTGGACAGTTTTCTGACCAACTTCTTGACTTCCTCGTCTTCCCCATCGATTTGTCGGTGCTTCTCTCCCGAAATGAGCTCCTTCCAAGCGTGGTGGCACTCGTCAATGACGGCTTTGGCATATGTCTTGTCCATGAAGCGTTCTCCCAAACCAAAAGTGTTGGGTGGCTTTCCATCGGGGATCTTGTAGGTACGGTACCATTCACGAATGGCATCGAGCATACCAGGCATTTCCTTTTCCACGTCGTCAATATCATTCACAAACGGGGCCCACTTGTCGTCAGCATCAATGGTAACGACCTTCCAGTCGGCTTCGCCCTCATCAATCATCATGAGGACACCAAGAACCTTGACAGGTCGTACTTTCTGTGACAAGAAGGACAAATTATCATATTAGCCTCTGGTTCATTCATTGTGCATGCCTCCCTCGTATGCTATAAAACACTACAACATTCAATAACTTACTCCTGGTTGAATAATACGAGCACCGATTTCGCAAACGTCAACTGGATCATTGTCACCACGGCAACCTTCGGCATCAGGGTGAACGAAGGTTGGGTCTTCCCAAGTTTGTGGAAGGCATCCGTAGTTGAAGAAGATATCTCCTTTCTTGAACTGTGGTTTTCGAAGGAACGACAAGAATTAGAAACTGATGATTCTATAAATGGTGCGTCACAGTGACCGAGATACATACCTCACGCAGCGTTCCCTTCTTTTCATCTTGCTTGATGGGTGTGAATTCTTCGTCGGTAGCAATTTCGTACTTTTTTCTGTATAGGTATTGGAACAAGACGCACTATGTTAGAGCGAGTACGTGTGTGGTGCGTTGCATTCGGAACAACGACAAGAGCAGGAACAACAGTGAACCTTGGGTGGTTGCTAAGTTGATTCGTACCTTGTGAACTTGGGGATTTCGCAGACAAAGTTCAAGTATTCAGTCTCATTGCCAGTCTCAGGGTCAATGTGGTTGACGTTAATGTCGTGCCATAGAGAAATGGTCTTTCCAGCCGCATTCTTGGTGTCGATTCTGTATTCGAGGGTATCTTCTGCGCCTCTTTCCTCAGTGTTGAGTCCCTTGTCGCTTCCGAAAGAGCTTTGCTTCTTCAACGGCTTAGCTGAGCCTACGTCCTTGATGGGTACCAATTGTTCTCCTTCCATTTTGAATATGCTTGATGATAGTTTGTGAGGGTATACGTGATACGTGATCGTAAACGTATTGCCAATCACGCCACATACTCGAACGAATCCTGAAACAAACCACGTCTATTTTGGCCAGATGTTCGAATTAAATGACGTGTCCAATCAAATTGCTCCAACCTCAATGACGTTTCCAATCGGGCGCTTTTTTTTCTAGATTTTTCCAAAATTGATTGATTCGATTCCCGAATCTCGGGGGATTTTTAGACCAGAAACGAACCTGATTGAGAACGAAGCAATCTCTCGTTCGGGCAGAACTGAAGTGATCCCATCATCGTTTGCAGCAGATGGCAAAGCAGCTGAATCCAATCTTCTCAATCGCGGTTCCTTCTCCAGTCACATCACTCTGCTTTACAGCACCAGCGGGGAATAGTAATAAATCAAGTTCTGAAACGAAATATCCAGACAACGCGGATGACAATCTCAATGATGAAGAATACGACGACGAGAAGGATGAAAGCGAGAACGATAGTAGCGACGGCAGTTCTGAGGGATTTCAGTTTCGATCAGCCCAACTGGTCCAACAACGACAGGACGTCAATGTTGGACGAATGTACCATGATCCTCAGTTAATGTCTCAGCAATCACTGACGTCCTGTCACTCGGATGGAACATTGCGTCTGTGGGATCTGAATCGGCGAATAGCCGTGGCAGAAATGCTATTTGAAGGTGGTCCAGGATTGAGTGTCCGACGACTTTCTCCCAAAGGAGGTGAAAATCAGCCCATATCACCACTATTCCTATATCATAGACGAGACCCCAATGGCACTGTGTCTATTATTGATGCCACACAGGGCAAAGTCGTCCAAGAGTTTCAATCCCGTTCCCAAAATTTTTGCGCGGCATCTCCATGTTATGGAGACGACAATCTACTGGCAGTGCCGTCCACCAATGATAGCACTGTGACCGTCATGGACCGTCGGGATCAGCGGCCAGCGTATGTTCTACCCATTAAGGACAAGGGTATGTTGAGCAGTCTTGCCATTGGCATAGCTGGGGAGAGTCAAAAAACTGTACTGGTATGTGGTATGGAAAATGGATCAGTCCTGTTCAATCAACTGTCCTATGATCGATCCCATCAAAAACATGAAATCAATTTGTCCCAAGATCCAGTGCTGACGGTGGACATGACGACGTCTTCCACACCCGCCTCCCAATTGCAGTCCAATGATCACGATGATGATTCCTCCAAGTCCAAGTCATCCTCTTCCATAATTGTCGCTGCTGGAATGGCTGGAGATGCTTCCGAAATTAACGAATTGCCAGCCGACCAACAAGGGCGAATCGCTCTGTTGAAGGCCACTCATCACTTTATCAATGACGATTGGAATGTCAAGATTCGAGCCAGAATGTCCACGTGCCGTGTCAACGATGATACTTCGTTTGGCAAACCAGGAGTTTCCATTTGTCGCTTTCGACCTATAGATGGTCGGTTGCTGGCAGTGGGTGGATGGGATCACCGGACCCGAATTTTCGATCGGTCAACTGGTCGACCCATGGCCATTTTGAAAGGCCACGAGGGCAGTATGAATAGTTTGGATTGGGCACCCAATTCGGTTCACTCTGGACTCCTTGCGAGTGCTGGAGCAGACGACAATCGAATCTACATGTGGAAATGCTTTTCGAATGTAAAATGAACTAATTTACAAAAACCTCGTGGTTCTAATTTCTGGATACGGCCAAGTGGAAGCACCTGCTCGTCTGCCTGCCTACATTCCTACTCGGTATCCTTCGCACAGCCCCCCTTCTCGTTCATTGGACGACTCTTTGTAAGCGACAATGTGCAAGACGTATTGGAGAGTCATTAGGAGAGCGGAAAGCATGATAACTCCACCAATCATGTAGGCAACAAAGGAATTCCGTTCAAAGTTAGTCCCGCTGACATTAGATCCTCGTTTCGCTCTTCGGGTAATGGCTTGTCCCACAAGAGACGCAAAGAAACCAAGGATAAAGCAAACAATGGCAAAGTCCCAAAGAACCAGGTTAAAGACAGCGAAAGAAGCGGTCGACAAAGATGTTGAGAAGAACATCATGGTCGCTGTAGTGGCAGTAACAACACTTGGATGCACACCCATTGCAAGCATCAGGGGAACACAAATCATTCCACCGCCAATACCAAACATACCCGCGCAACACCCGGAACACATGAATAGAAAAGGATAAACAATAGCATTTCGTAGATCCCACTTGATGTCTCCACGAACATAGTCATACCGAATAATCTCTTTCAGTTCGTATCTGTTGATAAGATAAGTCTGCAGTTGCAGTTGTAATTGAACATTTGTCAGTCCCGTAATATACAGTACTTGAAAAAGTAGTATAATTGTGTGATTCTTACCTGAGCCGCCCAACCAGAGGCCATTAGAAAAGCCACCATGATAACGTGGACCACCCAGTAGGATACACTTCCGCAAAGAATTCCCCATGGACTGCGAAAAGCACCACCTCCCATGGTAATGTTCAGGAACATAATGATTGCAAACTTAGCAAACATGACCAAAATTTTTCCGGTTGGAGTAACCTTTTCTTGTTCCAAAATATCCGACCGCAGAGTCACAAAATCAGGATTGACAATAAGAATACGTTGTTTTTCATCTGCATCCAGTTTTGTTGGCACAGTTGGGACAGAATCAAAGGTCATGGTACGAGAAGGGGAAGGAATTTGTTCAACAGTTGGGACTTTTGTCGGACTGCCGTCTCCCACTGCATGAGCACTCCATGCCCCCATTGATGTAACCCGACTCAATTGGTCCCACTGAGCTGCTTTCAAGTGTTCAATATATCTCGATTCTGCCTCAAACATGCGCTTTGCCTTAGCCAAAGTAGTGTGTGCCACTGCACTCAATAACAGTACCAGCATGACCACCAGAATCTTTTCACTGACAACTCGATGCAACATTGAACCAATAATGGCGCCAACCAGTACTAGTGGTTCCATCACGAGAATTAGATCCCAGTCAATGATTGGACGATCTGCCAACGGATGGCGTCTCTTGAAATTGACCAGAATTGCCGCAAGTGATCCACCCAAAACCGTGACAGAGCCCAATGGAATAGCTGCTCTAGGTGACATTCCAATTGCGATAATATATACAGGAACGACAATTCCTCCACCACCAATCCCTCCGCTGCTTCCCAAGACAATGCCAATGGATGCCAGCATGAGTCCCAGTGCAGTCCTACCGGTCAGTGGCAAAAGGGATGGCCCGAATTCGTCATCAATGTACTTGTAAAAGTCGTCATCATTGTTTACGTAATCGTCAAAGCCTGATGAATAACCCCAGTAATCATTGCTTGAGCTCTTCAACCGTCGCTCTTCTTCTGTCTCTTGTTCTTCTTCTGTCTCTTGTTCTTCTGCAAACAATTCCTCCTCCTCTTCTGATGCGGAAGTCTCCTTTTCCAATAGATCTATCTGTTGTTCTTGTTGTTGAAACGTCTCGTCGGAACTTGATGACGAGGATGACGATCCCCCGTCGACCACTTGAGGGAGCCGCAGCTTGAAATCTAATGTTTCCACAGTATTCGATGTTTCAGCAATGGCGGGTGGAAGCATGAGACTCAGAATCGCAACGATCCATACTAGACGTCGTCGTTTCGGCCTTCTCATGCTATTATTGTATCCATATTGTGTGGGGGTGGAAGAAAGCTTCATGCTGTTGTTCATGCTGTTGTTCATGCTGTGTGCCTTTTTCAACACACGGACAACCGAACTATGCGTTTGTCGGTTCACTGTTTTGTTTCCAAAGTTTCAATCACGCGCAAGCCGGCGTCTTCGGACAACTCAAAAAACAGATGTACGACTCCATCGACTAAAGAGAACTTTCAACATCCCACTTACACTTGAAACAATCGAAATCCATTTCAATTTGGTTGCATTGGTCATTCCAACTATTTACCAGCGACACTATTGCAATCGATCAGTAGTAAATATATCATTATCATCATCATGTCGGGGAATCAAGTAATCTTATTTCTAATTGTGGGAACGAACGAGCCGCTTTACGAAGCTGAAATTCACAAGAGAGGGGGAACCGGGAATTCGGATGCTGTGGCGAGGCAGAACTACTTTGTGGTCCATTCGGCTTTGGATTTGGTAGAACAAGCAGCTTGGAGAACACAAAATGTAAGAAAAATGCTTTGGTTGATTGATGATTGTTGAGAATCCACTTTTGCGCACGTATGAGCAATATCTCACTGACTTCTTTTCTTTCATGAAATCTAAATGATTCAACAGATGTATCTAAAAGTCGTGGATAAGGTATGTCAGATCGGATGTGGGAGAGACAACATTCCAAACTCTACGTGCACTCACATGCTTGCTTTGTTCATTGATCTATCCATACTATAGGTGAACCATCAACATGTCTCTACATTTCTGACGGCAGGCAACATTAAATTCATTCTGCTGCATGCCGGCAAGAGTGAAGATACCATTCGCAGTTTTTTCAATGAAGTTTACGAACTCTACGTCAAGGTATGTGGTGGATGAAAACAATACACAATGCACATTTGCATTGATGAACGTGTTTCTCACTTATGTGCATTCCTCGTTCACAAACAACACAGCTTTCCATGAATCCATTCTATCATCACGACACACCAATTACGTCAAGAGAATTTGATCGACGAACGCGGGCATTGGCCAGAAGATATCTATCATAAACATATATAAATCAGATAGGTAGTATTGACTGTTGTATAATACATGGTGATGTATGATAGTTGTTACATATACCAAGCAGAGTATGAGGGCTAGTGTAGTACCTCCGATTTGAGATGTTAAGACAAGTGGTTAAGAGTAATACAGGGCAGGATGGCTTATTCAGAATACACTTGAGCTTGAGCTATCTATCATTTGATACAGTACTCCGGAGTCATGATGAGGATTTGGGCATGCATCCACGTCCTTTGCATTGTATCGGTAGAGTACAGAGTACATACAGTAGTATTTCAAGTTGGAGTTGAGGAGGATCCCCTTTGATTCAATATTCGCGCCGGCACGATGAGCTTCACTTGGCTCGCTTGGAGTGAATCAAAAATCCTCAAACTCGATCCATGACGAATGCGTTGATCGCATATTGATTGGAACCTTGTTCTGTCACACCTACTATATCACATACACAAACATTTTAAAATCAGGAAACGACACATTGAATTTGGATGCGAACAAGGTAGCGACTATATCAAAACCGCCCTGATTCGTCGGGAGAACCAACAACCTATTTGTTCACCATGATGGACCCTGATCTTGTCGAAGAGGAGGAGGAGCATCATGAGGTTCAACAGCAGCCAACAATCGCCAAGCTTCCTATTTCCGAAAGTGATGGTACCAGCAACAGCAACAGCAGCAGCTTATCGAATTCTGAAACTTGGGATATCACACGGTTGGATCGATGCCTAGAAGCTCAGAAAGCAGAGGCTGTGGTGAGTCACGCAAGGGACTCTTTGTTCCATAGTCGTGTGGCTGAAGCTGGGGATAGCTTGGACATTACAAATTTTGAAACGGTGGTGCCTAGGTTTACCAACAGTGAAATACAACTTGACAATAGACTGGCGCGAGGGAATTTCTCGGACATTTATCTCATTCGAAACTTTAGCCCGAGTCAATCCTTCAAGTCATGCACCGAACAACAGTTTTACGATACCGAAACTGTCAAGAAAACATTTCGGCCCCATGAGATTGTAGTCAAGATTTTACGAGCCAAGCTGGTGATCAACCCTGCTCTCTTTGCGTCTGGAATTGCTGATCTCATTACTGAGGCGACCTTATTGGCAGCATTGGATCATCCACATATTGTTGCCATGAGGGGGAGGTCTATTGCTTCCATTGACGGCTTCACCAGTGGAAAACGAGATTCATTTTTCATCCTTCTAGAACGGTTACACGGGACATTGGAAGATGGAGTTGCTAGATGGAAGGAACGATCGGCAGACACGGGGGTAATGAAACGAGGGATTAAGGGAATGCAGACCTTTCGATTGGGAATGTTATTGGAACGGATAATGGTCATGTCACAACTGGCCAGTGCAATGGCATATCTGCATGACCGAAACATAATACATAGGGATTTGAAGCAAAGCAATGTTGGAATTGATTCTGCGGGGAGAGTGAAGCTGTGTGACTTTGGATTGGCCAAGGTTCTGCCAGTACCAAACCACGATAAAGAGCAGTTCCTGCTCACTGCAAATACTGGCTCATTACGATACATGGCACCGGAAATTGGACGTGGGGAGAAATACAACCTGGTAAGCGACGCTTTGACTGACTCTAGGAAACTGATCGTCTTGTCAAAATTTTCTTGCCAATGCCTCACTCTCACTTTCACCTCGCGGCTGCAGAAAGCGGATGTGTATTCATTCTCAATTTTGCTATTTGAGATTATGAATCTGAGCATCGTCTGGCAAGGTATGAACCCACAACAGGTACGGCAGAAGGTTCACTGTGGATCTCTTCGCCCTACCGTCTCCATGTTTTGGCCCAAGTCTTTGAAGCAATTGATGAAATCCACATGGTCTGATGCACCATCCGCTCGATTGTCCATGCGGCATGTCCACAACGAATTGGATCGAGTGGTAGAGGAACTATCGGTCGAACTAAGCGCTAGGAATTTGGCGCTGATTGAAGCCAACAATAGCATGTGACAAAAAGGAAAAAGGAAATTATGGTAGCCCTGCTACGTACAATTTTTGATTGTATAATATATTTTATATATGACCTACAATTCTTGTACAGTATGCTTGTATGCTACTACGTGTATCCCAACTTTGCGTGCTTGTTATTCTGATGATATGGAGAATGGTTCTATTTGTATTCCAGTGGTGAAGTCTATCGCTTGAAATACGATGAGCGGCTACGTTCAATCTCCTTCTTTGCTTGTGCTCCACTTTGCATTCCAAGGGATGCCTCTTCAGTCATGACATCTCCAAGACTGGCAGTCAAAACTCCAACTCCAGCAATAAGGACAACGCCAAATAGGGCAGGAATATAGGGAGGTGGAAGTTCGGCGAGTTCGTAGTCTTCTTCGGCCAAGACCTTGGTGACAAAACCAACGAGACCAGTGGACAAACCAGCCAGGGAAGGAATCAATGCATTGGGAAATCGTGCTGATGTCAATGGGTGGTTCTCTGGAGTTTCCAATTGCGCAGAAGGAAATTGAATTCCATCGCTTCGAGTCTGATGCAGCGGGCTGAAGGCAAAAGCCTGTGCAAAGAGGCAAAGGGAGGCAATCAATGTAACTTTCCACATGCTTGTTGTTGTGTCTTTCTTCGCTACCTAGTAGACAGTTGGGTTCAAGAAATAGAGTGCTACAGTACTGGACCAGCTGACGTCATCCAATTGGTGGGACTGAAGTAGACTCTGTTTGCGTCTTGCGCCCACCCGTGAAATCGAAACCAACAACAAACAAAACCCATCAAACACCTCAACTTCATCAAAGTACATTGACAATGTCTGAGGCAGCCAATGGTGACAACCTGTCCAAGGATCCACCATCACGAATATCCCAAGAATTGCGCAATTTCTATGCTGAGCACAATGTCGATCTAGCTCGACTGGAACAGGTCGGAAAATCAGGAGAGTCGGATCCCTTTCCATTCCGATTTGTTCGTCTGAATCCTCGATTTGATCGAGGAGAAAGCCTCAAGATTCTCAACAAGGAAGTTGGTGAGCACAAGGTGGAGGGAAAGGAGCCTCACAAACCGATACCTGTCAATTGGATCGGTTCGGAATGGGGATTTTTTGCTTTGCCAGCATCATTTCCTTTGGCGTCGTCGGAAAGTTTTACATCCGGTCGAGTATATGGAATGGATGTGAGCTCTGGAGCAGGTGCAGCAGCATTACTTTCTAATTCATTTGATACAAATCCAAGTCAGACTGGAGATCACAACTCTGCTGCAGACATCAGTGACGAGATTCGAGTACTGGATCTGTGTTGTTGTCCAGGACTCAAGCTGTGTGCTATGGCAGATCATTTCAGAGACCAAAAGGCAACAATCATCGGTGTTGATGTATCGGAACCAAGAATGGCGCTGTGCAAGAAGATTGTCACAAAATATCAATTGTCGCATAGTGATGATGCTGAACCTGCAAATACCAGTTCAATTCCAAAAGCGAAAGCCAACATTCAACTGTATTGTCAAGATGGAACGAGCTTTGGTACGAACTGGAAGGAGCAAAACCTAGTATTCGACACCCGATCGGCGCTGGAAGATATTTCAGTCCGAGGCAAACGAAAACGCATGAACAAGAGCGCAAGAGCTCGTGAACGAAAGCGATTGAAGGAGATTGCTTCCGAAGATTGGACACGGTCTCAACAGTCTACCACCAATGAGGACAGCAATCAAGAGTCACAAGCACCAGGTGCTCCGGGGATCCTACTATTTGATTATGTCTTGGTGGATGCCGAATGCAGTACTGATGGTTCCTTGAAGCACATGAAGGAACGGCTCAAGAGTGGCACTGACGACCCCAAGCAAGCTGAAGAAACGACAGTAATCGAAACCAATGACATGCTCACGGACCAAAGGCAACTGGACGAATTGGTAGATTTGCAAAAGCGACTGTTGGAATCGGGGTATCGATTGCTAAAGCCAGGCGGCAAATTAGTGTATTCCACTTGTTCCCTTTCTCACGCGCAAAATGAAAATGTGGTGAAATGGCTGCTGGAAAAGTATCCCGACGATTGTTACTCCATTCCTGTTAACTTTCTTAATGCCAAGAGCACACTCATTGTGGAAGGCACACTAAAGGGAACAATACGATTCTATCCCAACCTGGCCAAGGAGGACATGGAGCTATTCGGAGATGGATTCTTCCTTGCCAAACTAGGCAAACGAGAATAGAATAGACTATTACCTGATAGTGATACTGATTGATACTCTGTTATTTTCAAATGATTAAAAACCAAGAAAAATGTACAAAGTCAAGTTATTAAATGTTGATATTGCTTGATTTATTTTGTGTCGGTCGTCTTGGTTCCAAACCGAGATGGATCGGTACTCGAGTAGTAGGGCTTTTCAGCGTCACCCGCAGATCGCTTATTTCCAGCACCACGAACGGGACCACCGCCAGGACGAGGTAATCGAGATCCCGGTCGTGGAACTGCAGCAATACCACCGCCAGCACCAGCAGCAGCACCACCACCACCACGTTGCCGTCTGGCCGCAATCATGGCAGCCACATGAGCGGGGGGCTTGGGCACCACACCTTTTGGAATGCGAGCCTTGGAAACTCCACCTGGTGGAGCCAATGGTTTCTTCATACCCACATGATTGGATGTCGATGATTCTTCTCCACGCTTCTTGACAGCAACTTCTCCTCGTTTGGGTGCCCGCGCCCACTTGACATAAAGTGGTCGATCTAATAATTCTTTCCTGTTCATACTTGCTATTGCCAATTCGGCAGCATCTGGTTGTGTGAATTCGACAAAGGCTTGACCCTTGTCGGGTTGTGCTCGCACCGAAACAATTTCCCCAAAGGCATAAAATTTATCCCGAATGGCTGCTTCCGTCAGTGCTGGATACGGTGCATCCCCTTGAAATCTCATATACAATGTTGCCCGAGCCTTGTCATAACCATCTTCATCTTCCTTGTTTTCTTCCTCTTCTCTTCGTCGTTGTCGCCCCAAAATTCGATTGGCAACCGGATCGCTCTCTCCAAAGAATCTGTTCTTGGTATTTTGTTTCACCATTGGATCATTCCGATCCCTTGGCATTTCATGACGAAAGGGACAGTTGGCCCCACGATTACATTCTCCTTTTGCAAAGAAACTACACAGTTTGGCCATGTTTCGTTCGTATTTCGGTTGCATTTGCGCCATTTCTTCCAATTTGGCAATGGCCAAGGCATTGGCGTCGCCTACCATATTCTCCCCTTGTGCCAAAGTACGTTCTTGTTGAGCAGTATACCAAGCACGATTGGCCATGGACTGTGGAACAGCAGTCATTGCGCCACCAGTGCCGTACTCTTTCAGAATTTTGTCTCGGACCTTGACCGGCAATCCATATTGCATGTCATAAATACAAACTTGACAGACATTCTTGGCTTGTGCGCAAGACTTGCAAATTTCAACTCGCTTTAGACGTCCTTTTGTACCCGCCTGCCATGCAAATACTGTAAAGGGGCGCTCGCAGACCTTACATTGCTTGCCAAAGGGCTCCTTGGTCATGCGAATATAAGGGTTGTCTCCGAGACAAGTTTCACAGACGAGAGGGAATTCAGTGTCCTCCCATTTTTGCTTGTTGTCGTCTCGCTTAACAATGGCTGCCTGCATGATTTGAGTATTGAGGCAAATTAATGGCAATCGTACAGTAACAAGGTCGTAAATCAAATGTGATTGTGTGTTTCAGTTTTTTAGTTGGTGTCTGCTTTGGTGCCAATCGTGTCGGACGTCGACCGATGGACGGACGATGGAGTTTCTATTCTTTCTCTTCATCTGTTCGTCGTTGTCGACTGACTGACTCGATCGACTAATCTCAAACAAAACCATCGTCACAAAACGGAGGGAAAAAGCAATCTTTCACTCACAAAATACTGAAAACGGCTAAAAGCATCTCGATTCACAGTGTAACACTCTCAATCCCAACAATGCCGATAGAAGTGCTGAAAGTCATTTACAAAAGGGACACGGACGTAGACCTCCATAACAATGAGCCGTGGTTTCTCGTGCTGTTGTCTGATGGCAGTGCCGTTGACCTCCTTGGTACTGAAGAAGGAGCGAATGCCTTTCTTCAAGGATATTCCAACATTTATCACTTCTTTTCAAATGCAGTATTAGCGCTGAAAGAGATCCGAAACAGCCCAGTAGTGACGACGGAAAGCAACGAGAGGCACAGGGTTCTGTGCTGTGCGATTTACACTTTACTGAATATGTCGATAAAGGGATCTTTCGAGAACGAATCTCAAAGGCAGAAATTCAATGTTGGGTAAACTATGCAATGCAGGAAGTCAAAACAATGACCCCCAATTCAAAGTGGATGAAAAATGGAGACACAAATGACATCGATCATGGGCTTCTGGGTACTCTGAGCACCTTTTCTTGCCATCCGGCTTTTGTCGCTTTGGCTTTCGAACATGACTTATTTCGTGTTTTGACGGACTTTATCAAAGGAAGTGAATCGCTCCCATCACCACCAGTCTGTTATTCAATCAATGCATTTGTTCTCAATTCATTCCAAGTCGCCACAAAAGAAAAGAAAAGGTCTTCAAGAAATTGGAGGCGAGTGGTATCCTGGAACAATTCCTCCGATGCATGACAGTTGTCCCGCTATGTGGAAAAGATTAAGAAGGGAGAACCTTGTGGAGATGTTGTACTTTCGATACTAAATGGCGATTATGGTAGTACTCGCACTGAAGAATCATCAGAATTCATTAAACGGCTGAAGGGCATTTCTTCCATGGTCGAAGCTATGGGTGAGCCCTTTCCGAGCATTATATTGATATGCCACCGCTGCGAAAACTCAGACATGCCCGGAGCGTTGCTCATGAAGTGTGGCCGTTGCAAAGGTGTCGCTTATTGCTCCAAAAAATGTCAAAAGGTAAGATTTTTGGCCGTATTTACTCTTGAGCTCTGAATTCGAGTCTGACCATATCGCCTTCTTCGACTTGCTCTACGGCATCAAGGCTGATTGGAAAATCCACAAGGAAGATTGCAAACCACCTACCAAGTCGAGCAAAACCAACAACAGAATTACCCAAACCGCAATTGGGATTCTAACCAATTTCGTTCGCAAGCACTGACTGGAAATGGTGATCAAGATGATCGAAGTATGTGACAGAACTGGTATGGGAGTAGGGGATATGATCGTAGAACTCGACTTCATGCCCAACGGCGAAGGTATCATTCCTACAATGCAATCTCCACCAGTCTTCAAGATAGCACCGGCTCGGAAATACATCGAGGGGTCGCCACCACCAGAGGAGCCTGACTTCTTTTTGGACAAACATAATTCTCATGGACGTACAAACATGGAAGTAGTACTTGACGTGATAAAAAATGCATGCTCTGAAAATGATTCGGGAGCAGCAATCTTCCTTTTCAACTATGGGGGCCAAGTGGGCTGCCCTCCACATTTTTTGTAAGTTCCAAAAAATCGTTGCGATTCAACGTCTCTGCGATCAATTGTTTCTCTAATCTTTACTCCATCAAACTTCGTTTGCTCAGCGACACATTCCCAGAAGATGTGATCGATGCCTTTCGAAGTGCAATCCAGGACAAAGACTTTGGGCCCCTTTCGGAGAAGTCCAATCCATATGATCTTACGATCAACGTCTTGGAACTTATGCGACTTGGTGCAGTACCAAAGAGCATGATTGACATTTTGCAAGAGGATATGCTATATCTTGTCGCCCAAGACACGGGATGGCTTGGGGAGGATTGATGATTCCCATCACATTCGGAGTGGTAGCAATCCCATCCTGCTGCAGCACGATCAAAGGCTCTAGCACATTTGCCATTTCCAATTTTAGAACTCTTTCAATCTCGCAGCTTTGAACCACCTCGTAGCTGATACACAAGAGTGCAAATGCCACCAATCCAACGCGAGATGGATGCTTACGTTTGAACGAATGATGGAAGAACGGGTGACAGATGGACGGAATGCTGAGATTGTCGTAAGTAGGAGATGTACCATCGCTAAAATGCTCCATTCTTGCTTTGGCGATTCCAAACACTCACAATTTGCTCACCATATGCCTCCATGGTGCAGCAAGTGTCAAAAAGAGAAAATCAACAGAGCACTTCGATATCAAATAACCAAATAGGCAATACCATTTTGAGGTTTGCCTCGCTGGTATCTATCATCACTCAACATGAAACTATTCAAACGATCTCGGAATACTAATAATATCAACAAGGCTGAACATCATCAGCAGCAACACCACGCAGCTCGATCAAAATCAGCAGCTCCGCTCCATGAGAAGCCTCGTTCGGAAGAATACGTTTATATTCCGAGTCGCTTTGGGTATGACTACGCACCACCATCGTTGCTAGCGCCTTCTCATTCTGTCGATAATTCTACTGTGCAACATTTGAGCAAAATGCTGTATGCCGAAGAGCCAGTTTCGGACATTTCGGGGAATACGGCTTCGTTGTCGTCGTCGTCCCAATATAAGCAAGGGGTGGGCGATGTAGTACGGGAACATCAGGAATACGAATCAAAATACCAGAAAACGCCACAAGTGTCAAACAGAATACAAAAGCCGGGAGGTAGCAAGAGTCACTGGAGACCGTCAGAGCAGGAACAACGGCAGCGTTTATCCGAGCAACAAAAGAGGCAACGAGCTGAAAAGCTACGAGAAATTTCTGCGCCATATGGACCACCACAGGGGTATTATGAAGAACGACAACAAGTACCATCACATCCTTATCATCATCGATCCATGTCTGAAGAAAGCAGGCAGACTGTCGAACGAGTGCCGACTTTGCGCGATGTTCCTTCTGTAGATTCTGGGCTGCAGTACATTAGGGAACGGTCGCAACAATCTAGGTATTCCATGGGAGACTCCATAGCAAGCAGCCAACGGAGCAATATTCAAACAAGACAGCAACCACAGCAGGGGATCCCACAGCAATCGGTGGCCAGTAGTCAGCGCAGCCAACAAAGAGGACGGCAAACACAACAAGGGATCCCGCAATATTCGGTGACAAGCAGCCAACAACGGAGCACCATCCAAAGAAGACAGCAAATACAGGGGATCCCACAGCAACCGGTGGCCAGTAGTCAGCGCAGCCAAGGAATAAGACAGCAACCGATGCAGCCTCCAAGAACACAAGGTCTTGCGTCCCATAGTATGGATGCGAGTACAATTACAACCTTGCCGGAAACCTTTGGACAAGGAACCTATTATCGACAGCACCAAGCAAGAGCTTCGAGGGCTTCTGCTGGTCGGCCTCCGATGAACGATCGGCACATGTCAAGCTATCAGCCACCACAAAGTGACAAGGTTGCAGCGAGTCAAACAAGTGCCCGAGAACGAAAGCGAAATATTGAGCGATCTTACAATGATTACCTGATGCGGGAACGAGGGTGGGTGCCAACAGAATTGGTCACGGCCGATGTAGTGAAAACTTCCAACAAGAAGAACAAGATTGTAGCTTCTAAAAAGCTCCTTCGCAATCAGACTGCAGCGCCCAGTGAATACTTGGCTCCAACGAATATGGTGGAAACAAGCAAAGAAGAAAAACGAGCTCCAATTGCTCCCGTGGTGCCAGAGTCACCCAAGAGGAAAGGGTTTTTCAAGAGATTGTTTGGAAAGGGAAAATCCAAAAAATCATTAAAAACTGGAAAGCAAGCACAGGCTGCTAGTAGCTCAAAGAAGAAACTTCCTCGTATGCAAGTAGACCCTCCAAGTAAAGGAACCATCCGGGGAGTGAATCCAGCGAAGGGTAGCACCTCTGCTTCAACAGGGACAATGTCGCGCAGTACGGATATTGGAAGTAAGACCAAGATGTACAGCCAACCAGCGGCAAGAAAATCCATGGAAAATGACACTCCGTTGTCCATGGTGGCTGCTCGCTCCATAGCTTCTTCGCACAAGAAGTATGGTTCACATGTTGGCCGGGATTCTAAAGATGCTGGTATTCAGTATAGCGCTAGTGCTCAATCAAAGGGTTCTTTCAATAAGCAATCCTTGCAACAACAACAGTCTGCTGCGAGCAGTGCAAATCGGTCCACTGCCTCCAACAAGATTTTCTTCCCGGAAACATCATCGGCTGGTGGTCGTACAAGTGCTGCTGGCAGTTCGAGACATCCAGCCGATGTCAGTACAAAGTTTTATTCCACAAGTAGAACGGCACTGCAATCTCAACTGTCTTCCCATGCAGGTGGCAACGTTGGATCCGGTGCCAGCACGGCTCGGTCCTCTAACTTTGACCGCCGACAGATCCAATCAGGTAGTCTTGGGAGCTCCAAACGATCCAATGCGTCGTCCACTTCATATTCTAGGGCGGTAACCAACTCGATGCTTTCTTCGCAGTATTCTCAACGCTCCTCGGGTAGCCGCCAATCAGGACAGGTATCCAATTCGGCTTCTCAATATGGTCTTCAGACGAGAAGGTCGCGCGATGATTGGAAACCCGACCCAAGGATGCCGGATCCTTGGTTGAAACCGCGGGCAAGCAATGTTATCATTAGGGGAAGGCACAGAACAAGCAGCAGCAGACCACCGTATACCGAGGGACGTGCTGTTGATGCATTGACTAGCTTTCTCGGTTTCAGTTGTGTCTAAATGAGTTGAGGGAAAGCTATGTTTGTGACAAGTAGGTGTTAATTATTGTTAAGTATTATTGCTAGCATATACAAGTGTATCTATAGCTCAACCATGTATAATAAATCATGATTGCTTTCGGGATTGTTTTCGTGGTGGCTTTTGGTCTTGTTTGATCACCCCAAACGATTTCTTTACAAAATCCGGAGCTCTTGCATAGAGTCTACAGAATTCTACTCGGTCCAAGGGATCCATGACATGAACCGAGCTGGACTTCAACCATTTTTCCATTTCAGCAATCTCGGAGTCGGATGCAACAAATCCTCTTTTGGTTCTTCGAAACATTTCGACGACTTCGTCTCGTCCAATCAGCCCAGTGGCACATAGGTCTAGCGAATTGTAAAGTTCAATCAATTCATCGGCCACGGTGAGCGGAATTTGAGCGGCAGATGCCGCAGACTGGCGAAGTTCGTCGTAGGCGTCATAGTCGCCAGCGTCCAAAGAACCTTCCCATGCACCTCTCATGATATCTGGAATGGCCCGTGCCAATTCATCACCTTCGACAACCGCAGTGGTCGCACCAGCAAGTCGAAGATTGCGACTGTCCCTTCGCTTGGAAGCTCTAGCATAAATTGGAGTGTCTGGAAAGGCAGCTCGCAGTCTCGCAGTAGCTGCAAGGACGACGTTTCCGTCATTATAGGTGACAAAGATTCCTTTTGGATTCGTCACTCCACTTGACTTTATGACAGTGGGATTGTTTCCATCGCCGTAGAGAACAATGGCCCCAGGTGCTGGAGTGAGGACGGAGTCCACGAGGCTGGGATTGCGACTAAAGGCAACAATGTCTGGAATTCCCCTTTCGCTATTCGAAAATGATTCATCTCTGGAAGAATCTCGAAACTCCACAAGTTTCCGAAGAACGGCTCTGCCAATTTCTGCATGGCCGCACACCACAATGGAATCTTCTGCAACTTCAATCTGTGCTGCAATATCTTGAATATCATCTTTAGCATTCACCTCGTCGATGTCAGTTTCGTCGATTTCAAATGGCTGAGATACAAGTGCGGCAACGTCCCCAAGAATTGGCGTAATTCCCATGGTAACGAGGACGATAGCCGTCAAGATTGCAATCAAGTCATCCGAGAGCACTCCAATTTTCCCGGCAAGTGCCAATACCACAAAAGCAAACTCTCCTCCACCCGCCAATAGAATTGCTATTCGAATCCCATCCACAGTTGGAAGTCGATTTCGTTCAAACCTCTTTGGCACATTGGTGGCTCCAAAGAGCGTCAGAGCCTTGATGGCAACCAATGCTGCGGATCCTCCAAAGACATATTGCCATTCTTGAAGCACTAGATTCAAATCAAAGTTGGATCCAGCGTCCATGAAGAAAATACCCAAAAGAATCCCTTTGAAGGGTAGGATGTCAGCTTGAATTTGTGCTCGGTAGTTGGTATTCGCCAACAAGACTCCTGCCGCAAAGGCCCCTGCCGTGTCTGTCAATCCCAAGGTCTTGGCAATCTCTCCCATACCGGCAGAAACCAAAAGACAAAGAGCGACAAAGGTTTCTGAAGATCTTGTCTGCGACACCATGCCAAATATTTGTTGCAGAATCAAGGATCCCAAAAAGATGACACCCCCAAAGCCTACGGTTGCTTTCAGTGTGAGAAACCCAATCGCTGCATAATCCGTGGGTCCTGATCCCACTAGATAGGGCAGCAAGACCAATAACGGTGCTACCAGTAAATCTTGCAATAAGAGAATGGTGGTGGCCGAAGCTCCCGATTGCTCTTCCTCCCATTCTCGCTCCTTGAGCACGGGAAAGATAAATGCCGAGGTGGAAAGCGTACAGGTGACGGCCAAAATACAGGCCTGTATCGGATCCCGAATGTTCAAAAATGCCGATGTGGAGGGGGCATACTTTCCCAAGGCCAACAAGGCTGCTGTGATGATACCGGTCGTCAGTGATATTTGCGCCATGCCCAGTGGCAAATAATTGGCCAGTTTGCGAAGTCGGACGGAAGTGACTTCGAGGCCTTCCGAAAATAACAAAAATAAAATCCCAAAGTCTCCTAGTCCGACGTCGGCTTGGGCATTGGAAAAAATGTCCAACCCATTGGGACCCAAGAGGGCACCCAAAATCAAATAGCCCAGAATAGGAGTAATTTTAATGGCATTGGCCGCCGTGGTGACTAGGACAGAAGATGCCAAAAATATCAAGAGATCCATTCCCATGGATCCCAACACAATCTCAGTCGCCTCTTCTGGGACACTGGAACGGGCGTTGGGAATGGCAATCCGCATGGATCTCGAAAGATTGTTTGCCATGTCTTGAAAGGGGAGGGAAAAGTCAAGTTGCGCCTTGGCCATTAAAAACTCTGCAGTACCAGAGGTTGAGTGCTGTAGTATGGAAGGATCTGGCACCAGCATTAACTCTGACGACGTTGACCGTCTTTGTCGTTTGCATCCATGCTTGAGCGCTTGGTGGTGGTGGTAGTGGTGGTGGTTGTGATTTTTGGTGGTGGTTATCGGCGGCAGTACTTTTGGTATTGGCACATTTGGTATTCTCCTGCTTGGAGTAGTAGTCTGGAATCCATCACTCGCTCTCAACTTGGATAAGAATAATATTGTGACGAGAGACCGCTGTAAACCTCTTCCCATGGTGAACTTTGAGGATGAAGATCTGTTTGAAACAATGTAGTTTTGTGACGGAGGAACTTCGTGAGGAACACCTTGAAGATGAGACACGCACAAGATGTGAGGAAAGTGAGGAAAGGAGAAGCAGATGTCTGTCTGTCCCACGGCAGATTGACAAAGCCCATCATTCATTCATTCAAGTCGAAGAATAGCATCACATCACATCACATCACATCCCTCATCACATCATATCATATCATATCATATCACATCAAATCAACATCACACACATCTCAAACTCAAAACTTCTAATCAACAACCAAGAGCCAAATTATTCAAGTTAGTTGCTCAATGTCAATCATAAAGACAATTTTCTGTTTCCTGTCGATTACAAGAATGTTGGCACAAGGATTTTCTATTTCTCGTCGAACAGCAACAGCAGCAACCACAGCAGCAGCCACAAGTCTAAGGTGGCGGTTGCAACCCACCTACAATCGACCACTATCTAGCACATCATCAGAATCATCATCAGAATCATCACCCACGACAGAGAGTGATGAGGACCAGCAACACCTTATTGAAAGGCTCAAGAGAAAACAAGCCAAAGCCGCCGCCAAAGCCAAGGCCAAACGACAAAAATTCCTTGGATTGGCCAAGGCGGTCGATCGCGGTCAATTCAGTGTCACCTATCAACCAGGTGGTCCCAATGGAGATGCCTTTCAAAATAAATCGGGATTGCCCACGTTATCGCTGCCGTTTACAGTGTTGGGCATTGAGAGCTCGTGTGATGACACGGGAGCCGCTGTGGTCCGAAGCGATGGGATCATTCTCGGAGAAGCCTTGGCCAGTCAGGCGGAGATTCACGAAGAGTGGGGAGGAGTTGTACCGGGATTGGCCAAGACGGCACACGAAGAGAATTTGGATCAAGTCATTGAACTGGCGTTATCAAGAGCCAATTTGACTATCGATGAAGTGGACGCGATTGGAGTGACCGTGGGTCCAGGATTGGAAATTTGTTTGCGAGTTGGATGCAACCGGGCCAAAGAGCTTGCCATTCAACACAAGAAACCATTTGTGGGAATTCATCATTTGGAAGCTCACATTCTAATGGCGCGATTGGAAAATCCAGATTTGCAATTTCCCTTTTTGTCACTTTTAGTATCGGGAGGACACTGTCAAATATTAAAATGCATGGGAATTGGTAGATATTCCGTGATTGGGGGAACCTTGGATGATTCGCTGGGAGAAGCCTTTGACAAGACAGCACGATTATTGGGATTACCGGTCGGTGGAGGTGGTGGCCCAGCCGTTGAAAAGCTTGCTTTGGAAGGAAACCGGACGGCCGTTCCTTTGACCGTCCCATTGTTGCAACGAAAAGATTGTGACTTTAGCTATGCGGGATTAAAGACAAATGTTCGAAGAGCGGCCGAGAAACTTGTCATGGAACGAGGAGTAGAGCTACCATCGGAGCTACCGAGGGGAGACAAAGCTGACATTGCTGCATCCTTTCAGCACATTGCCATTCGTCACTTGGAACATAGACTGAAACGAGCGATTTCAAATGTTGAAGACGAAGAAATCAAGACATTGGCCTTAGTGGGAGGAGTTGCAGCAAACATGGAACTTAGAAGCCGATTGGAGGAATTGTGTGAAAACCATGGCTGGAGTTTAGCCGTACCTCCGCCAAGATTGTGCACGGATCAAGGTGCAATGAGTGCATGGGCTGCCGTGGAACGATTGAAGCTCGGAAGCTCAGATGAACCCGATGGTCAAGATGTCTATGCGAGGTATCCCTTCTCACTCAGTGCAGAGAATAATCAAGACTCATAATAAATATCTTATCATTTTGACAAGAACACGATCAAGGATCAAGGATGTTTTACAAGTTGTTGTTCTGTATGTATCAAAGTGGTGTTTATGTTTCATTCATTCATTCCGTGCTTCTTCATTCATCTATGCTGTCACCAATCTCCGCAGTGCTGCTTCCAACATTTTGTCACCCTCTGCTCCATCAAGCGCCGCTTCTCTCAAAACTCGCTCCGCAACCTCTTCGCTAACTTCAAGCTCTGATACAATCAAAGCAACATCTTCTTTGGACACGGACATGGAGGCAAGGGCAGCAGCCTTGCTGTCATCTCCCTTGTTGGCGCTGCTCAAGGCGGTCATAGCTTCTTGTGCTTTCGAAGCATCCAATTCAACGTCCTTGACGCGATCCGTGACGGAATCTAGTTGTTTGGCTTCGTCTTTGGCTGTCATCTTGTCTACTTTGTTGTGTTGGGTATAGATGGAGAGTGTGTGGTTTGTGTTCGATGATTTTGTTGATCGATCGAAGTGATCGATCATTTCAGCACCGACTGACTGATTCGTACGAATGGAATTAGGGACTTTGGAATTTGGAATCGCGTGAATAATATCTACTCCAATCTGATCAAAGGATTGATTGATTCCCTTCGTGATGATGTGATGGCCAAATAAAATCCGAACAAAAAGAAAAACTTGTCAACAAATTTGCAAATCATAAAGAAAAGTCAGAAGGCAACCCTGGCTCCAATCGATCACCCAGAATGATCCATCAATTGCAGCTCTTGCTCGTGGCTGGTTACTGCACCTCCGTCGTCAGCTTTGTGAATTCTCCGGGCGCACGCCAAAATGTACCTCATATCCAACACACGAGAACTAATCAGCGTGATCTCCTCGAACCATCCAACCGCTTCGGCTTAGAGCTGGGAGCAACCGTTGTAGCCAGTGATGAAGTTTCCGAAGCATTTGAAGCTGAAGATGAGCAACAAGATTTGGTAGTTGGTTTCATTGAAATGATTCTAAGCGAAACTCCTCGCGGAGAGATGAAGTCCGAAGATCTTAAATTGATTCGAGAGATCATGGCCAACTTTCCTGCCGGAGCTGGCGAATGGGAACCAGCGACAGTCGTTGAGTCCCTCATGATTCGGTTGATGAATGAATGGGAACAAGCTTTGCGAGACGAAGATACGGAACGAGAAGAAATTTTCCGCCCTATTTCTAGTGATTTCCAAGCTGCCATTGCGCAATGGGCGAAATCAGATAACGACGACAAAGTCGTCAAAGTTCTTGCATTGCTGTCGGATCAGCGAGAACTCTTCGAGGATGGCTTGGTTTCTGTCCGGCCCAACATTGCGACTATCAACTCCGTATTGAGAACACTTGCTGTGTCGCGTGAACGAGGACTTGACCGAAGAGCAACTGTGGTCTTTGAATCCATTAATCATTTTGGTTTGGCTCCAGATGCCGATGCCTATGAGTCGATGATTACCGTTCTTGCAAAAAGTAGGAGTCAAGGTGCCGCTGGGCGTGCCGAGAAACTTTTGCGAGAGGCAGTAGAACAATTTCCACCCCAAATGGTCGACGGCCGTGTGAAAGGAATCTCAAAGGATGCTTTTAACAGTGTAGTCATCGCCTATGCCAAGAGCCGAGACGGCAATGGCCCCGAAAAGGCAGAAGCAATCATTACATTGATGGATCAGATTGATACTGATAATGGAAGTCTCGGAGTGTGCTCTCCATCCATCAATACGTTTACGTCGTTGATTGATGCGTATGGCCAAAAGAACGAGTGGGAGTCAACCAATTTAGCAGATCGAATGTTGAATAAGTTGCTGGACGAGTTCCTTGATGGCAACGAGGACTTAGAGCCAAATATTGCCACTTGGACTATCGTCATTAACGCTTGGGCAAGACTATCCAGGAAGAATCGCCATGGGGCTGCGGAACGAGCTGGTCGTCTGCTAAAGCGGATGGAAGATCTTCACCAATCCGGTAAAATTAGCTGCAAACCGGATGCGATTGCCTATGTCACTTGCATGAATGCTTATGCTTTCAGTAAAGGCGGCGATGGAGCACCCGAAGCGGAGCAATTGCTCGATGAGATGAACGAATGCTACTTGGACGGCGACGACTCAATGAAGCCATCAGCGAGATCTGTAAGGATTGTAATAGATGCTTATGTGAAGAATGGCGACATGGTTGCAGCCGAAGATCTCCTCGACAAATACGAGGACTACTTGGTCTCAGAAGGCAATGATGAGGAGTCCTCTGACAATTTGAAAGATGTCTACAAGTCACTGCTCTTTGGGTACACGCAAAGTGGTGATGCACAAGAGGCTCAAAATTACCTCGAGTACATGGTCGAGAAGAACTTGAAACCGGATTGCTCTTCCTTTAATGGGTACGTTGTAATTGAGTGGCGAAAACTCTTTTTGCATTTGTGATTGTTCTCTCACCGCTTTCCTGCAGAGTCATTGACGCCAACACCCGCACTGATGCAGAAGCAAATTTGAAAAAATCACAACAAGTCTTTCAACTAATGGAGAAGTCGTTCCAAGCCGGAGAAGTTGAACCAACTGAAAGAGTTTACAATACTTTCATTCGGGCTCTTACAAAGGGAAAGGCCCCTCAAATGTACAAAAAGGCTGACCTTCTATTGCAAAGAATGAAGAAGTTGTATGATTCGGGAGTCACAAGCCTCGAGCCTACAATCTTCACCTACAATGCAGTCATCTTTGCTTGTTCGGAAAGCGCAGATGTTGAAGGATCATCAAAATCTGATGCCTTCAAGCAAGCCTTGGCGACGTTCTCTGAGGTTAAGAGTAGGGGCATGAGACCAGACCATGTCACGTTCGGGAATATGATCTCATGTTCTCGACTCTTGCCAGAGGGAGAGAAGAAGACGAAATTCGTTGAGACGATGTTCCATCTTTGTCGCGATGCGGGGTGTGTCAACAATTTTGTACTTCGGGATCTTGAAGCCAGTGTTTCCGAGGATGAATGGCGAGCTCTGCTGAATTGCGCACCCGGGAGTATTGATTTCGAGAATTTGCCAAATGACTGGTGGCGCATGATTGATACAGGAAAGAATCGAGGAAGCTTTGACGAGAATCCAACAGGGCGACCCCGAAATGATAGCCGAGGAGGAGGCCGAGGGGGAGGTCGAGGTCGAGGAGGTGGGCGAGGAGGGGGCCGAAATGATGGCCGAGGAGGAGGACGAAGATTCTAGCTGTTGTATATAATATCAGACTCAAACTCTGTTTGTGATTAGATGTGTATGCGTGTGTGTTCGTGTGTTTGTACTTTTCGAGACAGAGTCATAAATGTGATTCCCAATGGGGCTTTCGTGTATTGGCTTGTATCTTGGTAAATATAGCAGCTTTCGTGTGCCGTACTAAGGGAGTTTTTGGCGTCTGTGCATGGTGTGTATAGATAGAATAATAATATGCCATTACGGATTTGTTGGCAGAATCTTGCCCCTTTTGAAATCAATCGGGCGACTGACATCTGCAGGAGATTGAAGAAAGTTGTTAGCGGCGAAGGAAGACGCGCTGGTACTTACTGTCGTTTCAGCTTCTTTCCTTTTTCAACAGCTGCTCAAAAGCAAATGTTCCGACGCCGAAAATACCCTTTTTTAGATTCAGCGCTCCAGCTTTGATGGCGTCTCCAGCTGCTCGTGCTACCACGGCGCTTGGATCTTCCAGTACTTCTGCAAGAGATTCGTGTCTATCGTATCTCATTTTCGTCTTCCTATCACTGAGGATCTCATAGCTAAGTTTGATGCGTTCCCATTGGTCCCTTACATCATCAAACGAGTTGCAACCACTTGGAAGGGATGGACTATGTCTTACCGCATCTGGGTGATATAATTTACTCTTCTCAATATATGCCCGTCGAATATCCAAACGTTCAGCCTCCCGTCCAACCCCAAGCATATCATACGGTTTCACCAGCTCCCCATTGTAAGTGGTGAACTCTTCCAGGAGAAATGATGTTTCATGACTTTCATTCATATACGACATCGCCGTGGACTTACGAGAGCCGGATACTCCCAATTGCGAAATAGTTGAAAAGGCATTGGTTCCAGATAGGAATGCCAATATAGTTGTAGCAACAGTCTTTCTAGCGATCTTCATGTTAGATATTATTATATAATGGTTGATTGAATGAATGAATGAATCAAAGATTTGAATCGTTGACAAAATGTGAGCGATCTTGGCGAATGGTGGTGGCGAATCGAATCAATCGTCGAGTTTTTGGCCGTTTTTTTTCTTTCGTGTGTATCCGCATGCCGGCGTTTCAAATTGCATCCAAAAGCGACAGTTCGCGTGACCTCCTTCCGGTCCCGCTAGTATGCGGCAAATTCAAAAAAATGTTTTGAAATAGTGCCGATATCGATCGCTCACAAAAATCATTTTGAAGACTTTTCCAAAGGAAGATGAAGCTACAAGTCCTTCTATCTCTCACCACGCTGGGGGTATTCGTCACATTGGGTGCACTTTATGTGCGATCCTTCCAGCGCACCGAAAAGTTAAAAATCATCATCTACGAAACTGATGAGCACAGCACCTCCCTCCAGATGTTTCTCAACGCAACCGAAAGAGTTGGTATCGAAACCACGGTAGTCGGCCAAGGAAGTGCTTTCAATGGCTTTGGATCCAAATATTTGCAACTCATGGACGCCTTGTCCGAGTTTGAAGGAGAGCCTGAAACTCTCGTTGCTGTGATTGATGGCCGAGATGTCCTCTTGAACGTTGGGGTTCAAGTTGACCATCAAGAATTTGAAGATAGATTGGAACACTTTGTCGGTGTCTTTGACGAACTCACCGAAGAAAAACCAAATGCTGTCCTAATCTCTGCCGAACAGCAGTGCTGTGTTGCTGCGCTGTGTCATGCTGATTCTCCTGACTTCTACTTCGACCCAGTCTCTGGAGCTAGAAAGAACCGAGCCTGCTCATCTGGAGAGAAGGATTGCTACTGGCAAAACAATGAGAATGTCAAATATTGGCAATCTACGATGGAAGCTGAAGCATATGCAAGAAGTGAATCTGCCGATGCTAGCCCATACCTAAACGCTGGGATGATGGTCGGCACAGCCGAAAACTTGATCAACCTTATTCAACTAATGGATATTGGCGAAGAAGAGGACGATCAAGCAGTTTTGTCTGCCATGTACTTGCAATTTCCTGATTTGATTGTTCTTGATTACGAACAAGAACTTCTTGGAAACAACGCATGGCCAAAGGGTCTCGAGCATGGTTGCATTTATGATTTCGATCCCGACACTCGAAATGACTCTTTCTTGACAAATGTCCAAACCAAGACTGTGCCTTTGATTCTTCACACACCAGGCAAATTCTACGAATGCCTGGATACATTGATTGAAAGACTTGGAGGAGTCAATGATGCAAGACACAAGGGCGCTAAATTCGCAACCAAGAGACTACTTCAATATGGAAGCAACCAATATGGAAACTACCAATATGGAAACTATCAATATGGAAACTATCAATACGGATCAAATGTCTTCAACTACGGTGAGCTTCCAGAGACTGTATCACCATCAGATTCGCAAGTACCTTCCGATGCACCTTCCATTGTGCCGTCTGTGGCACCTTCTCCTTCACCCTCTGCCGCACCAACAGTGCTCGCAGTGACCACTGCGAAACCAATAGATGGAACTGTGACAATCGGAACGCCGGGAACGGCAGCACCAACAGAGGCTCCCCAAGCAAGATCATCATCATTTTGGAGCATCATCACAGATTTTTGGAGCAACCACTAGAGACCAAAATCACTAGAACAATAAATTATAGTTAGTATCTCGTTACACAGACAATACCAAAGCCTGAAAAGTGACGATGTTCATCTTCGCTTGATCACACCAGCTTCCAAGCAGTCCTCGTAATGATTTGGCCGATGAATCATCAAGAATTGTTCAAGTTTTCCAGTTGCTGGCCCTTCGCAAGGTGCCGAACCTTTAGTCAGCTCGGCAATCAACAGCTGCACTCGCTTGTTAGCATCCTTTATTTTGTCCTTGTCGTCGACAACCATCTCTACTTCCCCGACCGAGTAGCCAGTATTTGTCACATCTAAATCTACAGATAACCCTGCGTGGGTTTGAGTAGACCATTCTTTATCCAATTGCCAGCTAGATCGCTTAGTTTCCAGACGACAGAATGCCCGAAGAGGGAGGTCACTTGCAAAGTTGGGGAGAGGTGGAGCTTCAAAGTTATTGTCATCGTCAGCCCTTTGCTCACCTATATTACAGCCCCTCTCCACGAGTATCGTCTTGGTGGCAGAAATAGCTTCCTCCCCGGCAATTTCTTCGTAAACAGTCGTACTGGTGCTCTCGCCATGAGCTTTCTTCAGTTCCCAGTCTCCATCCACATTCGATGTCCCTCGAAACCTTAGCCAACAATCTTGAAGTGAAAGCTCGTTTTTCTCAGTATCGAAATACCAATCCACGAATTCTGCTTGCTTCTTTGGTACAAACCCCAACTCTTTCAATCTGGACTCCACCTTTGATGCCTCGGAAAGTTGAAACTTTTCCTCAACTTCATAGGCCATGTTCTGACTCGTTGTCATCGCAGATTTTCGAACACTGAAGGGTCTACTACGAAGAAATGCGAATGATAACCGTGGCCCAAGCGTCGTCCAAAGGAATACCCTGAACAACATAATTGGGAATGGATGGAAGTGTACCGGTATGGAAGTGTGAAGTGCAAGATTGATGGATATTTTGGTTGCGTTGAGTCGTTTGATTCCAATCTTTCCAAGTTCTGCACACTCCATCGTATTGGGTCCCAGGTACAGTAGCGGGTACAATGTACTGCCCACATTGAGGCAGATATCAGTAAAGAGTGGATAGCGTACTATAACATTTCACAACATGATTATGGTATCTTATTATTAGGATGCAGCATCCAATGCAGATTTGCGAATGTCTCGAAGACATTGCATACTTGTTTCAAGAGGCATTCCGTCAACAGTAGCCTCTACTTGCCCACTGACTCCATCTCTGCATCCTACAGCGACACAGCGATTTAGAAGAGCTATTTCATCATCTTCACTTGGCAAACATCTTTCCAACCACGCCTCCAATGACTTTGAATCGTTCGCTTTCGTGACTGCTGCGACAGCAGCCAACACATAGCCACCCCAGTTAGACACACTTGCTGCAATCAAATAATCTGCCGGAACGACACAGCCAATCGTCGCCCCTTTTGGAATGTTTGCTGCAATCTGATCGATCACCTTCCCCATCCCAAGTTCATTCCCACCATCCCCAATGCCAATAAACGGTGCATTGGATTCTTTGACGAGACGATGAAGCGGAGCGATAAGTCCCTTTTCATTCATATCTATCGCCCGCATTGTATAACAAACCCCATCTTTTGATGGCCCTGCTCTCTCACAAGCCACTAGCAGACTACAGTCGTTCGCCAGTTCGGAAAACTTCTTCTCTTCCTCTTCCGACAATGATGGAGGATAGGCGTGAAGAACGACCGACCCACAGTCCTCGGAAGGAAGTGCCAAGTTCTTCAAGGCAGCAGCAAATACTGCTTCATTGCACGTATCTGTCACCACGATGACCTCATGGCCCAAGGCTGCCATTGCTCGTGCGATCGCAAAGGTGCCTGGAGGCCCATCCGTTTCGGTTGGTGGGTCATGTGATACACAACAGGGAAAGCCAGAAAGTACAACCACTGTGGACTTTGGTTCAAGGGATGCGATGGCGTTGGCAGCTTTTTCCAGATCACCAGGAACGATGAGACATTTCATTCCCCGATTTCCAGCATCGGTTCCGATAACATCTTGCAATGAAGAACAAGTCTTGGAAAGTGTTTCAGGCGACATCGCGAAAGGTCTGTTATTTGTAGTGGTGAATGCTGACCGTGGAGAGAAATCTGATCCAAGAGTCAATTGAATTAGAAGGGTGAAGCAAAGCAGAGGTGTCTGCATGAAGATCACTAACCTCCTCTGATACGATCGTTGAAGTTGGACGGATTAAGGCCTTTACAAGTACCTAATACTGGAACAATCAGATAATGGACCATAATAAATTACACGTATTATAGGATTATAACAATCTATTCAACAGAAATTGTGTCTCTTTTTAACATCCCCAGATGACACGAGTCATCTCACACATCGTTGTCGTACATTCCGAACAATCTGATGTCGGAGAAGAAGATGGAACTTCATCAGCCAATCCACCAAATTCAACTTGGGCTTCAGTAGGGGCCGCGCTAATTTCAATTGATGGTTCTCCTGTGGGATTGGAAGTGGGCATCGATGTAGGTATGGATGTAGGCTTTTTGGTTGGTGCTGGTCCCGGCACTTCGGCTGTACATACGTCACAGCAGATTTCGTTTCCAGCTAGACAACATGCCTTAAACGGAGATCCTTCACACCTTTCTTCTAGACTTGTTGGCGATGGCGAAGGAGCTTGGCTAGGATGAGTGGTTGGAATTGATGTTGGGCCCGATGTCGGATATGCCGTGGGTACATTGGTTGGAACCGATGTTGGACTTTCTGTGGGAGCCGCTGTGGGTACATTGGTTGGAACCGATGTTGGACTTTCTGTGGGAGCCGCTGTGGGTACATTGGTTGGAACCGATGTTGGACTTTCTGTGGGAGCCGCTGTGGGACCAGTCGTAGAAATGCCATAGTTGGCGTTACCATAGTTGAATCCACCATAGTTCGAGTTTCCACTTAAGCTCCCGTAATTGGCATTACCATAGTTGAATCCACCGTAGTTCGACTTACCACCACTAGAGCTCCCATCGTTTGCGCTGCCATAGTTCGAGCTACCATAGTTGAATCCACCGTAGTTCGAGTTACCACCACTGGAGCTCCCATAGTTTGCGCTGCCATAGTTCGAGCTTCCATAGTTGAATCCACCGTAGTTCGAGCTGCCACTGTTGCCATAGTTTGCGTTTCCATAGTTAGAGTTGCCACTGGAGATTCCATAGTTGGCGTTACCATAGTTGCCGTAGTTGCTGGACCCGTAGTTACCATAGTTGGCGTTGCCGTAGTTGCCGTAGTTGCCGTAGTTGCTGGACGACCCCCCGTAGTTACCATAGTTGGAGTTGCCGTAGTTGCCATAGTTGCTGGGACCATAGTTACCCCCGTAGTTTCCGTAGTTACCATAGTTTCCGTAGTTACCGTAGTTACCATAGTTGCCGGTTCCGTAGTTACTACTGGAACGGCTCTGGATTTGGGCATATCTGTGATCACTGATTCCTCCGAGACGATCAATTAAAATGTCCAAGCAAGCGTAGAACTTTCCAGGGGTATGGAGCAAAAGAGGTGCTGTTCCAGTCTCTTTGTTCGTCAAGTAAGCAAGGTCTTTTGAGTTTGGATCAAAATCAAAGATGCAACCATGTTCCAACCCCCTTGGCCAAGCGTTGTTTCCAAGAAGCTGTTGCTGATAGTCCAGAACAATCAAATCAGGAAACTGTATATACATAGCAGAAAGAACTGCTTGGTCATCTTCTTCCTCTCCGAGATCCAGCCTGCGGATCAGATTGATGAGATTCTGAGGGGTACCAACCATCATTCCTGCATTCAAGTATGGACTGAAGTTGTTGGAGCCGGATCGTGCTCTTGCTTCCGATACCATTGTTGATTCCCAATACCTGACACTATCATTGTCCATCCACATACAACCTTCTTCTCCTGACGGACAAGCTCTATTCTTTCGCTCTCCAGTTACGGAATCAAAGTAGTAATCAGGGGAATTTGCGTAACAAAGAGCTGAAACACAGCACTGCTGTTCTCCCGAGATCAATACTGCATCTGGCTTTCCTTCGGTAAGCTCGTTAAAAGTGCTGACGAACTGTTGGATTTGGGCGTGGAAGGCGTCATAGCTTACTTGACTTGCAACATTGAGCAAAACATCTCTTCCATCAATCAGCGCGATGATGGAATTTTTGTCCTTGTTGAGTTCGTCCAAAGTTTCCTTGAGTTGTGCATACTTGGATCCAAATCCGCTGAAAGTTGTTCCTTGTCCAACGATGGTAGTATCAACTCCATACCTTTCAGCCACAAAAAGGAGAGTTTCTAGCGAAGTGCTGAGTTTAGAAGTTTCATAGACGACGATTTTCAGTTTGGGTGATTCATCGTCGGGAGAAGACACGCCAGCAGTATCGTTCAAACCATCTTTTGGAGACCCATATTCCTCATTGACATCACCAAGTGGTAAGTCGATGGAATCCTTAACTTCTTCCGAGGGAAATTCAATGGGGTTTGCGGCACTTGGTGCAATAGTTTGGAGGTTCTGCGAGGATGGTTCCTTTCCACCTCCATTTCTCAAATAAGATCCTGGCTCTGACTCCGTGGGGGCATCAGATGACAGGAGCACTACCAAGAGCACAAGAGCCACTACGAACGCAGTGACGATGGTAATTGTTTTTCTCATCATGCTTCGTCGTAAGCGTCTTTCTTTTGGTATTTCGAAAGTTTCGAAATTAATTTCGAAAGATCGCTGAAATTGTGAGGTAGCTGCGAAACTCCGTGTGGGGAATGTCTTGGACGTTACATCACCAGCATGGTTTTTCCAACAACACGGGGACTAAAGGCCCGGCTCGCTTGCTTGGAATTTAACGAATTTCGATTTGTTTCAAGTTGTTCGTTGGCAGCAGAAAGAAATAGCCCGGTGCGCCGTCGCGCGAAACGACAACCAAACACATCATCATCCGACAACCAACAACTTTTGCCTTCGAAGACAGATCGACGGACTCAAATGACGAAATACGTGAAATCGATCGAGTGCAGTGACCAGCCATTGGACGTTTCGTTTCATCCAAAGCGAGACAACCTATGTGCATGTGCTCTGATCGATGGAACGGTCGAAGTGCACGATTTCCTGGCTGAAAACGCAGTGGATGATGAAGATGAAGATCCTGATACCATTCTCTCTTCCATGAGCGTACATACGCAAGTTCTATCCGTGAAGCACAACGAAAAAGTGACAACCAAGCCAGCATCATGTAGAGCCATTACTTTCTCACCCGATGGAGAAATAATTTATACTGGAGGGAGTGCAGGTGACATGACGGCAATTGACTCGAGTCGAGTCTGCACCTTTTCGTCGAATTCAGAAAAGAATCTTCTATGGAATATCGAACCTGCAACGGAAGGTGAATTCAATCCGCTTGTAAAAATTTATCCGTTTCACAATAGCCCTCTTATCGCCACGGGAGATGACTTTGGGGGTGTGCGGATATGGGATTCACGACTTTGTGGGAGCGGAATGAAATCGAAATCAAATCGCCCTGGAGGATGTGTCTTTAGTTGGAAAGAAAATGAGGACTACATCTCAGACTTTGATCTTTCCGCAGACGGAAACACACTTTTAGCTACATGTGCGGATGGAAGACTCAGCGTATTTGATCTACGAATTGCTCGAGAACCAGTGACAGGGAAAAGCCCATTTCGCTTGTCTGATGATCAGGGAGATGAACTACTATCCCTAAAGATAATAAAGGGAGGCAACAAGGTTGTATGTGGCAGCCAAGAGGGAGTGCTCAGTATCTTTAGTTGGAACACTTGGGGAGATTGCAGTGACCGTTTCCCTGGCCACCCCTCAAGTATCGACGCCATTCTAAAGGTCGACGAGGACACGATCCTTACAGGAAGCTCTGACGGCTTGATCCGAGTTGCCCAGATTCAGCCTGATAAGTTTGTTGGTGTATTAGGAAACCACAACGATTTTCCAATCGAAAAGTTGGAATGGAACAGTGATCGTTCTATTGTTGGAAGTGTAGGCCATGACAATTACATTCGGCTTTGGGATGCCCAGGTGCTCCTGGAAGAAGGTTTAGAAGGAGAGGAATCAGAGGACGAAAGAACATCTAAGCCAGTTGCTGCACCAGTTGCTGTAAACACAGCCTCGAAAGACGATAGTGAGGATGATTGGGAGGACGAAGATGAAGACGGCGACGAGGACAGCGAGGAGGATAGCGATGGCGACGACAGTGACGAAGAAGAAGAGGGTCCCTCGATGAACGACCGACGAAAGAAACGTCTTAAAACCGAAAATGAAAAGTTCTTTGACGATCTCTAGATTGGAAGTAAACTGAATTGTGAACCTAATGGAAATAGAAGTCACTACTGGTACTGGTAAAACTATCTCAATTCTAGGCATGTCACCTCCTCTCATTGATCGATTGATCAGCCAATCCAAAATTGCGCGACGCGCGCGCATCGGAATGAACAAATCGACCACTCATCACAAATCACACCAACAAACAAACTAGCTAGAGCGGTTGCAAAGTAAAACACCAGCTGCAAACATGGATTCCAATAATCTTCCCTCTGTTGAAAAGGTCAAGACCACAGTCCCTTTGACGGATCTACAAGCTTTTGACATGATGTCGCGATTCCTGGAAGCGGAAAAAGCGAAGCACTTGTCACTGGACATTGCTGGACAAAGCTATCTTTCAACATCTTCTCAAATCTGGAACGACCTTCGCCTGGCTTGCAACTCGCTTTTGGAACAGAACGATCATCGTCGAGAACCAGTTGTTGAATGGAAAATGGATACCGATTTGTTGACCTCCCCACCACCCGCAGAACCAATGCTTGAGGAGTCAACTCCAGTGGTTCCAGAATCTGCCAAATCATCGACTTCTCTTGACACTTCAGAGAAAGGATCTCGCCGCTCAGCAAGCAAGGATAAGAAGGAGTTGAAGAGAGCTAAAAAAGAGGAGAAGAAATCCGCCAAGAAGGCAAAGAAAGAAGCTAAAAAGGCGAAGAAAGAAGCCAAGAAGAGGAAACGAGAAAGCTTGAGCACGTGAGATGGACTGATGTTCCTCTGAGCAAGTTGACGAGTCGTTTATATCCCTTCCCCGAAAAAGAATCTGTCTGATAGAAATGCAGATTCAGAAACGGTGGCAAAACACGATCAAAAGTCATGCAAGGCATCAGAACATGCTGAACTCCATTGTATCAACTCATAGCTATGGGAATGAGGATGTGATGAACGATGTCTTTGCATGCCTCCTTGTAACCTATCATCATCGTATGTAAATAGTAAAAGCATGTCGAAATAGCAAACTAGAATTTTCATCACTTTAAGCGCATCTTGACAAGAGACAAATGCTTGTCTGAGATGCTCTCATACCTCTAGTCCATGTACAAATAAAAGGTTAGCGGATGATTTGGCGACCACGTGAAATCCAAGAGGTTAATTTTTTAATTTTTATATTTTGTTTTCTGTTTGGTTGTACTGTAGGTACTACGAATAGATTATGCATGTATTTTCTACTGTCGATGATTTGATCATGACCAGCCATATTGTAATATGGCTCTAGAATTAGCCAAGAATTAAAAGTTGGGAAGCGGGCCAAAAGTCATCAACATCCAATGAAAAAAGTTGCTTACGACGATTCTTGTTCTCCTTCTCCATCCTTCTTCATGAATCGATCGACGACGTTCTCTTGCACCCAACCAGTGGTACTCAAAGCCAAACCAATACGAAGTGGAACCGCGAACCTTGCAAAGTTGACAAAGGCAAAGGCTTCCGCTCCAAGTTGTGCTAGGTCCTCCTTGTTTGAGAAATCAGGAAAGTGTCCAGTAACAGAACGGTAGCCAATGATACAGACTGGTACAGATACAGCCCAGAAGGCAAGTTCCCAAGCGGCATAGGAGATGATGCCAGCTGTACCAGCCTCCTTGACTTGCTTCAACAACTTTTCCGATTCCGACATTTCCGACTTTTCGTCCTCCACTGCAGCGACAGCCTCAGCCTTCTCTGTGGCCTCGACGGCGACAACCTTCTCCTGTGACGTTTCTTTCTTTTCAAGAGTGGTTTGTTCTGTCATGAATCGCACCGTGTCAAGCTGACGCCGACTGGCAAGTCCATGGCGTGCACCAGGCACTTGTGGGACGACAAAAGCAGTAGTCGATGATAGGGCGGCAAGGAGCAATAGAGCAGTCTTCATTCTTTGGTTGTTTGGTATGTGGGACTCAAGTGTTGTAATGCTTGCGAAGAGAGAAGGAAACGAATGTAGGAAGGAATGAATGAATCAGAAGATGATTGACGTTAGCAGAAGTTGAATGGTCGAACTTCTTGGATAGTTGTGCGTCGATGATGTCAGAGGGGAACCATAAATCGAAAAAGAAAACTTTGTCCCAGCTTTGTCGCATTTAGGACTCGTGTGACTACACAAAAAACACACAAACATGTGATCATCGACAAGCTCCAACTCAAATCATCGGACCATCATGCATTCTTCATGGGAAGAAAAATTCGAGATAGTGAAGGATCACTTTATACAGAAAGGATATCGAGTTCATTCGGGTCTTCAATTCGGCTGTGAACTTGTACTCTATGCAGACGATCCATCAAAGGTCCACTCGGACTTTTGCATCCACATCATTCCAGATGGTGCGCCTATGTCTGTTTGACCCACTGATTCACACTCATATTACAACCTGTACGGTTTGGCTAAAAAATGACTCTTTCAATGAATATAGATGGCATGCTAGATTGGCGAGAAATTCAAACTATGGTCCGATCGATGCCAGATTTTCACAAGACTTTGGTGCTAGCAAATGTGCGAATAGACGAAGAAGGAAAGACTGTCGTGGATGAGTTCGCCATGGCAACCGAACATGCACCCTTCCGACACAAACAGAGAATTATTGACCGAGCAGGATTGCAAAGGAAGAAAATAAAAACAAACGATCAGTCCACTTCACAGTCAGAAGGGACAGATTGATTGATTCGAAAGAATAGACCATATAATAGCATTTCAATAGATTACCGTATTTAACCCTGGAAAAGACATTACGTATTGGAAGAAATGCAGTCTGTCGAACGTCAAAAGTGTCTTTTTACGTGAAATCTGGGATTTCATAGGAGCGGCGTAGAACAAGTACCATCGCCACGCACAGAGGTCCCAAACTTCAAAATTCGCAATCAACGGAACATCACAACATCTGACACTTGCTTGGTTCTAAACCCCTTTGATTCAAACAAACACAATGTCCGCTAAACTAAACGCTAATGCATCTTCCTTCACCCCTGGTGGCGTATCAGCGACGCCGGCAAACACAACAGCTTCTTCCAATGGCAATAGCACGGCAGCCCCAGTTCAAACAAACGATGTTCTTCCTCCGCACATGAAAAAGCATGCTGCTGAATTCTGGTTCCCACAATCCCGGTAGGTGGCTTTCTAAGTGTGGATATTGAGTTTCAGCGCTCTTCGTCATCCAGTTGTCCCTCCCTTCAAAACCTAACGCGAACGCGGCTTTCAAATATTTTCCAGGAACTGTGCTTGCTGCAAGGGTTACAAGCATGGCTGTTCCTGCCAAGCTTCGAACAATGGCGTTTGCGCTAGTTGTGCAGGCAACTGATACACTCTACTTTCTATTGGACAAAAACTTGCGACGTCTCAAATTGAAAAAAACTACATTAAATACGGCCGTTGCTTTTTTGACCGTTACGTGAAATTTTTGATGATGACTGTCAAAATGAGATTCGGCCTTGCCATGCATGGGAACCAACCATTGCAGTACCAGGCCCCTATTGACTAAAATCATACCAATAAAAAGATAGAAAAATACTTACCGGGACGCACAACATATCAGGATTTACAATATATTTGCTCCTTTGGTTCTTCACTTTTTCAAATCAGTTCTCCAACGTTCGTCATCACTATTGTTTAGACTTCGCGTACCGGATGTCATGTACCTAGGCAAATATTGAAATGCACTGTAGGAAGAGGTCGTCGATGTGCTCCTAGCTTCTGAATTCAGTTTGATAGATGAATATTTGCAATCAAAGTTTTTATTATGGTTCTATATGACATTTTCTAGTATGAATATTAGCTGATGTACAGTGGTATTGGTTCTTGTGGCAACTCTGTGGTCAGATAGCCTATTCGGTGGCACCAATCGACCTTCTCCTTCTTACAAATCACTCTGTACGAGCGCCTTTTCGGCTAGGAAGTTATCCAGTTCGCCGTCCTTGTTGTTGTAAAAGTCCCCTGCACAACGAAAGAGCTTCTTGACATTGTCCACAATGATTGGTGAAGTCATCCAATTTGGGATCTTTCCTCCAATCTCTAGTTGTAGCACGTACTCTACATCCATTGTATTCTCTGATGTAGGAACAAGTGTGGTGCTGAAGATGTGACTCTTGGCTCGTGTCACACGTTTTCCAGGAGGTAACAGATTATCGTGCCAGGATTCCATTTCGGTACCCCAAATGATGCAACTCCCATCCGCAAAATCATTGATTCCACACACCGTCAATTGTTCGCGAGCGTCGATTCCAAGATTTGCTTTGGTAACACAATGTCCAACTCCAAGACGAGAGCAGTCGCCATATTTGAATCCCATTGCGATATTGGCGGCATCGAGGTCCAGGATGGGGTATGCTTCGTATACACTATCAATTTGCGAGTCCCATTTCTTTCGATCTTCTGTATTCATTATGAAATTTGCAAATCCTTCGCCAATGCATGGGCCTTCCAGTGTTGCCCGAAAGCGCAGGATTGGAACTCCGACTCCCTGAAAATTGTCAATCTTCTCAACTAGAAGTGCAAAACAATCATAATCCTCAATCGTGAGAAAGGACCAAAAAACATTAAGTCCATCAATTCCAAGGTTCTAGTACTCACCTTTGTGAACACCAAACTTGTTTTTGCTCGAGTCTACCTTTTTCCATTTCAAGTTTGGATTCTCCTCTGCAACAAAATCCAAAATGTGAGCACAAGAAAGACAAGAGTTCCACACCATGCATGGTGTTCAAGAATGTTGTCGTACCAATTTCACCAAATCCAGCAGTGTAGCCGGCGACATCGTTTGCGGATTCAATGGCAACCTTTGCCAGGGGCGAGACTTGTTGTACACGGCTGAAAAGTTCGTCAAAATCAGGTAATTCAATCTCCACTCGATCCGGTGTTCGAGTGGGCGCTTTTTGTTGAGCACTGGGTGCCTTTTGAAAGAGGGCATTCCCAAATCCAGTAGTAGAAGGGAGGTGGAGTGCAGCAACAAGAAAAAGTTGAAAAATCATGGTGGAAATCGGTGGTTGTGGCCTTTGTCACTGTTTTTCAAAAGAAAGTTGATGTCAAAATATGGCGAAGTTGAATTAGGTGGTCTTCCGTCCACCGTATTTGCATTCCACGTATGATGGCCACCAAAATCTGACTCTTCAACATCGTCATCTACTGCATATTTACGTTACTTTTACATAGACATTTTACTGGTTTCTCTTATTCTCCAAATTTCGTTTCTGTTTTCCCCAAGTTCAAAGTGAAAGTGAGGGAGGTACAGTACAGTATTTGGCGGAACTTGGTGAATCATGAAATTAGCCTTTCGAGGATAGCCAACTGGCGCTTTCTGTTTGAGTACTTCTGCTTGGTGTCCCTATCGGGAGTGGTGGGATGGGAAAGAACGAACTCTATCTTTCTTACAGTTTTTTTGCACACAAGTTCGGCAAACTGGGAGACGGTACTGGTAGTGAAATGACTATTGAATCCATTGGTTCGACTTTCAACTTCATTTCTTTCTGTTTACATTAGAGGTTTGCGATACCCAATAAAGACGACAAAGACGGAACCGTTTTCCTCCGAGCTTGTGCAGTTGGTGAAAACGATAGCTATGTTTTAAAAGAACCGATGGTGCCAGATCAACTTCTTCTGGAGTGCGCAGTCGGCGAAGAAATCTTTTTGAAAGAGTATCAGCAGCTGCTTCGGCTTCGTATGAAACCAACTAAAACAGGTGGTGCAATAGTAAGCGGCATGACGCCTCTTCATATTGCAAGCCTTTATGGGCCCATTTTCAATCAGATAGACTTTCTAATACATCTATGGAAACTTCGGATTCAAAACAAGAATATCAAGAAATCTCTTGGCACGGATCCTGTGATACAAAAAACTTAGATTCACTGCTAATGGTTGATCCGTTATTGCTCTGGGCCACAGATTCAAATGGTAAAAATGCACGTCAAGTTGCTAAGGATAAGGATGTAGAAAGATACCTGAAGGGGAAAATGACAGGTGACCGTTCTCCCCAGGACCGTGTGGCAAAAACGTGTATTTCGAGATTCTCCGGTCATCGAAATTTCGTGTTTCCGCGCGGAAAAGACGAACGTAATAACATGACCCGTTTGTCCGGACGGACACCCGAAAAAAAAAGGGAACTTTTAGGGAACTTCCCGGGGATTTTTAGGGAACTTCCCGGGTACTTTTAGGGAACTTCCCGGGTACTTATAGGGAACTTTCAGGGACTTTTCGGGAATTTTTAGGGAACTTTTCGGGAATTTTTAGGGAACTTTTAGGGAACTTTCAGGGAACTTTTGCGAAACAATATTCCCTCAAAAGACAAACTATACAAATAAAAGAGAATTGCACTATAGTAGATGACGCTATTCAAAGGACGGCCATTCTCAATATCGTATTGAATCAAAACGAGAAAGTCAGTGTAAACGACTTCATGCTTGTCCATAGTATAACGAAAACGAGTTCCAATAGTGTCAAAACGTTTCAATCTCGTTGAAGTTCTCCTCTGTCGGTTTCTTGAATAATAGATGTGACCATCCAGTGAGCGAAGACAAAGACCTTGTTCTAAACAAGACTTTTTGGCCGAATGTACGCCATTGCCCATCTGCTAGTAGACATGGTTTGGGTCCATGTTTTCGGTGATGTGTCTCTCCAGCACTGTCCTTGATAGGCTCTTTTTTCGCATCGCTGGTTCTCCAATCCTTCAACTACTATTGTCCAGCATTATCAATCGCTCCAGTATTCATTGTTGACCTTGTTGATAGCATTGGATTGTCCAAAACCGATGCCAATGGCATAATAATAATTCACAATTTGAAAAGTAACAGTTTCTTTGCAAGATGGGAAAGCAGGGATAGCATTTGGGGAGTCTCAATTAATCTCCCAAAAGTTCCGTAAAAAAATCTCTCAAGGTTCCTAAAAGTTCCCTAAAAGTTCCCTTTTTTCCCCGGGATTTTCAGGATATCCCCGTGTGAAAACAGTTTTCAGTTTTACCGCGTCATCAGTAATTAGCGCGCGTTTCACAACCTATGGTCGGGTTTGGCGGTTTCGGTTTCGCTAAATGCCCGGATTTGCCACACGGTACACTGCTTGGTGACCATGCAAAAGGGGAAGACCTACTATTGCTCAAAGATGAAGCAGAAGCTCTTGCCGATACCATTGCATATAAAGATCTGGAAGCCCCTTTCGTCGTTGGACTGCTAGGACGATGGGGTTCTGGAAAATCACATTTGTTTTCCTTGATGAAGGACCGTCTTGCAGCAATTCAAGAACAGCCAGTCACAGAAAGCAACGACTTTTCATTTGCTGGTCACATCTACCTGATTAAGTTTGATGCGTGGACATACGCCAAAGGGAATATGTGGTCAAGTTTCATGTACACAATTTTGAAAGAGCTCAACAAGCAGCTGCATCTTGAAGCTGAGCTTTCCAAATCAGAAAAATATATGGCTGGAAGCGCCAAGCAATGGACACCAAGCAATGAAAACAAAGAATCGCTAGTCGAAAAATTGTGTCTTGGTTGGAATGACCTCCACTCTTATCTATTTCCTCCGGAGGATGTAAACCACAATAGGACGTCAACATTCTCAAAGTTATACCGCCTCTTTCGAATACTTTTGGGATGCTTGGTCTTTCTTCTCGCATCTTTCTTTCTTGCGATCTCTTGGGCAGTTCTAATATCCCTTTCAAAACTGCGTGATTATGTCGGCAACACCATTGACACCACCATTGACGGTTGGTTAGCATGGTCAGCTAAAATTATCGGCAAGATGAAGCCCGGAAACCATGTTGGGCACAATCGTGATGAAGTGGAAGCAAATCGAAAAGAGTTCGACAGGCAGGGCAGGAGAGATAATATTACTGATGAAGAGGCAAAGGGCAAAAAAGACCCTAGCGATAAGTCTGCCGAAAATACAAAAGTAAACGATCGGGTGAAACCTGTCCACGAGTCTGACAAGCAGAATGATACAGATAACAGAGCCAACGGATCCTTAAGTCCAGAACGAGACTATCAACGTCTTAAGAATGGCATATCTTTAATCAAAATCCAGGATAGCGACAAAGCAACTCGTGAAGAGTATTTGCAGTCTAGGAAGGAGAAATTCAAGGAGACTTTCAGGTACAACGTGGATAAATGCAGTGCAATTATTGATATGGACATCCCAAATGTCACAGATGAACTTGCAAGAGCAGGAAACGCGAACTACAGCAAGGATATTCGAGACTTTCAAGGTTTGTCAAACATCAAGCGGTGGCAAGATGAAAAGCCTGGGGAGTTTCGTTTTGATGATGCTTTGAAGGCAATCAAAGAAGCACATAAAAGCACTGATGACAAACCGGATCCAGCCGGTATCGAAGCATTTGGCAAGTTGACATTTATCAACAAGTTGAAACTGGTTTTCTCTCCACAATTTCTTTTGAAAACCAAGGGAATAATTATACCTCTTCTAGTCGCAGCTGCGATGGCTGTACTTTGGATCTTAGTGGAAGACTGGAGCACGAAAATTGGAGCTCTGTTGGCGTCTGTGGCAGCGCCATTCGCGATTCTGGTTCCGGTCGTAAAGGGGAAGCTGGAAGAAATATCTGGGACACTGAAAGACAAGAATGACAAGTTTCAGAAAAACTTCGCAGAATCAAGGATATATGCCCAGAATGTTTTCAGCAATGATGATCAGGAAAACGACCAAGAGAATCCAACGCCTGCACTAGAAGAAGAAATTAAGGAACTGAAGGAAAAGGTTTGGTTGAGAAAAGGGAAAGGCTTGAGAGAAATAGGCAAGGATAGAGTGGGTGCGAGCAGCTACGAAACTGACCTTGGTATTGTCCATCAAGCCCAGCAGGACTTGATGAGACTCTCGAATTCGATGCGGTCTGAAGAAAGACAGTCTGAGGAAAAAGGCAGCAAAGAAAATATGTTTCCAAGAGGGGACCCGAGAATCGTCCTGATCATTGACGATATCGATAGGTGTCCTCCAGACCAAGTGGTAGATGTTCTTGAGGCCTTGCAGCTATTGGTGAAGACAAAACTATTTGTCGTGCTAATAGCGCTCAACACTCAATATGTTACTTTGGCGCTAGAAGAAAAATACCAAATTTTGAATGCAACAAATGGCTGGCATCCTTCTGGGACGGACTATATTGAGAAAATCTTGCAGATTTCCTACCGACTAGCTCCCATTGAAAGACCAGAAGCAGTACAAGGATACGTCAAATCCCAATTGGAGGTGAGCGAAGACAAGGCAACAAGCTCGAAGCCAACAAAACATGAATTGAGCATAACACAACCCGCAGCCAATCCAGAATCCCAGCAGTCGCCAGGCGAGAATGCTTCTGCCATCACCCCAGTGAACAATTCAAACGAAAGTGACCTCAACGGCAATGGCGACACTCAAGGTGGAGACAATCCAGAATTCTACAAGTCGCCAAGCGCGCAATATTTTGCCCCAACTCCTGTGAACAATCCAAACGAAACAGACCTGAACGGTGATGTCGACTCCCAAAAATACGACAAACAACTTAACAACCGCCTGTCCCATGGAGATAATCCGCACTTTAAGATAATGATAAATGATGAAGATGAGCCATTGGTGCCGGGGGTGCTAAAGGCTCTTCATTTCGAGGAGTACGAGAAAAGTATCGTAATGAAAGCTGCGGAATGTACAGCTCTATTCCCTAGATCTTTGAAGCGAGTCATGAACATTGTCAAGATAACAAAATTCCTTTGGCATCGGCAAAGTCGAAAGCGTTACGAGACTGCTGCGCAAAAACGCAAAGAAAAGGGCAAAAAAAAGCGTTCCGATCATACCGACGACTGGATTGAAGACAAAGAATTCTCTGATCGAGAACGACGCATTTTGAGGGAGTCAAGCATTTGTCTCTTGGTCGTTTGCGCTGCCAGCAATTTGCCCATCCGAAGACGGATAGCAAACTTCTACTCAAGATATGAATTGATGGTTGTTGGGAAGGACAAGCTTGGGAATGCACATAATTTGAAAGAGCTCATCATTCAAAATGGGTTCGGCGAATTGAATTGTGAATACACACGCCCTATGGAGGAGATTTTCCTCAAATTTTCCCAAGTATGGTGGTACGATCAAGGAAAAGGGAAAGACAGCACACTGAAGTTCAATGGGAATAAGTGGAAAGAAGTAAAGGATGTCCTTCGTCTAGTTCGTGCCTTCTCGATAATACCAGAAAGGAACATTGACGATTATGAGTTGAGTAATGGACGATTTAAGGCAAACCTGAGAGAAGAACGAGAATCTTTGATTGTGGATACTAACAGCCTTCGGGAGCTTTTGAGTACAAAATCAGGTGGACCAGAGATGGATCAAGAACTGCGAAACACGTTGCAGAGGGAGATTGTCGCAAAAAAAAGAAGATGCTTCAACTCAGCACTAAGATGTATGACATAGAAGAATCGTCTCCCTTCAGCAGTGACCTGGAAGGTTCCTGGTGTTCCGGTGACTTTTATGGCGGTCATGGACGGGAGTGGGTTCAAGTCTCGGCTCTCGTAGGTGGAACCGCAAATGCTTATTTTATCGAAGCCGTGAAGGTGACTGGAGACGCTAACATTCCAGCGGGATACGTTACCTGGAAAACCTTGTCTTGGCCAAAAGAAGGCCAGGAGGCTGGAACTCCTGCTCAACTTCAGGTCCGTGATGGTCCTTCAGACCCCGACGGATTCATGTGGGAATCAGGGACGTTGATTTTAGTCAGTAAGACGGAAATCCGATTTGAGTGGGGTGGACATACTGGAACATTTGTTAAAAAGGAACTTGATTGAAATTTGGAAACCCCACACTTGCTGTATGTTGGTGGTGGCGAGGATTCAGAAGAATTTGTTACAATGCCTTATTACAGTAGTGAAATAAAGTAAATGCTGGGACTGATTTGATCTAACGTGAGCCTACAGTACGGTACAGTGGTGGCTATTCAAACACACTGATTTGGAAGTTGAGAAATATTTTGAATTTGTTGTCAGTGCTACCATCAGAGAACTCGATAATTGACTGACTCAAAGGACTGCTAGAGGCCAACCATCCCAAAAATTCCAACTACAAGCCAAAAGATTTCAATTGATTCTTTGTTAGTTGCCAAAGGAGCAATACAGCGAGGCTCATATTCTCTCTGGAAGAGCAATTATTCGAACAAGATGGACCCGCATGTCAAGTCTATCAATACTGATAAGCGATCAAACAAACGCATTAAGTTCGCTTCGGCAAAGCAGCGTGCCAAAAGAGCATCTGCTGATGTCTATCGATCGTATAAGCGAAAGCTGGGAGCAACCAGCGCTGCCACGAGGGAAGAATTTGTTCACAATATTCAAGGAACGAGCCAAGCAAAGAAACGCCATCGCACGCGACATGCCCCTCTTGAAGATTCCAATCGAAGTGCTATCGTGAAACTCGCCTACACAGACGACGATGCTGGCGACGAGCCAGAAATTGAGCTTGACGTATCTTCCACCTTTGCCGAGGAATTGGACGTTGCTATTGATCGAAATGCTTCCGAAGTGTTTGGAAAATTCCATCGAGCGGTGTGGAAACTTGTCCGATCCCTGCCAGAAGTGCTACACAACTCGCAGAAGATTGTCGAAATCCTTTTGTCGTACATGCTATCGCCAGCCTCCCTCCCGGAGAGACCATGTCAAATGTCGGACTGGCAGAACCAATCGTTGAGGAAAGAGTTTGTGATCAATCATGCCACGACAGATATTCTGCACCTCCTTTCTGTGTTGGCTCGAGATCTTCGACATGAGATCCACCCGTTTTTGCATGAACAAATTTTGCCTCGAATCATCTACGACTTGCTGAATCCACCTCCTCCACCGCCAGACTCTGGAAAACAGCCGATTCCTCTAGATGTGACGATTGTAGAAGCCGGCTTCCGTACAATAGGGTACATTCTGCGTTACGACTCTGAAGTTATGAAGGACGACCTCGAATCTATGAGAAAATACTATGGTGCAACCATTGCGAATCGCAGAGAGATCATCCGGAGACTGGCCACCGAGACGTTTGCTCCACTTATTCGAAAAATCAAGAGCAAAAGCTCGCGTCAGAAGCATTTGAAACGAGTTCTGAAAGCTCTGGCGTCCGCAGAGCGGCAACCGCTCACCCACCAGTTGAAAAGAACGCAATCAGATGCAGTAGACGGCATTTCTATGTTGGCCTTTCAGGTGACCAAAGGTGTGCCTGGGAGATTGCACTCCAAGGGCTTCCAAACCCTAAAATACGTATTCAATTTGGGCACTAGCGATGGGACTAACGGGAGGCTCGTGCTTTCGGTTCTATCCACGTTGCTGGAGCGACTTTGCCATCAGATGAATCAAGAAACGATATCAATGATCACTCAGGAGTTGATTGGATTGGTGAAGAGATCAATCACATTATATTTGAGTGACAACGAAAATGGTGAAAGGTATAGTTTTACACCAGTGCTGAATTCTGTGAAACTTTTGGAACAGACGGCAAGTTTTCGATCTGGAAACAGTCTGAAGGGGCAACAGAAAGAAGTTCGAAGCGATCTTTTTGATTCCCTTGAGAGCCTCTGCAGGGCGCAATTATTCCGTAGTCTGGATGCTGATGTGAAATGCGAGTTTGTACGACGGTTTTGTCCACCGCTGAAAGTTCTCCAGTCACATCCCGAAACAGCTTCTTGGCTTCGGAAATTTCTCTCCGAGCTACTAAAGCATGATTCTTCAGATAGCCGGGAAAATGCAAGTCTTGTCTGCTCAATGGCTGACATTTTGTCTAAGGATCTGATGTCCGAAGTTGTTGAACAAAGCGTCTTCAGCGCAGTTGCTCAAGCACTTTTGCAGGCAGCGGCAGCGGTCTCTGCTCATCACCCTGATTCTGCACTGTTGATCACATTTTCGGTCGCTTCCAGAGGAATGGCTGCAAACGAGAACGAGGACGCTGATTCTATCAGTGGAGGTAGTACTTGCGTAGAGGCTCAGTTGTTCGCAAAGGGAGGTGACTGGTGCACTGTTGCATCTTCTGAGAAACAAAAGCTAGTCTCAAACAGTCTTGTGGAGCTCCAAGGCGAAAAGTTGTCTCGTGAACTAGTAGCCAGGTTGGTCATGGCCCTGCGTTGCATACCATTCGTAACCCTCATTTCTCTTGAGAATGAAGAATCCGACGTACAAAAGAAGCATTTCAAGCGTGCTTCGAACTGGTTGCTCGAAACTTTGGATTGTTTGGAAAAAACATCTGTAAATGAGGGCCTCGAGAGAGTTGTCACAATCGCCAAATCGATTGCACTAGAATCCTTGACGCACCTCGCGCTCGGTTTTTGGCAGATATCTCCAGCAGTGGAAAAGGCGGTACTTCGGGCAAAACCAATCGCAGAAAGGCTTTTATCCGAACAGAGTGGATCCATGTGGGCGATTAGGGGCGTTGCAGTCTATGCAAGAGCGCTTTCGAAGACCGACAAGTGTCTAAAAAATGATCTCGATAAGACATTCGATGCGCTTGTCCCAAATCTTCGGAGTCAAAGCCATTCCCTTCGGCTTCACACTCTGGAGATTCTGAACACATTTCCAGAGAAACACTTTGTAACAGATCACAGCGACCTCGATCTTACCGGTGACTTGGATGAAGATCCAGGATTCCAACATGCCGCTGCTTCTGCCAAGAGTGGACCAAGTGGGCCTTGTGACATTTTGAAAACCATGTGCCGCTTGGAGAAAATCCCCATTATATTGGCAAACGAAAGAGCAATTTCTGCTTTGATCTCACGAATTGAGGTCCTTGGTCGCTCTGGAAAGCTTCCAGTTGTTTATGCTGAGGCTGTTTCGAACTATATGATTGGGTCCTTCTACGTCAAGTTTGCCCCTGTATGGCCCGAAGCGACAAGGTGTTTGACATCTCTTTTGAAAGGGCACGAGAAAAATTGCTGGCCAGCACTTGAAGCAAAGCTACGAACGTCCATGGAAAGATCGCCACAACGAGATGACAACGACCAAGATGATCATATCTCAAGAAGTCTTTTCTCTTTTGATGGGCATTTATACAATTGCGAAGAGTGGCAATCATCCAACGGTACAAACGTTTCTATCTTTGGAAATTCGGATTCAATTGAAGATCTTGGCACTGCCCGCCACCAAATTACAGATGAGGATACTGCAACAGAAAACATCTGGGGAGTTGCTGCTGAAAGCCAACATCTAGTAGGGAAAAACTCTCGCGTCATTATCCCTGTTTTCCTGGCATTCCTACACAACCAGTATTTTGGATTTCACATCAATGATCCTGACGCCCGCGAGCTTGAATTGAAGGAGCATGTGCCATCGGATGACTTGTAAGCTTACTTTCGACTACGCGAATGATTCAAGATCAACCAATCTCTCACCCTTTGCTTTCGGAATTCACAGTATGACATACAGCAAGATTGACAAGGGAATAGTTTATAGGCGACTGTTATGCTTTCTGAAAGTATTTGCAGTACTTGATGGTCCCAAACAACTTGTGCATCATCAACTGCTGGAACGGATTTTCCGCTGCTTCTTGAATCATCAAGATGAAACTGTGGCACGGTTGGCTCTTACTGCTTTGTCGAAATACAAGGTGCCGTACTTGGTGCCATATCAAAGCTTTTTCTTCGATGTATTGAAGAAGGGGCAACTCAAGGACTCGCTACTAGATTTTGCGGAAAAATACAAAGAGGGCAAAGTAGTCAAGTCTCATAGAGCGCAGCTGATGCCATTGTTGGTGAGACTATTGTTTGGGAGACTTTCTCCGAAAGGGAAGAAGTCTTCAAAAGATACACCGGCATCGAGGCGAACGGCTGTTCTTTCCTTTCTCTCCGTTTTGTGTGAAGGCGAGGAAGATGTTTTTAATTTCGTCTTTATGATGACGCGAAGCTTTATACCACGAAATGAAAAGCTAGTGGCAATGGAACAAATCACCCCCGAAGATCGTGAGAATATTATGGGTGTGCTGATGTCCATTAGGCCACAGGATTTGGTAACTCTTCCAAGTGGTGTGATTGAAGGTTTTCTGCATTTGCTCGAGACTGTCCTCACCCAGCTAGGGCACAGAATCAGTTCTTACGTCCCGCAATTTGCTTCCATTGTCTTGGCGCTATGCAAAATGGCAGGGGATGGAAGACAGAAGGGCGAAGAGAACGGAAAGGAAGAAGAAGCGATGAGCTCCATGGCTAGCCATACTCCACATATCAATCGATATAGTTCGATTCGAAGTCTTGGATGCAAACGTCTTTCTGAGATTTACGGACGCTTTGGAGACATGATTGAAGTCCAAAAGTTTGGCCCACTCACGTGGGAAGCATTGAATCGTTCCGTGTACCTGCTGCCCGAGATGACAGTCAAGACTGAAAAGGCTCCTGCAATACTGGAGCTTCTGGAAGTTATGTCCAGCGACTGTCGAACAATAGAAATGCTTGCGATGCACGAGGCAGCTGTTGAATCAGTGGTCAAATGCATAGCGGAAACGAGCATGTTTTCCGTGATGAATTCAGCTTTGTCAATAGTTGAAAATCTTCTGACTGTAGACGAACCATCTTCTGGCGCAAAAGAAAGCACCGGCATTCGATTAATTCGAAAATTCGTCCCTCTTTTGATGGAGTGTTTTACTGCTCGCCTGGAACGAGGTGGAGGGCAGCTTGCCGAGTCAAAACCTGAACGAGGAAAATATAAGAGTAAGGGTGGCAATCGGCAAAACACATGGAAAAGGGAACTGGAGATCCTCTGTCGTGTCAGCGAACTCCTTTCTAATGACGATGGATGTCTCAAGGATAGATCGTCAATTCTGGCAACTCTATTTTCTCTCCTTCTCCCGTACTTGGAACCAGATCGCATGACTACTGATGACGACAAGATGAATATCATTGGCATTCTGAAGAGTACTGTACTGCAACTCGACCAAGAATCTATGGCCGAAATATACTCTTCCATCTCAAAAATCCTTTCACCTTCAAAAGGAAAGGCTGGTATACGATCGTTGACTGTGCGACATGCAATTGCTGAGCTTGTTGGTGCCATTGCTGTCATGGATGAACAATATCGAGAAGTTGCAGACTCACTTCTGAAATTAACAGCAGTGAATTCAAAACGAGTGGACGAAATGGACTTTGATGTTGTTATTCCCGAACTCAATAAATTGAGCCAACCTGATGCACACAAAGCCTGGCTAAGTTCTTGTGGTGGAAATGACCCTTCGCCACCAATTTTGAACCCACTGATTGCAATGTGTTTCCATTTTCTTCACAATGAAGATGGTGTGGTCCTCCGTGTTTCTCATAGTGCATTGAAGATGTTGATTGATCTCGCTGCAAGAATGGCGAAAAGGAATGACGAAGTCCTTTGGACGAAACTAGTTGAATCGTCAATCATGCCATTTACTAGGGCGGGGCTACAATCAAGAGATGCATCAGTACGACGGTACTATATCTTACTTGTGAAAGGGATTGCAGCTTCCTTCAAGGACTTCTCTTCAGCCAACCTTTGCGGAGATCTTCATGTTTTGGTGAATGATGAAAATCCTGATCTTGATTTCTTTATGAATATTACACATGTTCAAATCCACCGTCGTGCTCGTGGTTTTCAGCGTCTCCGAAGTAGTCTGAATGATCCCAGCATCAGCGAACGACTGTCTCTGCAATCGGTCTCGAACATTCTGCTTCCCATTACTCTTCACCCGCTATACGAATGCAACACTAGGGCAGACGAAACGTTTGCACTTGAGGCTATCGCGACCGTCGGTTCAATTTCAAGGCTTCTCTCCTGGAGTAAATACAACAATATGCTATGGGCAATGTTGACACACTTTGACAGATATCCCGAGCAGGAGCGTTATTTGATTGGAGCAATTTGTGCTACCATCGACAGCTTTCATTTCGACCTGACGACTGAAAAGAAAGACGAAGATACGGATATGGCAATCGATGGAGATGATCAGGAGCAAAAGACGGCGGTTTGGCGATCATTGGAGCGACGCATGATACCAAAAATCGAAGGTCTCTTGATGAAGGAGAAGGTTGATAGGAGTGGTACTCGAACCAAGACCATCAGACCCCCAATTACTCTGGCGTTGCTGAAGCTCTTTCAGAAATTCCCTGCGAGCTTCTTCGAAGCAAAGCTACCACATTTACTCTCGGTAATTTGCGATGCGTTGAGAAACAAGGATTCTGACGCACGTGACATTGCCCGAAAAAACATGGCAAAGATTGTTGTGTCAATGGATTTGAAGTACCTTGCTGACGTCATTCGGGAGATCTCAATTACATTGAATGAAGGTTACAAGCTTCACGTTCGTGCAGCTGTACTCCACACGATTCTGCAGGAGCTTTCGGCATTGTACAAACCTCCGTTGGAGGGCGAAACTTCGCCGCTGTACTTCGACCAATCTATTGGAGGGCAAATGGAACTAATTCAAGAAGATCTGTTCGGTGAAGCAAACGAACGAAGAGAATCGAAAGAGACAAACGTCCGATATGTCAAGGAAGCTGGAGGTTCGAAGAGTATTGATTCTGTTGAACTGATCTGCCGTTTATTGAAATTCAGGCCATCAGATGTCGCAACAAATGGACGAAATGGATCATCTATTCACTGTGTTGTCTCGCCACTACTGGAAAGACTGCGCCAACCAGATGTCGATATATATACAATCCGAAAAATCAGGCAACTTCTCACTCGTGTAGTTGTCGGCCTTTCGCACAACCCCTCAGTTGATGCCGAACAACTTTTTCCATTTGTGTATGCGACTGTTGAGCCATTCGTCGGGCAGCAGACAATTGCTGCTGCTCAGAAGAGCGAAGAAAGTGACGATGAAGACATGGATGACGCGATGAAACCAATAAAGGTCAGTGGATCGCGAGAGCTGAAAGAGCAAAAGAAAGAGAAGAAGGCTGGCAAGGTCGAACTTTGGCGTCCATCTACACTGAAGATGGTTGGGTCCGCAAAGGATGCACAAGAGCAAAAGCTAGAAGAGAAGCGTACTCTTCGCAAAGTGAAAGATGGGGCAAGCGCACCAAAGCTGACAGGTAGCGGGCGGCACCAACTGTCCAACACTGCTTCACATAATGGACTGAACGATCCCGCAAGCATCACAGCTGTTATATTTGGTCTAAACCTGCTGAACAGCTGCCTCAAGAAGCTGAACTTGGACCATGAGTCGATGCCGTCACGAATGGACCCATTTGTACCATTGCTGACTGCATGCGTCTGCTTCTCCCGAGAGAGCGATGTTGCCTTGGTTGGATTGAAGTGTCTGATGTCACTTCTTCGCTTCGATCTTCCATCCATTTCCTCCTGTTCGGAGAATCTTGGGACACAAGCCTTGGAATTTTTGAACTCATCGGGATCATCATTGAACCAGAACTCTGACTTGACTCAAGCTTGCTTTCGAACACTCACCTATCTAATCAAGTCTGGTAGCACAACTGAGAGTGGTGAAAGTGGAAAGAGAGATATTCTGCTTGAAGGAGAGGAAGCTTTGGCAAAGAATGGTCGAATGCCATTGAATTCAGACCAAATGAAAGTTCTAATTTCGACTCTACAATTGAGTGTTACTGATTCCGATCAACATAATCCAGCACTTGGTTTGATCAAGGCCATCTTGGCCCGACGTTACATCTCATCCGAGCTGTACGATCTTATGGAAGTCATGCTCAAGCTTGTGGTTCGTAGTCACACATCGGCATTGAGACAGGTGCGTCCAACTTTTCGTTCCAAAGAAGGCGTTGCTCCTAGTATCCCAGTGCATCTCACGGTTTTCTTTTTTTTTCACCTTGCAGCAAAGCTCTACCATCTTTTTGCGGTATCTTCTTGACTATCCAATGGGGGAACAACGATTTGAGAAACATCTTACACAGATTGTTGCCAATACCAAGTACGAATACCAAGATGGAAGACTTTCTGCCATCCAACTCATGACTGCTGTCGTTGAGAAGCTCCCCGACGAGCTTCTTTCCAAGCACACCCAATCGATCTTTATTCCACTTGTGTTGCAAATGGTCAATGACGAATCCGACAAATGTCACGATGGCCTTGTCAAATGTCTGGAGATTCTGTTCACACGATCGTCTAGGGAGATTCTTCAAGTGATCCATGTTTACATGGACCGATGGGCCGAACAACCTGGTGCCCTACGATCTGCCTCCGTCGAAGTTCTTGGCATTTTGGTCGACGCAAGGAGCGATTTCATCCAGCAAAAGAATCTCCTCCCCAAATTGGTCGAAAGCTTGCACTCGTATTTGGAAGAAAGCAATTCCGACTGGCAAGTCTCCAACTCTTCCATTCTATGTGTTGAAAAGCTCTCCAAGAAATTCGATGTCGAGGTTTCCAAGGCGCACAAGGTGTGGAAGTGCATTGTGGAATCCTTGGTGAACGACCATCCATCGGTCCGGCTGTCCTCCTGTCGTGTGTTGCATCAATTTTTTGCTGCAAATCTTCTCGACTCGTTCTTGACTGAGAATCCAGGCATGTTGTTTGAAATTGGTCGCAACATTTGCTTTCAGATGAACAGTTCCGAAAAGGATATCAAGGACGAAGCATCCGAGTTGTGCATCAAGACTCTGTCCATGGCACTCCCAATCATGAAAGAAAAGCCAGATTTGTGCTTTGCCAAGGAGGAAGAAAGAAATGGACGGGACCCAGTATATTGGTTGCTTCAGCGATTGTCGCAAATTGCCAAGCCCAAGGGAAGCAAACATCGGATGGCCGTCTTCAAGTGTTTTGCAGCCTTTTGTACCTTGCACAGTGCGATTGTTGCGCCATATCTCGAATTGATTTTGGAACCATTGCATCGATCCAGTATTGAAACACGCAACCAGCTGGAGAATCCCCATGCTGTTTCTCGAAACCAAACTCCCCAATCGGAAGCCTTGGATGTTGAGTCCAACTACGCGACCGAAGTCATGCAAGTGGTGGAGGAGACTGCCGTAAGCAGCGAGGTATTATTGGCCGCCATGAGTGTTGTGAAGAAGAAGGCCCGAGACAAGAAGGATGAACGTAAGCTGGCGGTCAAGTTGGAAGCAGCGAACGACCCCAAAGCTGCCGCCGAACGAAAGATTCGAAAACAAAGCCGTGAAAAGAATCGAGTGAAGCGCCGTGTTGCGGAACGAAAACAAGATAGAGGCTCTTTCAAAAAGAGACGCAGTAGAGATTAGGAATGCTATGATACAGTAATATTTTGTAAACATTCCAAATCATTTATTTGAACGTGGAAAGTAGATACAGGAACGGCCGGGAAATAGAAATTTAGCACACAATTCTTGGGAGTAAATATTGATTTTCCCGGCCGTTCCAGTATGGTACTCTTTTACGGTTCAGCAGGCAGTGTTGCCACGAACAAAAGAAACTCATTTAGTCCCGACAATTGGCGCCCCAATCGCATCCATGCAAATCTATGCGGAAGCGGAAGTCGTACAGACTTATTTCGAGAGCATTGGCAATCGTTCGATCATCGTAAAAGGGCAAACCTTGTTGTGTAGTAGCTTTTATCGTTTCCAGAGTTAGTTCTGTAACAACAACCTTTTCAAGATGGCGTCTATGGTATACGGTAAGTTTGGTTGAACGAGTTTTTGATGCGTTGCTTGTATCAGTACGAGAATTCCTTCTAACTGAATATGATGGTTGCAATTTTGTGTTGTGTGTGTGTTTGTGTGTATCGTGTTTTTGAAACCATTCTAAATTGTAAACAAATAGATGAATACGGAAGGCCCTTTATTGTCTTGAAGGACCAACAGAGCAAGAACCGAGTCAAGGGTGTAGAAGCTACCAAATCCAATATCTTGGCGGCCAGATCCATATCCAAGTTGCTCCGAACATCCTTGGGACCTAAGGGAATGGACAAGCTCATGGTGAGCCCAGATGGAGACGTTACCATTACCAATGACGGTGCCACAATTATGACACAAATGGAAATTCACCATCAAGTAGCCAAGTTGATGGTAGAACTTTCCTCTTCTCAGGATGATGAAATTGGAGACGGAACTACCGGTGTTGTGGTTTTGGCGGGAGCCTTGTTAGAGCAAGCGGAAGTCTTGTTGAACAAAGGAGTTCACCCTGTTCGTATTGCCAGTGGATTTGAGACGGCAGCGGAGGTAGCAATTAAGCATTTGGAAGTCATTGCGGACCGCGTCGAATTCAGCAGAGACAACTTGGAACCCTTGCTGACCACTGCCAAGACAACTCTGTCCAGTAAGATTTTGCAATCCCACCGAGACGAAATGGCGCAAGTTGCTGTCCAGGCAGTCATGAATGTTGCTGATTTGGACCGTAACGATGTCAACTTTGATATGATTCGTATGGAAGGAAAGACTGGGGGATCCTTGAAGGATACCGCATTGGTGAATGGATTAGTCTTGGACAAGGAATTTTCGCACCCCCAAATGCCGACCGAGATTACTGATGCCAAGATCTGTATTTTGACTTGCCCCCTAGAACCACCAAAACCAAAGACCAAGCACAAGTTGCAAATTACTTCGGTGGAAGCCTACGAGGAGCTTTACGCCCAAGAGCAAGACTATTTCCGTGCGATGATACAGAAAATTAAGGACAGTGGAGCCAACTTGGTCATTTGTCAATGGGGGTTTGATGATGAAGCGAATCACTTGCTTCTGCAACAGGGACTTCCCGCTGTTCGTTGGGTAGGAGGTGTCGAGATTGAACACATTGCCATTGCCACTGGTGCACGTATTGTCGCCCGTGTCGAAGAACTATCGGAAGACAAGCTGGGAACCGTTGGAAAAGTCAAGCAAATCTCTCTTGGAACCAACAGCTCGAGACAACAAGATCGAATCTTGGTTCTAGAGGACTGTAAGAACCAAAAGGCTGTCACTGTGTTGGTCCGTGGTGGAAATAAGATGATTGTCGATGAGGCCAAGCGATCGCTTCATGATGCCATGTGCGTCGTGAGAAATTTGGTCATTGACAATCGTGTGGTACGTTTTGGGTTGCACTCTTTGCACTTTTGGATACTGTTTCATGATTCCACTAATCGCACTTGCTTTCGTGCTTTTTGTTTTCAATAGGTTTACGGTGGGGGTTCGGCAGAGGTTTCGTGCTCTTTGGCCGTCAAGAAGTTTGCAGACACTGTTTCAGGAGTGGATCAATATGCCATTCGTGCCTTTGGTGATGCTCTAGATGACATTCCAATGGCATTGGCTGAAAATGCTGGTCTTTCGCCCATTGAAGAAGTTGCTGCCATCAAATCGAGACAAGTCAAGGAGAATAACCCAAGAGTAGGACTCGGGCTTAATCATATCGACTTGGATGCTAAATTGGACTTGAATGGAAAGAGGTTTGATCATTCTACCGACATGAAGACTCTTGGAGTATTTGAGACTCTGATTGGAAAGCAACAACAACTGCAGTTGGCAGCACAAGTTGTCAAGATGATACTGAAGATTGATGACGTTATCTCGCAAGGAAACTATCAATAAGTAAACAATAACGTTTGATTATCTGCTTGCCTATTATATGTGTATGTGGATATAGTTTATTCTCTATGGGCGGACAGTAAGAAGTGTGTTGAAACGTCGTCAAACTAGAAGGCGCCGCCTCTTGCTTTTTCACCATGGGCAATTCCCATATCCAGTACTGGCAGGTCGACATTTTCTTCTTCTAATTGTATAAGCAAATCTTCATCAACGCTCCAAATTTCTTGAGCTTCAGCTCCATATCCAGGTCCACCTCCCAAACTTGGAACCGGCCTTTGCCCATACCAACCTTCACCATAGCTTCCGACCACACTTTCATCTTCAACCTTCCCCCAAAATTCCTCTTCGTAACATCGAGGATCAATGAATAGATCGGTTTCAACGTCGTCTTCATGTCGGCAAAGAGGCACCACGGTATTGTCTGGTTTCACGACACAAAGTCGGGATTTACTCGAAGAATCATCGTCTTTGTCCGGTTTCACTGCAACCAAATCATTCTCTAGATAATCGTCAGATAAAGCATACGTAGAGGAATGAGCTAGTCTACCAGCTCTACTACACTGAATCCATGCAGTTGTATTGTGTGAGATGGCTAGTAGCAATAGAACGGCAGTCTTCATGATAAAAAGTGGGTCGTTCGAAGATGAATTTTGACAAGGATCTGAATTAGTCCTATATTCTATTGGATTGTACCGGTATCTAAACGTTAAATCTGAAAAGGATCACATCTCCTTCTTGAACTACATAATCCTTTCCTTCACTACGAAGCAGTCCCTTTGACTTTGCTGCTTGTTCACTTCCGCACTCAATAAGGTGTTCATAGGAAATGGTTTCTGCTCGGATGAAACCGCGTTCAAAATCGTTGTGGATAACTCCTGCTGCCTTTGGTGCAGTCCATCCCTTGCGGATGGTCCATGCTCTGCTTTCCTGGGGACCACTAGTGTAGTAAGTTTGCAATTGAAGAAGGTCGTATGCTTCTCTAACAAGGGCACGTAGTCCAGAGTTCTCCATGGTGACACCGAGAGATTCCAAGAAATCAACGCGGTCCTCATCTTCTAGCTCCACTAGCTCGGCTTCGACTTGAGCAGAAACGATGACCATCTTGGCTCCTTCGCTGTCTGCAAGTTCTTGCAATTTCTTTGTCATTTCGTTTCCAGTGGCAAGGTCAGCGTCAGCAACATTGGCCGCGTAGATCATCTTTTTGCGGGACAGCAGACCCAACGACTTGATGGCGTTTTCTTCCTCTTCATCTAATTCGGCAAATCGTGCAGGTCTGTCGCTTTCCAAAACTTCCTTGACCTTCTCAAGCGCTTGCTTCTCCACAGGACTGGCGTTGCGGTCCTTCTTGATTCTCAACAATCTACCTTCGACTTGATCCAAGTCGGCAAAGGCCAACTCGAGATTGATCAATTCAGCATCTCTAATGGCATCAACAGATCCATCGACGTGGATAACATCACCATCTTCAAAGCATCGGACGACATGGACAACGGCATCCGACTGACGAATAGAGGCCAAAAACTTGTTTCCCAAACCCTCTCCTTGGGATGCACCCTTGATGAGACCGGCAACATCTACGAATTCCAATGTGGTAGGTACAGTCTTTTCAGAGCTGTTGAGCTCGGACAATTTCTGCAGCTTTTCGTCGGGAACGGTGACAATACCAACATTGGCATCAATGGTACAGAAAGGATAGTTTCCCATTTCTGCTCCTTGACTCTCCGTCAAAGCGTTGAACAAAGTAGACTTTCCAACATTGGGCAATCCCACCAAAGCAGTTTGAAGCTTCATGGATAATCTCGTGGAAGAGTAATTGCGAACCATCTTGATTCCTGAGGATCGAGTGAAGGATGACATGGACGAGAATGCCGCAGTTCTAGCCGGCATGGAAAGCAAGGATAGAATCATGGTTGTGGAAGAGAGATTGATTTTCATTCTAGAATTTTCGCTGTTTCTATTCGAAGTCGTGAGCCGGAGTGGTGGTCTCAATCGAATCTGTTGTGTTTTCTGTAGGTAGACAGTGTCTCGGTGATGTGTTTGCACCACCCAAACCGTTCGTCATCGATGAAAAAGTAGCACATGCACCCAAATGGGAAAATGACAACGGACGGACAGACCGCTCCAAAATCAACCATCCCACGTCGTCTCACTTCTTTGCGAGCAGGTGAGTGAATGCGATGCACGCCTCAACGGAGTGGGAGAAAGGAAAAACCGGCCATATCATCGCTGATGGACACTACGAATGATGTGGTCATTATGGAGCTTTGGCATGTTGATTTTACAGGCCCTTGTCCAGCTTCATCATGGTGCATCACCTCGTGGATGTTGTCCATTTTCAAATCGACGACTCGTTGGACCACTTTCCCACACAGTTTCGCTGTAGATCTGGTACTTTTGTGATTCTAGTTTTGCGGTAAACTAACCCATCCTTTGTTTTTTGGCAACAGAGAAAAATTTTCTTGCCCCTCATTACTCGAGAGCAGTCAATCAGATTCGATCATGTCCAAGCTTAACTCTGACATCCTAGACAAGGCCGTCACTGACATCCTTGCATTCGCCAAAGGTGAAGACGTTCACGTGAACGGTGAAGACAAGAAGGGAAAGAAGCGTAACTTCAAGGAAACCATCGAGTGCCAAATCACCTTGAAGAACTACGACCCCGTCCGTGACAAGCGTTTCTCTGGAACCTTCAAGCTTCCAGCTGTTCCACGCCCCAACCTCAAGTGCTGCGTTCTTGGTAACGCTGCCCATTGTGAACAAGCCGACCGTATCGGTGTTGACCACATGAGTGTTGAGGACTTGAAGAAGTTGAACAAGAACAAGAAGATGGTCAAGAAGCTTGCTAAGCGTTACGATTTCTTCATGGCTTCCGATAACATGATCAAGCAGATTCCTCGTTTGTTGGGTCCCGGTCTTACCAAGGCTGGTAAATTCCCCACTTTGATCGCTTCTGGTGATGATATGCAAGAGAAGATTGATGAGGTCAAGGCCACCATCAAGTTCCAGATGAAGAAGGTTATGTGTTTGAATGTTGCCGTCGGAAACGTCGAGATGACCCACAAGGAAATCGTTGTCAACACTCAGCTTGCTGCTAACTTCCTCGCATCCTTGTTGAAGAAGCAATGGCAAAACATTGGACAGATTTACGTCAAGAGTACCATGGGACCATCCATCCAAATTTACTTCTAAATGTAAACGATCTGATTTGATAATCAAAAACCTCTACTTTATATCGTGTACTGAATTAGTGTAACATAAGATCGGGCAGAAATGTATTCTTGGTGATGATGACATGGACGTTGGTTGTTTCAGCGAATACATCGTGATCGTAGCTTTCATGTGATCGACAAAGTACGCTGGAAAGGGAAAGACAAACCACAAACTGGAAGCGATGACTATGTCATTGTTATTGATGGTTGAAAGTGTATCAATATGCTGTATCATCGGCCTACCGGTACAACCGATTGATTCGGCACACCAACACCACATTGAAAACATTCATGGGGCGGCAGGTAGGACCACCTGTGTATCCTCGCAACCAAATGGATAGCAACATACTGTAGCGTAGTCCAAGTCGGAAGTCCTGCTTAGCTATCACAACTAGAAAGAAAAGGGCTCGATAGATAGTACCGGTGCAACCGGATACCTTTGGTGCCGGTAGATACTAAAGATTTGACACATTCGACCCGCTCAAGTATGGCTTGTGCGGTTCTCATGATTTGATCCTTCGCTCTTCTTCTCCTTCCAATTTCATTCCAATCAAAATCACAAACGGAATTTCGATTTGCAATTTCAAACTAGAAGACAATGATCATGAAGTCCGTCTCCTTATTTCTAGCAGCAGCATCGTTTGCGTACACATCTGCCTTCACCCTTCCATCCAACAATAATGGTGGAAGGACAGTGGTTTCCTTGGATATGGCGTCCGCCATTGTCTTTGGTACCTCCACCGGATCGACCGAGACCATTGCCGACTACCTCAAAGAAAGTCTGCCCGAAGTAGAGGGGCCTTTTGATGTGGAGACCATTGAAGGATCTGTCAAGGATTTCTTTGAAAAGTACGACTCTTTGATCGTCGGAACACCTACTTGGAATACTGGTTCAGATACCGAACGTTCAGGAACCGGATGGGATGAAATCTACTACGGCGAGATGCAAGAAATGAATATGCAAGGCAAAAAGGTTGCTGTCTTTGGTCTAGGTGATCAAAGTTCGTACGCTGAGAATTATGCTGATGCTTCTGGTGAGCTTCACGATGTCTTTGAGGCCCTTGGATGTGTCATGATGGGATACACTAGTCAAGAAGGTTACGAACACGAAGATAGCAAGGCTATTCGTGGAGACAAGTTTTGCGGTTTGCTGTGCGATGAGGTTAACCAAGAAGATCTTTCCGCAGAGCGAGCAGAGGCTTGGGTTGCACAATTGAAGGCAGAAGGGTTCTTTGAAGGAGGATCGGCTGCTCCTGCCGCCGCTGCTTCACCAGTGGTTGAGGTTGTCGCCGAACCAGTGTTGGAATTTCTAGAGGAGAACTCTGCACTCCTTGACGAAGCCATTGAATCACATGGCAATGTTGGCTTTGCACCACACTACAACCAGAAAACCAAGAGTACCATGTGGGTCAGCCGAGATGGCCGATCTTGCTACTACACTGGCGGATCTGTCGCCACCAAGGCATCCTCGTCATCTCCATAAGTAGTGAGTGAGTCTATCATGGCATAAGGTTAGAGCTTTATAATACTTTTACTATCCAGCCTACAATGTTTTCTAGACTGAAACAATGCGAATCTCAGATACTTCATCGTCGCCGTTTTCTCCTTGCACTTGCAAAAACGCAGGATTCAAAAGGTCAAGAGTAGGCATTTGTTGCTGCTGATCAGCAGCATTGTTTAGAAATGGTTGCATCGTGGCGACATTTGTCATGGTCTCAAAGGGTAGGTGTGGTGGTGGTGGTGGTGCTGCAACAGGAAGTTGAATGGCACCAGCGTCCTGTGGCGATGCACCAAACTTGGAATCAGCTGGTTCTTCGTCGTCGTCTCCCATATCGCTTGCCTCACTCTCGAATTGCTCTTCTTCGTCGTCCTCGTCGCCCACAGTCACTCCCTGCTTTCCATCATTTTTGGCCGAAACGTATTTCCGTTTCCACAGCCAACCGTCTCGTCGTGCGATCTCCAACTCTTCCACGACGTCTCGCTCCCAAATGGACAAGAACGACTTTTTCATTTCCTTGTCCAGCACTGTATTTACTGTGGTTCGAATCAGGACACTCACATTGAAGGCCAGGATTGCCAGAATCCGCCATTGATCACTCCACAACAGAGCTGGATCTGTTGAGATTCGTCGTAAACGGCAGACTTCGGCCACATAGCTGCATAAAAAAGCCGACTCGTTTGGAAAGTAGAGAGCCTGCAGGCAATCTGCTCGGCCCAGAATCATCAAGGCCTCGGTTGGACTGCACGCTTTCATATCGGGGAGTGCTTTGCGAAAGTGAACGTCACTGCTGCCAAGTTTCAAACCAGCACTGGCAAATGTTGCCGCCTGTTGCAGACAAGCAAAAGGGTCGTAGCAAGCACGATGGGATGCAAGTTTCAGCAAAGCAACGGATGCACTCAGACTGGCTTTTTCAATGGCCATTTCGGAATAGCAAGATCGGACTTGTGTGATTGCAGCATGAACCTCTTCCATAGCTTCCTGGGCGAGTTTCTTGTCGTCGTCAGTCACTGCTTCCGGTGAGTCACTTTCATTCCAAACAGATCGTAATTCTCGAGTTGGTAGCTGGACATAGGTCCGAATCACAGGTTTGTCCGTTCCTTTGATCCATTCCTGAACCTTCTTTTCTATTATTTTTTCTTTCTTCTTTCTCCTTTGTTTGCCCGACGCCTTTCTCTGCACTTGTTCTGGTGCCAAATCGGTCAAGAGTCTCCATTCGTCAAATCCTTCGACAGAGGCAGCAGCTTCTCCTATATCGGAATCCCAGAGAACGTCGTCGACGCAGAATTGAGACTAGAAAGTCCAAATGGATGAGTTGGTGAGTTAGCAAGACTTCTCGCCTACACTGATCGATGAACCGAACCACTTACCACTGGAAGCAACACACTCAAAGCTTGCTTCAAAAGTCGATTGCGAACCAATGAATTTGTCTCTAGTTTCACCAAGTGAAGGCAGAGAGATGAGAATGCAAGAAACATGTCGACTCCGTGGTCTTCGGAATATCTTGCAATGGGATTATTCCTAGCAGTTTCTTCACGATCTTTGACTTCACCACGATACCAGTCCCGCGTCTTCACCTCGGCCATTCGGTCTTCAAAGTTTAGATCAGGAAATGACTGGCATACAGCATGCAAGCGTTTCCACTGCTCCAAGATCTCATCCTCAGTTTCCTTCGTAAGGTATCCTGTTATTCGCTTGTCATGAACATGGACACCGAAATGCCTGTTACCATGACGTCGCCTCAGTAGCTTCAAGTTGAATTCTTCATGTTCCCATCCTGAAAAAAGGGATACATTGCATCCCACGGCAAGATTGTAAACTGCCAGAGATATCGCACGGCAATCACTCGATTGCCAGGAGGAAATCACCGGAAAACCGCCCCATTGATGTGATTCCATGTCGATTTTGCTAGCATTGTTGTTAGCACTTTCGGGCTTCTTCACATTCGCGATGGGCTCGGTGCAGAATTTGGACAAAATACTTTTCGCATGTTCAAGTACTTCATGTACCTTCGAATAGGACAGTGACCCCATGTAATCATTAGAGAGCCACAATAGACATTTGCGACACAACGACACAATCTACAACGGCAACAAGGAATGAGTGCGTCTATGGAAAAAGAGGAGACGCATACCACGGTTCAGGTACTCACATCAGTACAGAATGGCGACAAGTTGCCGTCTTCGACTTTCCAAACCAAGTGAAGAAAGTTTCGTATCGACGTCATTGACGATAGCGCCAAGTTCACTCGATCTGTTGGGCTCATATCGCCTTCTTCACGCTGAAATGAGATTCCAGTTGTTGGAGAGACACTTAAAGTGATATCAAATCTATTGGCCGCCACCATGACCTTTAGTAGTTGGTTCTTTCTGAAGTTCACATAAGGGTTCAGCCTACCTTCAAGCTCTGTCACCGCATCCAATAATCCTGAGGACTGAAGAGTCCTCAAATGACTACGGAACAAGGGCGCAAAATGGTTCGACCACTGTTCTTCCTTGTTCGTCTTTCGCAGAAAATCGGCAACGAAACTGAAAGCTGTCGTTCGACCGAATGGTTCTGTCATGGCAAGCTGAAACGGACCCCAGATTGGATCTCCTGCTATGGTCGATTCGAGTTCTGTACTCTGGAGCCATGCTATTGACTCTTGCTCCAATCCTTCAATCTTTTCGATGCATTTTGCCGCAACATAGTTGCGACCACCCTCTCCAATGAGAGCAAGACCGAATAATACACTGTACGGAAGGGTTAGTTTCGGTGTCACTTATGTCATACAGAACTGCAGCACACCAGAACTAACCTCATTTCAGGAGGGAATGCTCCTCGTCGCAAAGATGCCAACAGCTCTGAACTCTCTTCATTGTCAAGATTTTCGTCATCTGATAGATCCGCTGAGGCTTCGTCCTCTTCCTCACTATCACTACCATACATCTGAAATAGAAAAAGCGTAAAAATTATGAAAGTATTGGGAATGAAGTGTCACGAAATCATCCTTACCTCTTCATATGATTGAAGCATGAATGGCGACCTTGCAAGCTTCTCTTGGTATTCATTGTATTGTCGCTGCTTCTGTATCCGTTTGTCACATCTCAAAGCACGTTCTTTGAAATAAGCCGATACTCCTTCTCCGGCAAGACGCGCACCTTCGTAGAGTTGAAGTCCAAGCAAATGTTTGATAAGTTCACAAGCGATTTCACAAACTTGCCGACATGAAGCTGAAATGGGAAGATTGACACTCTCTGTCCCTAAAACTTTGTCTTCGACATCCATTTTATTGCCCTCGGGATTCGCTTCATTGAAATCGCTTTCTAGTGTTTCGACAGCTTCTTTGTGAGCCGCAATCATTTCATCCCGAGCGAAATCTCTATCTTGATCGGTCGCACTTGTTCGGCCACTTTGGTTGATATCTGTAGTCGTTTTGTCAAATGCTTCAAGCTCTGTGCGATTCTTTTCGATCAGCAAAATCTTTTCTTCTTCAAACTGATCTTTCTTCTCTGCATCCTTTTCCTCTTCCGTTTGGTCAGCATTCGAAGGAATGTCGTCTGGAACGAGAGAATTAGAATTCGCTGCTGCCCCAGTGTATTGAGGGCCCATCGACCTTTGAATAACCCACTCTTTGAAACTTGCAATATTCTTTGATCCAGCAGCAGCTTCCAATGATAGCGAAAGCGCCTGAAGTCGCCGTTCTTGCCAATCAAAGGTGTACGACAGCTTCCGCAACCATCGACGAAACATATAATTGTCGTTGCTCCGAATGTTTTTGTTCCATTGCATACACTCGTGCCCAATCCGTAACATGAGATCAGCATACAACATCCAAGCTTTGTAACTAGACTGGAATTCAGAGCGGGAACCATCGGAATTGGGTCGGTTCTTCAAGTCTGTCAGAATTGTCAATGCCTAAGTATGTGCAGAGTAGTTTTGAGAATATGAACAATGGATCGCCAATCATCACATATTGGCATTTCACTCACCTCTGAAAGTTTCCCAACTTCCATATGAACAGCTGCAAGCTTTGCTGGAACTTCAATTCCTGGTGGTTTCAGCTTATCTGCTACCTTTAGATCTCCCAAGGCCTCAAAGAACCATCGTTTCCGCTCGGATCGGTTGTGCTCCTGAAGTTCGGCCGAAAGACTCTTCATGGTCGTCGCTCGCCCGTGCAACTCGGCCGCTTGAATTGCACACCCAGCCGCTTTTACCCACAAGGTGTAATCCTGTTTGCATAGAATCGCTGCAACATGATAGGAACCATAAGCTTTTTTAGCAAGATCCAATTGATCTTTGAAGACTGGATCCATCTCAAGGTTTGTTGGTTCCTCCTCCTTTTCTTCCTCTATTTCGCCATTTCCGGTTTCAGTTTGCGATTGCTCTGGTGACTCTGATGAATTGGTTTTCTTCAGACTTTCCATGAGCATATCCTCATAGACCATCCCCAGCGAAGAATAAACTTGTGGAGCAGATGGTACATCACGTGCCACTTCTTTTAGAGCCTTGATGGCAAGCGTTGGTCGGCCTTGTGCATGATACTTGAGTGCATCTCCATGTCTATGGGCCATTCTCACTGATTGAAAGTTTCGTAATCTGTATTGCCTCTTACGCTTTTCGTTCGTTGCTCGTTTGACTTGCTCAGCTTTGTCGGATTTCTGTTTGGCGGCATTGTCTGCAGATTTGGCTTCCTCCTCCTCATCTTCATCATCTTCATCTTCATCATCATCGTCAGTATCGTCTTCATCATCATCCACTGCTTCTGGTTCTACTTGCTTTTGCACATCGGCAAACTCTTCAAGCTCGTCGTCATCATCCATTCCAATCGCCTCATCATCAACTTCCAAAGATATTGGATCCAAGGCGTCTCCCCTGACCTTGCTAAACTTATCGGGACTTTCTCTCTGCGAAGTTCGTCGTTGATTTGGTGCATTTGGAAAGATGCGACTCCCATGAATGACTTCCATTCCGTAGGCTGCTTGAGATCCCCTCAGACGAACGTGTTCTGGTTCGGTTTGGATCAAGAATTCATTGCGTTCTTCCTTTTCCAATTTCTTCCTCCGCTTGGTCCGCTCTATAGATTCGTGTCGTGAAATCCGTTTCTTAGGCTTTGGAGCGACTTCCATTTCTCGATGCAAGGAGGCGACGGTCTCCCGCATGTTGGCACTACTTTTCTTCTTTTTGGATGTATCATGATTGGAGGATGGTGATTCTGACATCGCGAATCACAGATCGAGCAATTCAAACTCTATTGAGAATTCAAGGAGAAAAAAGTCTCAAGGAAAGGCAGCAGAAGGTCCTAATGGCTTGTAGGGTGCCGTTGATCAAACAAAAGATGAGGTGATGATGGTTTATTTCCTGCAATCTTCATCCATCAGTTTTGGCGCAACTTTGGAAACAAAGGTTTGTGGATCGACTCCAGCTGGTCCGCTGCAGCGTTTTTGCAGGGAAGAGGAGGTTGTTGGGTTTGATACAGGTTGAAGGTCGTACCAGGTACCCGGTACCGGTACTGGCCCATCACGTAAAAATGTCAGTACGCGCCAGCCGAATACTTCTTCGATCGCCAGCCAGTATGTGTCACGGAGGCAACCAGATCATGAAACCGAACCGCCCGCGCGAAGCGGGCGTTACGGATGAAGAAATTCTTTCAACTATAATTCGCGGTTAATTAACCGCGAGTTGAAAAATTCGCGGTAAATTTAACAGCGAATTCAAAAATCGCGGTAAATTTAACAGCGAATTTTTCAATCCGCGGTTATTTAGTAGCGAATTTTTCAATTCGCGGTTAATTCAACCGCGAATTGCGTGATGTAGAATCACTCTCATTTCTTCCTCCATACAACGATACCATGCAATAGAATGGTTTGTTCCTCAATCACAGGGTTTCTTCCTATGTTTGGATTGGGAAAGTTGTCCTCTTGAGAGCCTCTAGAGAGAGGAAAATCAGCTGTTCCAATAGTGAAAATGCAAGTGTAGTAAATAGTCTTCTATAGCATCATTACTACGTTATAGATCTATGATTCTTCCCCTTGACTTTGAGAGCGTGCAAGTACTTCCCTGTTCTAATCTCCTGGTAGTTGCATTCCCTGAAAACATTCAAAGAAAACTCCTTGCAATACTGTTTTCGTTAAGAACGGCATAGATCTTGATATCTTACAGGAGCTTATCTTTTCCATTCTCGTCCATGGCTTGACGCAGAAGCTTCTGGGCATCCGATCATTGTCAATGGATATTTTGTAGTAGCTTTGAAAGGATGTTACTGGATGGTTGTCGACGAACTGTTTGACATGAGCCTAGTGGTCCTCGACGACTCTGCTGATCTTCTGGTTTTCTTGCTTCTGCAGCGCTGTCAGTCTATCAGCAAAATATTCAGAACCACATTGTTCGACTTCCTATTTTTCTCGCCGCTCATGTCACACACCTTTTGTAGTCAACTTTTCCCCATCGAGTGGGATGGGGGACAACAGGAGCGGTTGCAAGAGATCCCATAGAATGTCTTTTGCCCTGCTGATTTTTCGTCCCATCTTATGCTCCAAGATATTGTTCGCCTTTTGTAACTTCTGAGCCTGGTAGCAAGCTTCTTGGGATCCCACTTTTCCGATCTCCCTTCGTACCTGGTAGACTCCTCGCCCATTTCGCAAATCACTTTCAAGATGACTTTTAGAATCATGTTGTTCCCTTCATCATCTACTTGTTTCCTTCATCACCTAAGGCTTCTCTATCGCGCGACAGATCCCCAGTAGTTCCTGGATGATTTGTTTCGCCCTGCTGGTCTTCCAGGGCGTCTCAGGCTCCACAAACACCATTGATGGATTTGTTTGGTTTTGTTGCTGAATTTTTAGAATATATCAATTCGCGGTTAACGCAACGGCGCTTTTTCAATTCGCGGTTATCACAACGGCGAATGGAGGCATTCGCGGTTAAATAGCCGCGAATTTCTCAATTCGCGGTTAAATAGCAGCGAATTTTTCAATTCGCGGTTAAATGTTGGAGTGTTCGCGGATAGACCGATCATTGCGGGTGGCACCACCATGTGTCCAACACGACCCGTTCGATTTGAAGGAGGCTTGACCAGCTCGCAAAGGAATGTCCTGGCAGGCGCGCCACTACGTTTTTTACGTGACGGGCCTGTGCAGATCAAAATGACTTAATTCGACTAAAAAGTCAATCCAAGGAATCAATTGGAAATCATTCCGTTACGATACAACCGACAACAACAAAAAAGACATTGCAAGAGGCACCATGTTGAGGAGTTTCTTGCCAACTCTTATCGCCCTATTGGGATTATTCCATACGGTTCAAGGCGAAATTCGTCCGTTCAATTTATTATTGTCCCCAGCGGTAGGTTTTCTTTCTTAGCTTTTTCATTTTAGTTTCAATCTTGTAAAAGATTCATTCTCACCATTCAACGCACCTTTTTCAATGGCACCATCATCAGTCCGACTATATTCACTACGTGGAAGGATTTCTAATCTCTCCAGGATACATTGATCTAGGGCTTTTGAGATTCTGGGCCAGCGAACTTGATTTGGACGATGCGAGGTTGCCAGAGCACGATGGAGAGGAACAGGAAAAGAAGCAAAAGGACGAGAATCAGGACCAAGATGGAGGGGGACGTCAACTGCGCCAATTAAATTCTACGTTCGAGTCAGTGATGGAGGGGTCAATCATTGATATTGCTGTCTTTCTATTGGTATGTTTGCTCTCCAATGAAGATGCATTCGGTCTCGGAATATGTGAATTCATTTTTTTATTTCGAAACTCTCTCAACATTGTTCTAGCCCTCCTCCTGTGCAGGCACCAAGAAGGGATGCGATTGGACAAAACTAGGAATCGGAAGACGCTCAGAGGCAGGAGTCCTAAGATATTGCTGCAGCGCTGATGCCGTCACCCTCGGTTTGTGTCAACAAATACAACTTGGTCATTTGATCATTGACAACGATAACTTTGTGGGCAATCATCGTCAAGTTACCATCCCAGCCACTGGGGAATATGACGCTCATTTGAGTTATGGCCGTTTCGAAGAAAAATCTGGAAGCGGGAAGTATGTTGTGGCGTTTGCAAATTGCAATGATGGCGGAAGACAGGTCGTTGTGGAAGGAAAGACTGTCTGGAAGTCTCGCCATGGATACCTTCCAGGAGACTTATTCGGACTCATGTACTTTAACGTATTCTTGTTCGCAATTTACTTTGTCGTTCTCATGTGGTATGGTATTACCATGAAAATGTACGAAGATGCCAATATTCCAATCCAGAACTGGGTCTTTGCGACTATTTCAATGGGATGTCTGGAGCTCTTCTTCAAGGCAGGCGATTTGTTTGTCTGGAACGAGGATGGATCTCGATTTTGGATTGCCTTTTACGTTGGTACGTTGTTATTACGATGAAAGCCCTTGATGCATAATTCCTTCCAAAGCCGAAATGCTCATCCAATCGTTTTCGCTGCCTACTGCGTAGGTGTAATTGTGGGTGTTTTGAAACGTGGTATTTCGAGGTGCTTGATTGTAATGGTTGCGTTGGGATGGGGAGTTATCCGTGACGACTTGGGTCCAGTGTTGAATCGCATTCAATTCTTGGGAGGCGTCTACGTCGCTGCTTCCCTTGTTGCCGATATCTTCACTGTGGTGGCCTACACGGAAGTCCAAAAACTAAATCAAGAGGAAGAAGTGGAAATCTTTGACGTTGTCACCGTTCTAAGGCTTGCAATTTTCCTTGTTGATATTGTATTCTACCTTTGGATCATGGATTCACTCAGCGCAAGCATGGAATACTTGGAGGGTATGGGGCAAACCAGAAAGCTGGAACGGTATCTGCGCCTGCGCTGCCTGCTTCTTTTTTCCATTCTATTTGCGGTCATTACGTCTGTATTTGGAGTGGTGAACGACTACGATCAAGGTATTGTCGACAATGCACAGAATTGGGTCGTCGGTGCCGCTGGAGAGATGAATTACCTCTTTGTGCTGATGACTGTAGCCATCTTATGGAGACCATCGCCCAATGCCAAGGAGTATGCTTACGTCATGGAACTGACGGGAGGCGACGACAGTGATGAGGAGGGCGTCATAGAAATGAAGGGTGCTGTCGTTCCATCGGCTGCCGATGATGATGACGATGATGACGACAATGAAGAGCATGGAATTTCCTTTGAGGATGAACCCGAGGATGGCAACGAAGAAGGTCTTAGATTTGAATAACCTTGATACAGATCAAAATATCAAGTGCTACTGTAGTATTCTACCTGATACAGTAGAAGGGCAAGAGCTGTCATGTGAACCGGGTAGCAATATGGCTAGGCACAATCAAACCACTTCTCTCGAGATCAATCACAATAAGTTTGGGTGAATTGAGGAATGGAAATAATAAATGCAGTGAAGCAAGACTAAGTAGAAAAGTAGTTGGAAAGAAGCATGTAATCTACCTTCAGTATACAGAAGCTCGAATATTTTATTCTTTTGGGTATTATGTTTACAGTCTTCTCACTATACACTGTCTGAAAGAAGCAGTCCATTTTGGACAGCTCCCTTCCAATGTTTTGACGTAAAGTTTATATATGGATCAGACAAAGAAGTTGGATTGCCCCAGCCCCTCGAACGGAATCTAGGCACGTTCACCGCGGATACGGCGAGCCAATTGGATATCCTTAGGCATGATAGTCACACGCTTGGCGTGGATGGCACACAAGTTGGTATCCTCGAAAAGACCAACGAGGTAAGCCTCAGCGGCCTCTTGCAAAGCAAGAACGGCAGTGGATTGGAATCGAAGGTCGGACTTGAAGTCTTGCGCGACCTCACGGACAAGACGTTGGAAAGGAGCCTTGCGGATGAGAAGATCGGTAGACTTCTGGTACTTGCGGATCTCACGAAGAGCGACGGTACCAGGGCGGTATCTGTGTGGCTTCTTGACACCTCCGGCAGTGGGAGCGGACTTGCGGGCAGCCTGATAGAATAGAGCAAGTCAATTGGTGAGATATTGCGTTTTTTGAGTTTAGTCGTACGAATCAATCGCTTCCATCTCAATTCAACTCCAGCTGTTGCTTCTGCTGGAGAAGGTAGATGGAAGCATCTGGATGTCAATCGAGGGCATTGGCTTACCTTGGTTGCGAGCTGTTGTGGTCAAGAGAAAGAGGTAGATAGGAAGAGGAAAAGTCGACAATCAAACGGTGAGATCATCGTCAAAAGTGACAAAAAATAAATTTTGCAGATGTCATACAACGATGAAGATTTCAGTCAAACAAGACCAACTCCGTATCCCCAATCCCAATCAACTGCTGCTTCTTTTCTTACCTGCTTACGAGGAGCCTTTCCTCCAGTGGACTTGCGTGCGGTTTGCTTGGTTCTGGCCATCTTTGTGTTAGTTGCTTTTTCTTAGACTCGTTGAGTGAGTTTTGTGAAAATGAAGAGTTGTTGCTGCAACGCAAATTTTGTGAAGAATTTGCTGTTACAACTGCGCCCGTTTCTGTTGGTCTTCGGGTTTCCAGTACAAATGCACGTTGTTATTGTACTGGTTGATTCATCCTCAAAATAAAATGCTGGCACGCTGAAGTTTTCAGTAGTAGCAAATGTCAGTGGAAACCACGTAGCATATGTTTTTCCGGGTTTCAAAGAGGCAACATTCGTTCGGGAAGTGAATCGGTGACGTTCTCTAGTGTTGCCACTCGCAATTCTACTGTGTGGTTGGTAGTATCAAATTTCTTTTCGTTGACGATTGCTTTGGGCCAACAAACAGAGGAGCGCAAGCCGCTTTCGCGACCACCTGATCAGAGTTGTCATAAATTCTAATGTCATATCTGATGTCCCATTGACAAAGCCTTTGCTTATGGCACTTTTGGAACACACGACCGGTCCCACAGGGAGACACGATTGATACCCCGCGTGACTCAGACTCAACTCATCCAGTTTCAAAGTTCTTCCATACCAGTATTCATTGTGATTGAAGAAATGAAAATGTTTTGTATGGTACCGCGTGACTCATACTCAACTGAGAAGTTCCGACTGATTGAGATGATTAGCGAAATGTTTTGGATGGATAATGGTTTAGATATACAAATTTGAATTCCTACTACACAATTTTAGTGTTCTCATATGAACGCGGATCATGATCTTGCCAACGACAAATGAGCAATAGCGCGGATCTTAACCTTAGCTCATTTATACATGACTTGGTCCACCGATGGGCTGGCATCTTGGTGAGGAGATGAATGTCGGATCTGCTGGCCTGTATTTGCAGATTGGGCAAGTTGCACTCGTACATTGATGGACATCGATCGAGGAGTGCTTTAGCGATAGCCTGTTGCTGCTGGGTTGAACCCGATGCATCTTGCGGAAGGTGGAGCCATCGTAGCTCTGTAGGTCCGAGTCATCCTCGGAGGATGCTCGGCTAGGGTCGTACATGCGTCCTTCGGCAAGAGCTCCGAGGTCGTCCTCATCGTAGTTAGTAAATCCTAATCGCCGAGTCATTTCACAATCTGGACAGTTGGTAGACAAATATCTAGCGCCAGAGCGAGTGTAGTGATACATTCCTTCGTGGAAACTCTTTGGTGGATCACCGGTTCCAACACGGACATAATTTTCATCATCCAGATCACCAGCAGTGAGAAGGCGTCTCTTCTTCTTGATCAAGTACGACATGAGCAACAACAGTGCGATCGGAATAGCAGCGTACGCGACAAAGGCAACGTTATCGTCCTCGTCTTCTGCACCGGCTGTTTGGTTCACCGACCTCTCGCCACCATCCGCGCCAGCTGTTCCAATTGGTCCTCCAGCTCGAGCCTCTTCAATAGTGGTTCCTAGCCATCGGATTTTATCCACACCGCACATTGGATCAGCGCAATCATCTCCGCCGTCAGGAATCAAGACATCACCGTCCATGGCTTCTTGAATGGCATCCAGAATGGATGCAACGATAATTTGCAAGCTATCCGTTTGATGGGCCATCAAGGCCATTTTCCCTTCAACAATCACACATTCGGAACTATCGGTAGTGTGTGCACATTGCTCGTCCTTTAAAATAAAATCGCTGGGAGCGCTGTTGAACGAAATGATTCCAAGCCGTCTAGCATCCTCTAGAGATAGGTTTCTGTGACTTTCTGTGAACTGGGCAACTTTGTAGGATGGAATGAATCAAGAAAGAGAGTGTTTTTGTTAGAATCTCGTCGTCGTCGTCGTCGTGCGCCGTGCACAAAATACCAGTCAAGTCCGCGGAACTTACTTTTTGGATTGGAGTCGTGAACTTGTAGCCTTCGTCCATTGTCATCTGCATTTGCATTCTGGGAGCACCATAGGACTGCATCGCCAATGGCATAATACAGCATTCGATCGAGATTTTGCATCAACGCATAGGTTACTGTTTCGCTGCTCTCCACGGAATAGTAAAATGTAATGTGTGTCACACCTGTTGGTGCACCAACGTCTTCCGGAAGTTTGGCTTCGCACATGGCACCGGTCTTGTCCACTTGGTCCACTCGGTTCAGTGCTCGAAGACTTCGTGAGGCATGATCAGCATGATGCTGCTTGTTGGCACCAGCATGATCTGCGTCAATAGAGTAACAAAGGTTAATTTGCAAAACAAGCAATGAACTTGCCAATAGTAGAGGGCTTCTATATTTCATGATATATCTATTTGAGGTTCAAGAGTTATAGTTTCAATGTCGTGGTGGTGTGATCCGTTTGCAAAGCAATTGGCGGAGTGACAATCAAACAAATTTTGGTGCACCTCAAATCTTGGTGGCTTTGGCGATTGGCTCGACACGCGCTTCGCTAAAATGCCGATTTAGTCGAATGTGTCGACCCGCGCCATTTTCAAAATCCAAACCTTGGACGGACAGCGATCGGACGCTAAGTACTGTTTCTACACATCCTACCTACTGCAAGCATCAATCCGCAATGCGATTCATGTTTCAGGTTTTGGAATTATTTTTATTGAAACCTTTACACTTTGGCACCGCCCGCAACTGAAGCCTTCAATACCTCAAAATGGCACCGGTGAAGCGTATATTGGAACAAGATTCTTTCCAAGAGAATGGCATAATTTCGGGGAAGCGTCTCCGCGGTGGAAATGCCCCACCGGATGAAGAAGACTACTACCTGGACGTCGAAGATGAAATGCTGGACATGGAACCAACAGAAGAGGAAGTGGAAGGAGAATCGGAGGATCAAACCGTGTTTTCTGACATTACGCCAGAGATGCGCCAACGATGGCTGCGTCCTGCCAGCAAAGTGACGGATAATTCCAATGATGTCAACTTGCAATGCTTTGACATGGATATGATCAGCGGTCAACCCCTCTCTCAGAATCCAAACGAAACCAAGTCAAGAGTCGTCGGTTCAAACAATGGACAAGTCCCCGTGATTCGAGCCTACGGTGTAAGCGAACATGGAAACTCTGTGGCTGTCTTCATCCATGGTTTCACTCCCTACGCATACCTTGCCCTTCCCAACAATGCCACCTTTGACAACACGGAGGAGAATCTTACCAAGATTCGATTGCACTTGAACAAGAAATTAGAAGCTGAAGCTCGTGGACCCTCTCTTGCGGAATATTGCCGAGCTGTCTCTTATGTCACATCACACAAATCTATCATGGGATATGACAGTCCTCACAAGAGTTTCTTCAAGGTCACTGTGGCAATGCCAACCCTTGTTCCGGTCTTGAAACGCATCATGGAACCTGGTATGATCCAACTCAGTGGCGTCAATGTACAAGGCGATAATGTGTACCATCCGTTTGAATGCAATGTTCCCTTTGTCCTTCGATACATGATTGACAATGACATCTCCGGAGCAGGTTGGCTCACTCTCCCACAGAAGACCTATCAAGTGCGAAAGGAAGTTGATAAAAAGACATTTTGTCAGGTACGTTAGATACGACGATATTTTGGCTGCATTATATATTTGCGATCCCCTTATATCTCAAGCCTTCTCTTTGGGTTTAGGTGGAAATTGATATTACCTACAACGACATTATCTCGCGGAAACCAGAGGGTGAATGGAGCAAGATGGCCCCTATCCGAGTTCTTTCCCTCGATATTGAATGCCAAGGTAGAAAGGGTCACTTTCCGGAGGCTGAAATGGATCCTGTGATCCAAATTGCAAATGCCGTGTCGGTCTACGGTGACAAGAAACCCATTGTTCAGAACGTTTTCACCTTGAAGGGGTGTCTTCCGATTGTTGGTGCCCAAGTCATTTCCAGCGACAAAGAAACCGAAATGCTCATGAAGTGGCGTAAGTTTCTCGAAGCCTGTGATCCTGATGTCATTACTGGATATAACGTCCAAAATTTCGACATTCCATACCTTTTGGATCGTGCCGAGACGCTGTCCAAGGGTTCCTCCCACATAAAGGGGTTTGCGCAATGGGGGCGCATTAGGAACTCCAAGGCCAAGATGAAAGATACAACTTTTCAGTCTGCAGCCTTCGGAAAGCGTAACAATATCGAGACAACAATCGAGGGCCGAGTCATCTTTGATATGCTTCCCTACATGCAGCGAAACCACAAATTGAGTTCCTACACGCTGAATAGTGTGTGCGCGGAATTCCTTGGTCAACAAAAGGAAGATGTCCACCACAGCATTATCTCTGATCTCCAGAATGGTAGTGACGAGGACCGTCACCGTCTCGCTGTATACTGTTTGAAGGATGCTCTGCTACCGCAAAGGCTCATGGACAAGCTCAGTGTTGTCGTCAACTATGTCGAGATGGCTCGTGTCACCGGAGTCCCAATGTCGTTTCTGATCTCGCGTGGTCAGCAAATCAAAGTCTTTTCCATGATTCTCAGAAAGTGCCGCAACGAAAAGTTGTTGGTACCCACTTTGAAGAAGGCCGGTTTCAACTCGGACGAGGTTGCCTACGAAGGTGCCACAGTTCTCGATCCCATCAAGAGTTACTACCAAGTACCAATTGCTACTTTGGATTTTGCATCCTTGTATCCATCCATCATGCAGGCCTACAATCTTTGTTACTCCACTCTTGTGGACCCAAGAGATGTGAATGGGTTGGATCCAAAGACCTACAAGAAAAGTGAAAATGGACACGTCTTTGTCACGAGTGAAACCAAGAAAGGTATCTTGCCAACCATTTTGGCTGAGTTGCTCGCAGCCAGAAAGCAAGCGAAGAAGGACATGAAGAATGCGCCATCGGAATTTGAACGTGCTGTCCAGAATGGTCGCCAGTTGGCCTTGAAAGTATCTGCCAACTCTGTGTATGGTTTCACTGGTGCCACTGTTGGTCAGCTTCCTTGCGTTCCCATTGCCTCTTCCACCACTTCCTACGGACGATTCCTTTTGGAACGAACCAAAGAATATGTGGAGGAAAACTATACGATTGCCAATGGATACCAACATGACGCACAAGTCGTCTATGGTGATACAGATTCCGTCATGGTCAAGTTTGGTTCCAAGACTGTCCAAGAAACATTCCCACTAGCAATTGAAGCCGCTGAGAAATGCTCCAAGATTTTTCCCGATCCCATTCTTTTGGAGTTCGAGAAGGTCTACTTCCCATACCTACTGATGTAAGTGAAACTTTCCCGCTGGAAGAAGCTCGATAGTCTAGACCTTTTGACTCAGTCATCATATTTTTCTTTCTCCCAGGAACAAGAAGCGATACGCCGGGTTGATGTGGACTCAAGAGGACAAGTATGACAAGATGGATACAAAGGGTCTCGAAACTGTCCGTCGTGATAACTGCGCACTCGTCCGTGATGTCATTCAAACTTCTTTGAACAAGATCCTGATCAATCAAGATGTCAACGGTGCAATCAACTACGTTAAGAGTCAAATCTCTGATCTTTTGCAAAACAAAATGGATATCTCGCAACTAGTCATTACCAAAAGTTTGAACAAGGGGGCTGAATATGCTTTGGGTCTCGGGGGGAAGAAAGAAGACTACAAGAACAAGCAAGCTCACGTCGAGCTTGCTGCCCGCATGCACAAACGCGATGCAGGATCGGCTCCCCAAATGGGAGATCGTGTTCCGTACGTTATTATTACAGGTGCGAAGGGAGCCAAGACTTTTGAAAAGGGAGAGGATCCCATTTATGTCTTGGAGAACAACTTGGCCATTGACTCCAAGTGGTACCTCTCCAACCAGCTCGCCAAGCCCTTGGAGCGTATCTTCGAACCCATTATTGATAATGTTCAAAAGTCTTTGTTGGAAGGAGAGCACACGCGGAAGATTTTCATCCCCACGCCTTCTGCCCGAAAGGGTAGTCTGATGATGTTTGCTGTGAAGAAGGCAAACTGCATGGGATGCAAGGCCAATATTGACCCCAATAGTGGACCCTTGTGCAAGCATTGCCAGCCCAAGCAGGCTGCGATTTACCTGGATAAGCTGTCTGAATTGACGGATGCAGAATTGCGATATGCCAAGCTATGGGCAAAGGCTCAAGAACTCCACGGGACTGTCCATTCCGAAATCATGTGCACTGGTGACGGATGCGCATGCCAGTTTTACAAACGAAAGAAGGCGCAAGCCGATATCAAGCGTTGTATAGAAATTGTTGACAAGTTTGGACGATAAAGGTCCAAACGATGGTTCATTCCGTAATCTACTTCAATTTTATGCATGCTCTTATTCTACAAAAGTATACAAAAGTAGCCTACACTAGTGCTCTAGTGAGCGCATGGCAAAAACGAATTGGCCGACTGTTCATTGATGATGGACATTCCACGAAAGACTGTATCGTGTGTGCAGAGTCAGCTGCAACTTCAAAAGCGCTGGTCGACATCACAGTAGCAGTCAAAAGGCTTCAGAAATATTTCAATTGTTGGTATTCGTTTGAAATGCGGTGGGCTTGCTTCTCAAAATTTCCTTGATAGCAATGGCTCTTTCACTATCTTTGTAGAATTGATCCTTTTTGTTTTTGCAGTTGTTGCATTTGCAAAATACGGCACAAATACGGCCGATTTTGAAACATTCGCAGTACAGTTTCAAGCATTGACTCTTTTTGCATTTGCATGGTTGTGTTGTCACGAGTGGCTTGTTGGTGAGCTTTCGTAAAAGGGCCAAATTTAGAGTCTTCTTTGTAGTTTTCTTCTTTGGCGTGTTGCAATCAGTTTGTGGTTTGCTAGCATATTTTCCTGGTAGATTGGTCAATGGAACAGGCTGTGCGGACGAAGGTAGCGGGTTGCCGACATTTTTTCCTGGTGGATTGGTCGATGCCACAGGTTGTGTCGAATGAGGTTGAGGATTGATGGCACTTTTTCCTGCTGGATTGGCCAATGGGACAGGTTCTACCGAACGAAGTTGCGGCTTGGTGGCACTATTTCCTGGAGCATTGGTCGATGCCATAGGCTGTGCAAAACGGGCGCTTGGACCTGCCGAGCTGGGAGAATGTTGCTTGGCGGAAGGGACAGGAACTTGTTTGGCGGTGGAAGACTGGGGACTACCGTGCAATTGACAGTAGAGTGATTCTGGAGTGCCAATGAGTGGACCTTTCATGAACAAATGCCAGATTTCGGGTGTAATGTAGTATTGACTTGCTGGATGTGGCAAATTTTGAGTCGACATGTATGGATGACTACTGTTGTGTACTGTAGCTCTTGACTGGTACTTTTGACCCAACGAGACCAAACTTCTCCAACGGTCTGCTGGCTGCTCCAAAGCTGGAATGTGCCCAAATTTGTAGACTCTTTTGACCTGTGGCTTCTCTAGTTGGTCATTGTGCGGGACACCGTCCATGAACTGTACTTTCAGCCCAGCATGATGGCTATTCGAATGATGATGGTGGTGATGATGAGTTCCATGATGGTGGTGCTGGTAGTAGGCATCCGATGGATGGGAAGGATATAGTGCCGCATTGACACGATCGTGCTGGCCTTCGGAATTGGTGTTCTCAACGGCCTTTCTTGCCAACCCAAGATTCTTGCCCCAACTTCCCTTCTCGAAAGATTGCGATGGGCGAGTGCTTTGTTTTGTCTGATTTGTAGTTTTTGGAGCCAATTCGATAGTGCCGCCGGTGCACTTGGATTTCTTGATTGCTGGGGCCTTTTTTTCAAACTTCCCCCCAACGTTCGTGGATCCACGTTTCGGCGAGAGGCGCTTCTTGGGTGGACCGCTGGAAGATTGGAATTGGATGTGAAGTTGTTCTTCGATTGGTTTGTTGGAAGGATGGACATCCTGTTTTCCAATCGAATGCGAATTCTCCTTGTTGTTCTTCTTTGCTGGAACCGGGAATGAAGAGGAAGGATGATTGTCCATCACCACTGTTGTGCGTGTCATGCATTGGACGGCAATGGTGTTGGGTGGAATGTGCGACGTGTTCATGGCTTTCAGTGCAGAGGAGCCTTGTGAAAGAATGCTTGCTT